GAGAGAGCAAATCCTCAAGCCAACTCCCTGCAGGGCAGAGCACCAGACTCATGGCTTGATCCCAGGACCCTGAGAGATCATGACCTAAGCCAAAGTCAGATGCTTAACTGACTGAGCCACCCAGGTGTCCCTCCATAGAGTTAATTTTAACTTTATCCTGTTTTTTTGAACCTTATATAAATGAAATCACACTGTGTACTATATAAATGGAATCATTGTGTCTGGCTTCTTTCACTCAGAATGACACTTTGAGAGCCCTCTGTTGTTGAGTATAGCAGTAATTCATTTTTCTTGCCATGTTTTGAGGAGTAGTCAAATGATTGGGTTAATTGTTAAAAAGTGACTGGTTGTTATATGGGCAAATAGATCATAGGCAGGAGAAGCATGAAGACTGAGAAGGTAACTATGGAATAGACTAAGTGAGGGGCTTGGACTAGTGGGAAGAAGAAAAGATATGGAATGAAATAGACAAATATGAGATGTATGCTTTGGAGATACTCTAGGAGTTTACTAATACATTGGGTAAGAGCAGGAGTGAAGGTAAGGGATTTATCATAGTCCCAGGTTTTTGGCTTGGACAACTGATAGATGGAGATTTCTTTTTTTCCTTGTAGGAAGGGCTGGAGGAAGGACACATGTAAGTGAATAGGAACTAAATTCATTATTAGGTATTTCAAGATGTTTGTGAGATACAAGAGAAGCTGTCAGATGTGTATTTGAATTGCAGCTATGGAACATATTGGGAAAAAATGCAAAGCATGGATAATTTGCAGGTGAGGTGGCAGCTGCCATATAAAGAGCACTGTATTTCTGAATTTCACCATTTTATTCAACTTCTGTTGACTATGTGATTAAAGGCAGATCACTTGATCTTTTTGAGTGCCATTTCTTTACTTCTGTAACATGGGAATAATACTTTGCTCATTAGGATTAAACAAAGTGTATTATGTTAGCAAGGCCACATCTTACAATTATTTGGACCAGTGGATGCTCAGAAAATTTTATTTGTGCATATACAATTTGAGTTGGTAGGAAAGTCAGATTATGGAAGACTTTGAAAGGCTTAGAAGGGGCTTGGTATATAATATGGAGCTTTAGAGTTTCTTAGTATGGGAATAGATTCATCAAAGTTTGGCTTAAGGACACATCTTCCAACTGCTGTGCAGGAAGAAGTTAAAGATTAGAAATATCTAGAAAATCAGTTGTCATAGTTCAGGATTAAGGTGCTGAGGGCCTGGCCTGACATGGATCAAGAAGAAATCAGAGATTTCAATAAAAGAACGTACAAGATTTGTTAAGTGCTTCACTTTATGGCTTCACAGAGGGGGAAGAACCAGCCACCCAGGCAACATGAGGCTTCTAGCCTAGGAAGCTAGAAAAATGGTGGAAGCAATGACAAATCTGGGGTAGTCTGAAAGGAAAACTGAGTTAGGGAAAGGACAGTTCATTTAGTTTTGAACATATGACACTCATAGTATGGTTGTCTTTGGGTAGCTGGATATTCTCTGGCAGTTAGATGTTGTAAAGAGGCAGGATTAGAAAGAAGGCAAGAGATTGATTCTTTTTCAGATTTAATCATTAATGAGCTTTATAGTCTTGGAAAATTTAGCATCTCAAATATTAAATCTAGTTATCTAAAAAATTAAGCTAACACCTACTCTGTCAGCCTTACAGAATTGTTTTGAGGATCAAATAAGAATGCATTGAAAATATTCTATAATTGTAAGATGGTAGTGTTATTTCTTTTCTCAGTTCAAACTAAAATATTTGATTCTAGGGCTAGAGAAGAAAAGGGGGGATAATACCAGACTTCTTAAAAGTTTGTATTTGGAACTAAATCAGAAACATCAGAAGCCATAGTCTCTGAATACATATGCCTGAAAACCTCTGTAGACTATAATTTGGGAGACTAATCTGGAAGCTGATCTTGTATATGACAGTTTTAAGGCCCAAAAACACATGTTGCATCTTGTCAAATGTCAGTATTTAACTTGCCTGAGTTGGAGGTTTGAAGAACTTTTGAATTCCACCTGTATAGTTGCCTGTGTTTGTTTACAGAGTTTTAGAACATCCAGTTCTCATGTCTGTGAGCTATGCATTTTTGCAAGGGTCAAATTAAAGTGATGTTTCAACTCTTCAGCCATGCATAAAGAAGTGGTTCCTAATATTTATCAGCATTATCAGTATGTTATGTTGGTTAGCATCACCAACTCTGAAACCAGACTGTAGATCAAATATCCCAGCTCTGTTGATTAATGACTAGTCTTGTGCGCTTGAGTAAGTCATTTAACCTTGGTGTACTTCTATTTCCTGGTCTGTAATGGGAGCTAATATTAACATCTACCTGAAGGTTGTTGGGAGGATTGAATGTAGTACCATATGTGAAGCACTTAGAATGGTTCCTGGTACATACTAAGTGCTATTTAGGTGTTAGTGGTGGTTATTATGGAATAGTTAAGTGTTATTTTGGCAGTCATCAGGAATAAGGTACATGAACAAAAGAACTGAATTCTCTCGGAAGTTATGGCTGAGTGAAGTGGAAGTGGTAACGTGAAAAATCACAGACTATAGAGTCAGACATACTTAGATTCAAATAGTAATTCTGCCCCCTTTGCTATATGATTTAAGCAAGGCACCTAACCCCTCTGAAGCTCAGTTTCTTTTACCTATGAACCAGGAGTCACCATACCTATCCTGCGGAGTTGTTATGAGGATTAAATGAGATAATGTATAAAGTTCTTGGCCCAGAATAAATGCTAAAAAATAAGAGTGCTAACACCCCTCTGTACCTCTTTCCACTATAGAGTGGTATGGACAGTTTGATTTCCTGTATGCTCTTGTACTCATTTGTTTGCAATTCTAGAACTTCTGAAATTCTTTCCATTTGCTAATAGTGTAAACAGCAGCTGTTTAATTGGATATACCTTTAAAACTGTATTGTCGGGATCCCTGGGTGGCACAGCGGTTTGGCACCTGCCTTTGGCCCAGTGTGCGATCCTGGAGACCCGGGATCGAATCCCATGTCGGGCTCCCGGTGCATGGAGCCTGCTTCTCCCTCTTCCTATGTCTCTGCCTCTCTCTCTCTCTCCCTGTGTGACTATCATAAATAAATAAATAAAATTTTAAAAAAATAAAAAATAAAACTCTATTGTCAGCAATCATTTCCTTCTTTTCTTTGTTGTTTTGCATACATGTTTTTTCATTATGGTAAATCCTACTGCAATCAAGATGGTAGACATTATTAATTGGTCATAGACTCGAACTGGACTGTAGTCTCACAGTCCTTCTTCACAGTATTTCAAGCAGCTAAACCCAGTTCATCAAACTCAGTCCAGTAGGGAAATATTTTCTGCCTTAGAGCCTTCTAGAAGAAATGTTTATGAGATTATCAAAATAATATCTGAACTGTCCATTAATCCTGACTCAAGATGTGGGCTTGTCAAACGTTATAACAACACAGAGTGATCTTAGAGTGTTTCCTAACAGAGGCTTACCTATATTCCAACATTGTTACATAATGTGAGCATCTTTAAGCACCTTTTAGAGTAGGTCCAATAATCATAAGAGTATAAAGCAGTAACTACAATGCAAAGATTGTAATGCAATGACCCAACTAAGAGGGTGCATCAGAATCAGCTGGAATGTGGTCTTAAAATACTCATACTCAAGGCCTCACCCCAGATTTATTGAATGAGATTCATCAGTAGATAGACCTTGATTGACATGTATTTTGTAAAACTATCCCAGATGATTCTATTTATGCCCCTGGTTAAAAATAGCTAAATACTGACAAGGGTATAGAGAATCAGGCTTCCTCATGTGCTATTGGCATGAGGGTAAATTGATATAGTACCGCCTATAGAACAGTTTTGCTGTATCTATCAAAATTTCAAATCAGTCCAATAGGAATACATACATCCACAAAGATCTAGTTTCAAGAAAGTTTCTTATAGACCTATTTATAATTTCAAACAATTGTGAGCAGCTGAATGATTGTCAGTATACAAATGGTTAAGTACATACACTGTGGTATAGATACCACAGTGGTTTACTGTGTAACTATTTAAATAATAAAGTATTTTTGAAAATTATACATGCAGATATAGAAATATATCTAGGATGTATTTTTTAAAAATATTTTATTTATTTATTCACGAGAGACACACAGAGAGAGAGATAGAGGCAGAGACACAGGCAGAGGGAGAAGCAGGCTCCGTGCAGGGAGCCCGACGTGGGACTCGATCCCGGGTCTCCAGGATCATGCCCTGTGCTGAAGGTGGCGCTAAACCGCTGAGCCACCAGGGCTGCCCTCTAGGATATATTGTTAAATTGAATAAGCAAATTACAGAATAAACCCATTTAAAAACTTTATATGTAAATATATATAAAGATTTGGAAGAATACTCATCAAAGTATTTACAGTGGTTATCCATGACAGAAGAATGGGAATGGTGGAGGGGGAGGTATAGGCAGGCCTTTTTACTTTTATATTTTGAATATTTGCAATAAGATTTTGTTATTTTGTAATAACAAAGAGAAACACTGGACAAAACACTGAGTGATTTAAAGGAAACTTGTATGAAACCTAATTTATATGTGTCAGAATACTGCTTACTTTGTAAATACCAGTTTTAACCTGAGACTTATAATTTCTAACTTGTGAAAGCAAAAGGAATGCAAAACTATTTTGAATGTTTACTAAGAGGATAAAGTTTTGTTACATTAAAATTTATGAAAGTAATTGAGAGTTTCAAATAGTATTTAAAGTAAAAGTCATTTACCTTGTATCAGAATTATATTAGCTACCTGTTTTAAAAATATTTAGTGTTTGTGGAAACACTGACTTTAAATATTGAAAATATTTAGTGTTTCATATCAGGATATGAAAATTGGGTACAGGATATTTTAGTGAATTCTTTTTCAATTGATACGCCTCTAGCCTGTGAGGATATTAACACCTTTTAATCTCTCTCTCTCTCTTTTTTTTTTTTAAACTTTAGGCCCGATGAGAGAAAGGGAAAGTTAAGGATGCTGGAGCAGAACAATGGATTTCTCTTTCTCTTTCATGCAAGGGATCATGGGAAACACAATTCAGCAACCACCTCAACTCATTGACTCCGCCAACATCCGTCAGGAGGATGCCTTTGATAACAACAGTGACATTGTTGAAGATGGTGGCCAGACACCATATGAAGCTACCTTGCAGCAAGGCTTTCAATACCCACCTACAACGGAAGATCTTCCTCCACTCACAAATGGCTATCCACCATCAATCAGCATGTATGAAACTCAAACCAAATACCAGTCATATAATCAGTATCCCAATGGATCAGCCAATGGCTTTGGTGCAGTTAGAAACTTTAGCCCCACTGACTATTACCATTCAGAAATTCCAAACACAAGACCACATGAAATTCTGGAAAAACCTTCTCCTCCACAACTACCACCTCCTCCTTCGGTACCACAAACTGTGATTCCAAAGAAGACTGGCTCACCTGAAATTAAACTAAAAATAACCAAAACTATCCAGAATGGCAGGGAATTGTTTGAGTCTTCCCTTTGTGGAGACCTTTTAAATGAAGTACAAGCAAGTGAGCACACAAAATCAAAGCATGAAAGCAGAAAAGAAAAGAGGAAAAAAAGCAACAAGCATGACTCATGTAGATCTGAAGAGCGCAAGTCACACAAAATCCCCAAATTAGAGCCAGAGGAACAAAATGTAAGTTGAAATATCTTTTTTTTTTTTTTAAGATTTTATTTATTTATTCATAGAGACAGAGAGAGAGAGAGGGGCAGAGGCACAGGCAGAGGGAGAAGCAGGCTCCATGCAGGGAGCCTGATGTGGGACTCGATCCAGGGTCCCTAGGATCACACCTCAGGCTGCAGGCGGCGCTAAACTGCTGCGCCACTGGGGCTGCCCTGAAATATCTTTTTGAAAAATTTTTTAATATTTCAGATTTACTGGAAGTCCAAGATAAATTTTTCAGTTTTTATCCCTTCAAATTTAAATATTTCTGATAACTTCTTTCTTCTAACCCCTAGCCAGGAGCTGAGGATGTTATGATGGGTGCTGAGTAAAATTTTTTGAATAAATGAATGGATATCATTAGAGTGAAGAAATATTTTTGAAAACATGGGACACTAAGGGACACCTGGGTGGTGCCTCAACGGTTGATTGTCTGCCTTTGGCTCAGGGCATGATCCTGGAGTTCTGGGCTCAAGTCCCACATTGGGCTCCCCACATGGAGCCAGCTTCTCCCTCTGCCTGTCTCTCTGGCCTCTCTGTCTCTCTCTCTGTATCTCTTGAATACATAAATAAAATCTTAAAAAAAAAAATATGGGACACTAAGAACCTTGCTGCTTATGTTTTTTTTTTAATTTAATAGCTTCACTTATTTTTGTTTGCATATAATAAACTCCTTTTTTTTAAGAGGAACAGGAAAAGCAAAGAGAAGTGGTTAATAATATTAGTTTTCTTTATTTTGACCAACTTTTTCCAGTGTTAATGACCTAACACTCATTACTATTGTGTTTGCTACAAAATAATATGAAGTAATAGAAGAACTCTTTTTATTAAAATCAGAGTTAGGGATCCCTGGGTGGCTCAGCGGTTTGGCGCCTGCCTTTGGCCCAGGGCGCGATCCTGGAGACCCGGGATCGAATCCCACATCGGGCTCCCGGTGCATGGAGCCTGCTTCTCCCTCTGCCTGTGTCTCTGCCTCTCTCTCTCTCACTGTGTGCCTATCATAAATAAATAAAACAAACAAAAAAAATTAAAAAAAAAATAAAATCAGAGTTAGTATTCATATATATTAAAACTTCAGGCAGAATTTTTATAAAAGTCATCCTTCACTGGTAACTTAAGATGCATGCTACTGAATTTTTTTTTTTTAGTATACCTGAGGTTTCAGTATGAATTTTCTTAATAATAGGTATGTAACAAATCAATTCTACCTTGAATGTTTAGTTGGTATTCAAATACATGTATGAATTGAAGACATTTCTCAGACGTTGATTTGGGAAGAAATAAATATTTGTTTTACAACACTAGTCTGCTTTTATATCTGGTATGTCTGAATAAATTAATATGTTATATTGTTTTTAAAGAAATGTTTACTTCATACCAGCTCACCTTTTCCTTGATAGTTGGGTTCCAATGAGAAGATAACATATGTACTTACATATGAACATACATATACAAGTTCAGATAGTGTTAATTGCTAATGAAAATAAAACTGGGTAATGAGATAAAGAGATTATTTTTTTTAATAAAGGTTTTTATTTATTCATGAGAGACAGAGAGATTGAGGCAGAGACACAGGCAGAGGGAGAAGCAGGCTTCATGCAGGTTGCCCAATGTGGGACTCAATGTGGGACTTGATCCCAGGTCTCCAGGCTCACACCCTGGGCCAAAGGTGGCGCTAAACCGCTGATCCACCCAGGCTGCCTGATAAAGAGATTATTTAAAGACACTTTAGCTATTCTGGTGTCTTAGTTCTGCATTTGTAAGATGAAGGCTTTGTAACTAAGTAGTTTCTAAAATGCCATTTAATTTATTAAATCATTTATTAAATGCCCCACCCCTGAACTTAGCTTATATTGTATCTTATACTGGCTGTTTCTTAAGTAAGAATACATGGAAGGAGAAAAGTTAACCTTTTATACTTCAGATGCATTCACTGTAGCATGTTTTTAGACCTGCAGTAAAAAAGTATGTGATGCACTGTGACCCTTGGGAATCACAAAAATGCGTAAAACCTGAATTTGGTTAAAACCAAAGCAAAAGCTTAGTTCCTGAGAACTGTTTTGTTGGCCCTTCTTGCTTTTTTGCTCTAGAGAATCTGGCAAATAGAATATCAATTTTACTTCCTGGGCTAGACTTTTTACCTCTATTGATAAAGTACATTCAAAAATATATTCCAAAATAGAAATAGGTCTAGAAGCAGTTAGAAGCAGGATAAGACAATTTGCTCACTTTTTGTATTTCCGTTTTGTTTATTGGAATCTAGGAAAAAAATCAGTGCAATGATATTTCTAATAGTCACTTAAAAATGTTTTTAAAGATTTTATTTATGAGAGACAGTCAGAGACATAAGCAAAGGGAGAAGCAGGCTCCCTGTGGAGAGTCCCATGTGGGGCTCAATCCCCAGACCCTGGGATTACAACCTGAATTTAAGGCACATGTTCAACCGCTGAGCCACCAAGACATCTGTAAAAAAAATTTTTTTTAAGATTTTATTTATTTGACAGAGAGTGAGCGAGCACAAGCTAGGGGAGGGGCAGAGGGAGAGAGAGAAGCAGACTCCCTACTGAGCAAGGAGCACAACTTGAGGGCTCTACCCTGGGATCATAACCCAAGCCAAAGGCAGATGCTTAAGTAAGCCACCCACACGCCCCTCTAATAAGTCACTTTGTAATGAGATTTTAAAGCCAGTTCTTTGTTGGATATCTGCTATGACTACTCTTTGTATCACTTAAACCTTCATTTAATTGTTATATCCAGGGATTCAAATGATTACATATGATTTAAAAGTTTTAGTTCATTTTCTTTTTTGGTAAATCATGTGGGGCATAATTTAATATTTCATTATTTAAGATCTTGAGGTAAGAGATACAGATGTAGAAAGTGATATTGATTGCACTAAGTATTACCAAGACTGTTGCCTGAAAGTTGAGTTTTTGGTGAAAATCCAGGTTTTTTTGTTTTGTTTCTCTCCTTCCCCTTCCCATTCCCTGTCCTTTTCTCTCCTTGCCCTCTTTTCCCTCCCCCTATTCTTCTTTCCCTCTTTCTCTATGTTACTCTCCTTGCCCATCTTCCTTTTTTTTTTCCAAAGGGAAAAGAGAGTTCTTAGTTGATTTTGATTAATTAAAATGTATCACACATGGGGAATAGTTATAACCATAAGAGATGGGTGCCATAAAAGTTATACTCCATTCTGATAACAGAATGTTAAAGCTAGAGCTCTCAAGGCTCTTGCTTGTTATTAGTGTCATGCTTCAATAAACTGTACAGATGAGCAGCAATGTTCACAAAATAATTGGTTTTGTAATCTTATGGTTTTTTTTTTTTTAATTAGGTTTCCTTAACTTGAACATTTATTTTGTTTCCCTTAGGACAGTCTTTTGTGTTTCATTTTTGATACCCTTGTGCCTCCTAATTGTTACTAAGGGTCCAAGCCCTTGGTATTTAACATTGTAGAGGGCTTAGAAATGAAAAAGGAGCTCAAGTCACAGTCTGCTGACGCCACTGGACAGCTCCCCTCCCCAGATGCTTTAGAGAAGTATAATGAGAATTGAGTGCTTGGAGAAAAAGTTTGAAATGATTGTCCTTAAGCTGGATTTGCTTTTATATATAATTTTGTTCTTTAAAAGTCCATTCATAGGGTGTTTTTTCTTTCCTTTTTTTTTTTTGAGCAAACACTCTCATTTGAAGTAATAGTTTGTGATTTCACTCACTGTCCCCCCCCCCTTTTTTTTTCTTTTTTCTTGGTATTTGATCTACAAGTATTTCCTCCCAATTCTGAGCTGTTTGGCCTTCTAAATAGTGGCTGTTACTTGGAACAACTTAAGTATATCTTCTCAACAATAAAATGTGTCCAAACATCTAGGCAGCGGGAGACTTGAGATCACTACTGAAATTGTATATTTTGTAAAGCTGGCTTAGCTGTTTTTCCTCCTATCAAATTAGAAACATGTGGAAATGTTTCTGCATGTAGTCCTCTTTGGCAGGTGTCATGCCTCCCGGGTATGAGTGTAGGATCTATTCAAACATTGGTCTTCCACCAGCACTTCAGTGGGCTTATCCACTAAGTCTAGTCTTTATTAACTCTTAGCTTGCCATTTTCACTTATAAAAAGCCAAATACTGGCTTCAGTTCCATTAGCACAAAGTTAGAGGTTACGTTTGGTTCTCTAGCCTCAGAGTGTTATGTCTTAAAATTTTAGAAACTGTTCACATGCAAAATGTTCTTTTTGTACAAGTGTTTTAAGATTATAAACTTAAGCAGTTATTCAGAAAGTCAAAAAAATGCACGAATAATTTATTGCCTTTGAACTTTTCTTCCACCTTAAATGTTAATATAAGTTTTGGGTTTTTAAAAATAGTATGATTTTACTTAATGTTTTGAAAATTATTAGTGGTTAGGAATTCTGCCAGTTTTGATACAGTTTGTTGTAATGAATCTCTTGAATTTTAATAAAAATACTAGGCCAAGTTTTTTAAAAGGAATATTTTGGATGATGTAATTTTAGTTGTTCTCAACATATTTTTTTCCTGTTTAAGAAACTTCTTGTTATTCTTTCCTGGAATATAGGTCTTTCTGTATGGAGTCAACTAAAAATGTAAAAAAGAGATATAAACTCATAAAATCAAAAGTTTAAAACTAAGGAGAGCTAACTCACTGTCATCTTTTTCTCTGAGGCTCTCTTCCTAAAGCAACACTGTTAGTACCAGAAAAGGTATCTTTTGTCCTTACTTGATTTTAATCTCCTTTAAGCTTCTCTATCTTTTGAACGACTAAAGGAAAATGGATGTTATACCCAGAAGTATTTTATCTGTTGGCATTTTCTGACTAATTTTTCTTGACCCCTAAGCATTTGACTTCCTTGACCACATTATGTTGTCTTAAAAACTTCTCTCCTTAACTGGTGTTTGTGATACTGTGCTATCTGTTGGTTTATCTCCTTAACCTTTCTTTTGGGTTCAAGTCATAGGCACCTCTAAATGGTAACTGGATGTTTCTCCCATCCAAATAGTAATCAGGCCCAGGATGCCTGGGCGGCTCAGTGGTTGAGCATCTGCCTTTGGCTCAGGATGTGATCCCGGAGTCCCAGGATCCAGTCCTGCTCAGGCTCCCTGCAGGAAGCCTGCCTCTCCCTCTGCCTTTGTCGCTGCCTCTCTCTCTGTGTCTGTCTTTCATGAATAAGTAAATAAAATCTTTAAAAAAAATTAAATTAGGGGATCTCTGGGTGGCTCAGCGGTTTGGTGCCTGCCTTTGGCCCGGGGTGCGATCCTGGAGTCCCGGGATTGAGTCTCACATCGGGCTCCTGGTATGGAGCCTGTTTCTCCCTCTGCCTGTCTCTCTCTCTCTCTCTCTCTCTCTCTCTCTCTCTCTCTCTCTCTCTGTCTGTCATAAATGAATAAGTAAAAAATCTTAAAAAAAATTAAATTAAAAATACTAACCAGGCCCAACTCTGCTTAGCTTCTGAGATCAGATAAGATTAGGCGCATTTCAGGGTGGTATGGCTGTAGACTAAATGCCTATTCGATATTTCTATTTTGCCCATGCATTAGCATACTTTACAATGTATGTTATATTTGATTTCTATCATCACAGCATCCTTATTCGACTTTCTTTTACTTGTGTAGTCTTAAAAGCTTAGAATAATAAGTCGTAGGCTTTTTTCTCTCCCTTGCCATTGTTTTCCTTTTAAGATGACTGTGTAAACAACTTCAGTTCTGTGAAAGTGATTTTAACAGTATTTCTTACTAGCCTGAAGGAAAAGCGAACATTCTGGAACAAACCAAAAAAAGATAAGACATTTGTATAATAAAAAGTTTTGAAGGAAATCCTGTCTTTAATCCAGAAAGGGAAAAATGTTAATGGACTTCAGACCATTCTTACAATAATAGTAGAATTCTGTTGTTTGGTAAAGATGAGTCACTCCTTATCTATCTGCCCTCAAAAGGAGTTACAGAGATCCCTTACCACCCAGACATCATGAAGATTGAATGTGTGGAGGAGGATGACTCTGCATATGTATTTGCCTCAAGTGGCCTTGTCTTCCTGTGGTAGCTTGAGAATGAGAAGTTGAGGTGATTGAAGTGAAGCTACCCAAAAGGCCTATGCAGATGGGGACAGGATTTGCAGACTGCTTTATTATCATACTAGCGATCTGGAAAACAGTTTTCATTTGAACATAGATTTTTCCTTCCCTGCTCAATGAGTGTGTCCTATTAGATTGCATAATCATGGTACTACCACAGACACATCTGATAGGAAATTTTGTGCCCATCAGCAAGTTACTACTACTTTTCTTCACCTGGGCTATTTTCAGTATTTTCACCCACCTAATTAAACATTCTGTTTTCCCTCCTGCTCCTTTCCAAAATAATTCTCCATGTAATAGCTAACATGATCTTTTTAAAACATAAATCATTGTCTGTTACTTCTCTCATCCTCTTTGGTGGCTTTTTAGTACCCTTAATATAAAAGACTTGAATATACTTACAGAGCCCTTGGAATGTAGCCTGCCTCCCCACTTTCATCTTGTAACCTCTGTCTTCTCTGGGCAGTTAAGTTAGTTGTAATGCCTTCCTGAAATTTCCACTTTTTAAGCCCCAGGAACTTCACACATGCCTTGCCTTTTTTCTGGAATGTTCTCCTTTCCACATTTTACTAGACTAATTATTCTTCCTTTGATGCTCAGATTATATTATATTTTCTTAGAGAGGCCTTTCCTGGCCTTCATATTTAGAGATATACACCTCCCTATTATTTGTCTTTCATACATTTAGATTGTATATGTTTTTGTTTGTTTAATGTCTGTCTATTCTACCCAACCATAAGCTTTTTGAGGTGAGGGATCAAATCTATGTGTTTCATTATTGCATAGTCACCTAGAGCAGTGCCTGGAAAGTCATAGGCACTGTTGAATAAATGATTGAGGCTTGGGTTTTGGATATTAGTCTGATTCATCATTTCCTAATAGTTATGGGCCTTTCTACAACTTTTTTATTTAATAAAACTTTGTTTTTACAACAGTGTCTTGAATTAATTGAGAATTTTAAGTAACTTTTAGAATTACTCATTTTTAAATTGGAATTAAGATTTAACTTGATGGATAAAGCTCTCTATACCACCTAGATTGAGTTCTGTTCTTTTTTTTTAAATATTTTATTTATTTATTCATGAGAGACACAGGCAGAGGGAGAAGCAGACTCTATGCAGGGAGCCCGACATGGGACTCGATCCTGGGTCTCCAGGATCAGGCCCTGGGCTGAAGGCAGATGCCAAACTGCTGAGCCACCCGGGGATCCCTGAGTTCTGTTCTTTGAGAAGTTTTATGTTTTAAGGTTTTTTTTTAAGATTTTATTTATTAGAGTGCACACATGCACATAAGCAGCAGGGAAGGGCGGGGAGAGAGGGACAAGCAGACTCTCCGCTGAGCAGGGAACCCAACATGGGGGTCAATTCCAGGAGCCTGAGATCATGACCTGAGCCACCCAGGTGCCCTGACAAGTGAGAAGTTTTAAAAAGTCTTTTAAATTATAAAAGTAATCTGCATTTTACAGAAAATACAAATAACACAAAAATGTCGATCTTCCTTCACTATTTCCTTAATTTCATTCCCCAAAGATAGCTATTCTTCTTAATCTGGTGTAAAATGTATTGAATACTTTTCAAAGCATATATAGGCTTTTTTAAAATAAAAAATTGAAGATGTTGATAGACATAGATTACTGACATGAAATAATGCTATACTTACCATCCTCTACTTAGATTTTCTTTTTTTTTTTTAAGATTTCATTTATTTATTCATGAGAGACACACAGAAAGAGAGAGAGCGAGAGAGGCAGAGAGAGAAGCAGGCTCCCTACAGGGAACCTGATGTGGGACTTGATCCCAGGACACTGGGATCACGCCCTGGGCTGAAGGCAGGAGCCAAACCGCTGAGCCACCCAGGGATCCCCAATTTTCTCATTTTGTTTTCTGTAGATAATTTTCTTAAAATATAATTGCCTGAATGAAGAGTGACATATTTTGAATTTTGACAGATACTTCTAAATAGCCTAAAGGGTTGTAGAAATTAATTTTTAAGTAATGTATTTGTGGGTTTTATGATTAGAAAAGTAATGTTTATCATAGACAATTTGAAAATTCAGAAAACCACCAAAAAATCACCTTTTCCATAACCTGGTGGTATTCTTCTAATTTTTCTTTCTATGCATATAAAAAAAAATATTTTCCCGAGATCAGAATCATACTATACAAACTGCTTTGCAATTTGCTCTTTTTAAGCAACGTTATATTATTATTTTCCCATGGCATTTTTTTTTTCAGAAGATTTTATTTTTAAGTAATCTCTGCACCCAGTGTGGGGCTTGAATGCACAAACCTGAGATCAAGAGCCACATGCTCTACCAGCTGAGCCAGCCAGGCACCCTTTCCATGTGATTTTAAAATTTATTTATGTTACTTCACTATCTAGTCATACTGTAACTTACTATACTAATTTAAATTACTGGACATCTAGATTGTTTTCTAATATTTGCTCCTATAAATAGGACTAGTGTGCATATCCTTGTGTGTGTGTGTATATATTTATACCTCTCAATTCCAAATTATGTCTTAGTAGCAATCTCAGAGTGCTCGTTTTTCTGCACCCTGTTAGTTTAAAAAACAACAACAGTCAACAAATTAAGTTTTAAAAGTAAAAGAAATGAGAGATACAGCTATGGAGTGGAATGGAACATGAGTTTAAGACATAGCATCATGTACTGCATTAGTTGTATTCTTACTATCTACATTATTAAGTTAATAAATGTCCTTTATTCTCTTTGCTATTTAGTTTTGGTTCTTTTTGTATATGTTACTATTCTTTGGTTGGCTCCATTTTGTTCTTTTTATCTATACATTTTCACCTAGAGACCAAATGAGAGGGTTGACACTGTGTCAGAAAAACCAAGAGAAGAGCCAGTACCTAAAGAGGAACCCCCGGTGAGTTGCTGTATTGAATACTGTCTAACCAGGTATGGATGGCATAAGGAGGTGTAAGCAGGGTAATTAAATTATAATACATTTCATATATACTATTACAGTTCTATATTTCTGGATTTCAGAAATTATACTGAAATAAATCTTGGCACTTGTTTTACTCAGCCATTAGAAATGACAAATACCCACCATTTGCTTCGACGTGGATGGAACTGGAGGGTATTATGCGGATTGAAATAAGTCAGTCGGAGGACAAACATTATATGGTCTCATTCATTTGGAGAATATAAAAAATAGTGAAAGGGAATAAAGGGGAAAGGAGAAAAAAATGAGTGGGAAATATCAGAGAGGGAGACAGAACATGAGAGACTCCTAACTCTGGGAAACGAACAAGGGGTGGTGGAAAGGGAGGTGGGCAGGGGGTGGGGGTGACTGGGTGACGGGCACTGAGGGGGGCACTTGATGGGATGAGCACTGGGTGTTAGGCTATATATTGGCAAATTGAACTCCAATAAAAAGAAAAAAGGTAGATACTTCCAGTGAATTATTTTCTTTTCAAAACTGTGACCATTTTTTCTTATTGAAGTATGACTGACATATATAAATGACCACTTTATGATGGATTATGTGTGTTCTCAAGATGCCTTATCAATAATAATAAGACATCAGTCCTATTTTCAATATTTGGAGTGGGGCTTATTATTTTCCTTCTCTTCCTTTTGTCGAGTTATGGTTAGATATCAGGGAAGGTATAATTGAAGATAAATTTTACATGGTTAGCATGTTTAATGTACTTTGTTCATAGTTTCTTTTTCTTTTTTTTACTTTCTTTGCTGATGAAGTTTTGTGACCTTTCTTATAGGTTCAGCCAATATTATCTTCTGTTCCAACAACAGAAGTGTCTGCTGGTGTTAAGTTCCAGGTTGGCGATCTTGTTTGGTCTAAGGTGGGAACCTATCCTTGGTGGCCTTGCATGGTTTCAAGTGATCCCCAGCTCGAGGTTCATACCAAAATTAATACAAGAGGTAATTATAAAGGCATAAATAGATATTAATGAAAAGGCTGGGGAAAAATGGAATCTTAATTGTTGTATACAATTATAAGGATATGCACATGAGGGGCACCTGGGGGCTCAATTGGTTAAGCATATGACTCTTGATTTCAGCTCATAGTCTCATGGATCATGGGATCGAGTCCTGCATCAGGCTCCACACTCAGCGGGGAGTCTGCTTGAGGGTTCTCTCCATCTGCCCCTCCCCCCACTCATGCTCTCTTTCTCTCTCTCTAAGGTAAATAAATATTTTTTTTAAAAAAGAGAAAGATATGCACATGATATATAATCTGACACAAAAATACCAATTTTTAATAACCAGTGATAGAATTAGGGTCATCCTAATAGGCAGTAAGCCTCTACAACTGAGATAGTCCTTGTTTCCCCCTATAACACCCTACATTTGTTTTATAATTTCTTCTTTACTTCTTTAAAAACCATTATCTGACTGACATCTCATTATGAATTCCAAAAGAAAGCAGTTGGGTAAGTAATAAGATGTCTTACGTGAGTTTAGTGGGCATTTGGGTCACATTTCTGTTGTACACTTTATTTCATCATTGACTCCTATGAGTAGTAATTTTTTACTGACACAAGTGCTTTTCATCCTGATAAAATTTTCAGGGTGTTTTTCCCTCCACCCTGTTTTTGAATATGTAAATTTTTCTGGCATATCCGTATAAATTCAGTGCAACATGGACCTACAGCTTGAATCTAGCATTTAGCATAGAATTTTACTTTAGGGAAAAAAAAAGAATTTTACCTTAGGAATATTAATAAATGTTAAGAAAAGATGTTTTCTAATTTTTTTCCATGGGTTTGTCTGAAACACGTGGATTAGATTTCTGAGATACTAACACTTGGAATGGACTTGTTTAGTTAGCCAGGGGAAGTTTTGAGCTTGGAATTTATTTCTGGATATTTGCTTTGTGAACTCTTGTTATGTGTTGAGTTCCTTATTGTTTGTGACAACTTTGCTCCTATTTCTTTTTCTTATTTTAAACTTTCTATCTTGCTCCCTGTTCACTATTATGAAGAGAAGAAATGTCTACATAAGTCCTGCAAGTCAGATTTGTGACAAGATCAGCCAGATATGTAACTTTTTATGCTACACAGTCAATAATCTGTGCTGATACAGAGGCAATTATGTGTCATTATAACCTGCTAATTAAAGATTGGGTAACTGGAAGCATTAATGGGGCATAAGGAAAAAAGAAAAACCAGCATTGTTGAATGTCTCCCTTCACGTAAGGCACTGTGTTAAGCAATTCTCTTGAATGTTTTATGCATTCCACATAGCAGCAACACTATGAAGTAGACACTGTTATTATCCTTGTGTTTTGAATAAGTAAATAGAGTTTCAGAGGGACCTTATTCCATAACCTCCATACTTTAACATACTGTATATTAAAAAGAAAATAATTGAATTCACCTAGTCATAATAAGGTTGGGGTAAGGCAGTCCTAGTTCTTTCATTTATTACTCCTTACTGAAGATGTTGGACTAATAATCTCTGAAATACCTTGCAGGTTTAATAATCTATGATTCTGTGGATGGGAGAAGAAAGGGACAAGTATTTCCCAAAGGATCAAGCCTTTTTTTTTTAAGTTTTTATTTTAGTTCCAGGTAACAAAAAGTGTTATATTAGTTTCAGGTGTACAGTATAGTGATTCAGCACTTACATACATCATCCTGTGCTCATGACAAGTACCCTCCTTAATCCCTATCACCTATTTAATCGATCCCCCACCCACCTCCTCTCTGATAACCATCAGTTTGTTCTCTATAATTGAGTCTGTTTCTTGTTTTGTCTCTCTCTTATTTTTCCCCTTTGTTTGTTAAATTCCACATCTGAGTGAAATCATATGGTATCTGACTTTTTTCACTTAGCATTATACTCTCTAGCTCCATCCATGTTGTTGCAAATGGCAAGACTCCATTCTCTTTATGGATGAGTAATATTCCATTGTATATACATACCACATCTTCTTTATCCATTCTTTCATCAATTGCTGGACACTTCAGCTGCTTCTATATCTTAGATATTAGAAATAATTTGGCTATAACATAAGGGTGCATGTATCCCTTTGAGTTAGAATTTTTCTGTTCTTTGGGTACATACCCAGTAGTGCAGTGGCTGGATCATAAGGTAGTTCTGTTTTTAACTTTTTGAGGAACCTCCTTACTGTTTTCCACAGTGGCTGCACCAGTTGCATTTTCACCAACAGTGCAGGATGGTTCCCCTTTCTCCGCATCCTGGTCAACAACTGTTGTTTCTTATGCTGTTGATTTTAGTCATTCTGACAGGTGTGAGGTGGTATCTCATTGTAGTTTCAGTTTGCATTTCCCTGATGATCAGTAATGAGCATCTTTTCATGTTTCTGTTAGGACCAAGCCTTCTTAAATAAAATAATCCACGTACTTACCTACATCTCTTCAGTGCTCTAAGGTATTATGTCATGTAAGAGTTGTGGCTCTTCATTGCTCTCCTTAGAAAAGCATGCTTTTGAGATTATATAAAGAGTTTCACTTTTTTTTTTAAAGATTTTTATTTATTCATGAGAATACACAGAGAGGAGAGAGAGAGGCAGCGACACAGGCAGAAGGAGGAGCAGGCTCCATGCAGGGTGCCTGATGTGGGACTCGGTCTCGGTCTCAGGTCCCCAGGATCACGCTGAAGGCGGTGCTAAACCGCTGAGCCACTTGGGCTGCCCAAGAGTTTCACTTTCTTTTTTTCTTTTTTTTTTATTTTTTTAAGAGTTTCACATTAAATGACTTTATGAAAACCCGCTAATTTCAGCCTTTTTATGGGATATAAGTGAAAGCACAATTTATGCTGCATCGGTATTTCAAAGGAAGTACTTAAATTTAGTTTTAGGAATTAATCTCATTTGGTCTGGAATTTCCTCGGCAGTCTCCTACTTTTTTCCAGTCTGGATCTGCTTTTTACCCTTCTCTTTTGGCCTGTCTGAATCGTTTTGGATTCCTCCACGACCAGTTATACATTACTCTATTAGCCTGAGATTTTTTTTGTAGAAAAAAGAAAAGTGTTTTTCAAACTATGTTTGGTAAAGGATCTATTTTTGTTCTATTTTTAAAAATTTCCAATCCACCATGGACCAATATTTATATAAACTACAATAGAAGTAACTATTAGAGGGGATCCCTGGGTGGCTCAGCGGTTTGGCGCCTGCCTTTGGCCCAGGGCGCGATCCTGGAGTCCCAGAATCGAGTCCCACGTCTGGCTCCCGGCATGGAGCCTGTTTCTCTCTCCTCCTGTGTCTCTGCCTCTTTCTCTCTCTCTCTCTGTGTCTATCATAAATAAAAATAAATACATAAATAAATCTTTAAAAAAAAAAAGAAGTAACTATTAGAAAAATGAAAGGCCTCTCCCTGAGGGTTAAAAAAAAAAAAAAACATAGTACAAGATCCCTGATCGTTTGCCTGGATGTCATGGCAATGTCAAATTATCATAATTTCTAAATGCTTACTGTGCTTATTGTCATAAACTGGCTTCTTTTGGGAACCACACTTAGAGAGTAGCACTGTTCTAGAGCAGCAGTTCTCAGATATTTGTTCCCAGAACCCTTTTAACTCTTACTATTTGAAGACTCTAAAAAGCTTTTGTTTACATGGGTTATATCTATTACTATTTATTTTAATTTGGAAATTAAAACTAAGAGAATTTAAAAATATTTACTGATTAATATAAAAATAATCCATTATGTTTTCATGTTTTTTTATAAAAAATAACTATTTTATCAAAAAAAATATTAATGAGAAGAACAGTATCATTTACCTCATTGAAGATCTCTTTAATGTCTGGCTTAAGTGAAGGTACTAGATTCTTGTATCTGCTTCTATATTCGATCTGTTATGATTTGGGGTTTTTTGGTTTAATTATTTGAAGATAATCTGGCTTCAGGCAGATGTGTAGTTGAAAAGGGATAGTGTATTTTAATAGCCTTTTGAGGTAATTGTGGATATATTTCTTTGATATTACACTAAAACTCAACAAGTGGTAGGTTAGTTGCAATACAGAATATGAAATCATATCCATAAACTTTTTGTACTTTGTTACATTGGAATCCATTGGTTCTGTCTTGCAGTTTGAGTGAATCTTTTACCTTTCATGATTTTGTAACTTTGTATATTGGCCATTTAAAAATACTGGTTTTGGGGTGCCTGGGTGGCTCAGTCAAGCATCTGGCTTCAGCACAGGTCATGAACTCAGGATCCTGGGATTGAGCCCCGCCCCTGTGGGGCTCCACACTAGGCCACTAAGCACAGACTATGCTTATATTCTCCCGTCAACCCCTTGGAGGCACACTTTCTCTCTCTCAAATAAACCTTAAAAAAATAAAAATTGGTTTTATGAAGTGAGACTTATATTCCAAATGTGGACACGTTCCTCTAGTTTTTTTATTTTGTTTTTGTTTTGGTCTTTAGATCAAGAGTACACTGGGGGGTGGAGTAGAGGGGGCACAGGAAGAGAGAATCTCAAGCAGGCTCCACACCCAGTTGTTTTGACTCACCACACAGGGGCCCCATCCTCTATAGATATTTTAAAAATCACATTAGTTTATATGACCAGTTATTTCATCAGAAAATCTTTGATTATTGAGAAGTTGGAAGACTCATAGGGGTAGATACTAGTTTTCCAAAATTCTAATTTTAGCTTGAAAGATCAAATTTTATCTTTGACAACAAATACTGTCAGTTGATTTGCTTGAAATAGCAAACTTGCTCTGTTTGTTTTTAAGGAAATACCTGCCAGATGGTCAAGTTCAAATAATCATAGTTTTTCTGTCAGTCATTCTTTTTTTTTTTCTTTAAGATTTTATTTACTTATTCATGTGAGAGAGAGAGGCAGAGACCCAGGTAGAGGGAGAAGCAGGCTCCATACAGGGAGCCCGATGTGGGACTTGATCCGGGGACTCCAGGATCATGCCCTGGGCCTAAGGCAGGGGCTAAACTGCTGAGCCACCCAGGGATCCCCATCAGTCATTCTTTCAAATAAAAATGATGTTTTATGAAAAAGTGGCTAGTGATTTTGCAACTTAATCATACAAGTACTTTTTCTCAAGATAACTGTTATACTTTAGTGTGTAAAAGTGCTTTATGCATACTTCTCATTTCATCATGCAGAATATTAAAAGACAGTGTCCAAAGGTTGAAAATTAATGAAATTAATCATTCTTTTTTTTATTTTTATTTTTTTATTTATTTATGATAATCACACAGAGAGAGAGAGAGGCAGAGACACAGGCAGAGGGAGAAGCAGGCTCCATGCACCGGGAACCCGACGTAGGATTCGATCCCGGGTCTCCAGGATCGCGCCCTGGGCCAAAGGCAGGAGCTAAACCACTGTGCCACACAGGGATCCCCAAAATTAATCATTCTTACCACTTCAACAAGGACATGAAATGAAACTGGCTTTTGTTTTATTTTAGCTGCCAGTGTATGACTGTGAAGAATGTGATACTAGTATAGTTTGGTGTCAATCACTTTTTATTTGTGCTAACATGCCAGCAGTCTTATCCATCATTGTCCTTTTTTTTTTTTTTAAAGATTTATTTATTTATTCATTTATGATAGACATAGGCATAGAGAGGCAGAGACACAGGCAGAGGGAGAAGCAGGCTCCATGCCAGGAGCCCGATGCGGGACTCGATCCCGGGTCTCCAGGATCATACCCCGGGCCAGAGGCAGGCGCTAAACCGCTGAGCCACCCAGGGATCCCCCTCCATCATTGTTCTTGCAGTATGAAGTGCAAATGCCAACACAGTGAAAAGACAATAGCATCTTGGTATTATTATGAAGATAGTTTTGACCTCACAGGACCCCTGAGAGAGTCAGTGACCTTTCTCCACCCCAAATCTGTATAGCTCACTTTCATATAGCCAGAAAAGCAATTCAATTAATACTTTTAAAGTCCAAGAATAGGGGATCCCTTGGTGGCTCAGCGGTTTAGCGCCTGCCTTTGGCCCGGGGCACGATCCTGGAGTCCTGGGATCGAGTCCCATGTCGGGCTCCCGGCATGGAGCCTGCTTCTCCCTCCTCCTGTCTCTGCCTCTCTCTCTCTCTTTCTATGTCTATCATTAAAAAAAAAAAAATTAATTAATTAAAAAAAATAAAGTCCAAGAATATATGTCATACATTTTAAAAGATTTTATTTAGGGATCCCTGGGTGGCGCAGCGGTTTGGCGCCTGCCTTTGGCCCAGGGCGCGATCCTGGAGACCCAGGATCGAATCCCACATCGGGCTCCCGGTGCACGGAGCCTACTTCTCCCTCTGCCTGTGTCTCTGCCTCTCTCTTTCTCTCTCTCTCTCTCTCTCTCTGTGACTATCATAAATAAATAAATTAAAAAAATTTTTTTTAATAAAATAAAAGATTTTATTTATTTATTTATTTATTTATTTATTTATTATTTATTTATTTATTTATAAGAGAGTGCTTGCATATGAGTAGGGGGAGGAGCAAAGGGAGAGGAAGAAGCAGGCTCCCTGTTGAGCAGGGAGCCTGATGTGGGGCTCTATCCTAGGACCTTGGGGGACCATGACCTGAGCCAAAAGCAGATGCTCAACTGACTGAGCTACCCACTGCCCCTGTTACACATTTTTTTTTTAAAGGAAAAACTATTTACTTCTTCCCAGACTTCTTTGTAAAAATGTTTGAGACAAGTAAAAATAAGTTGTGTAACCAGGGTAACAAATCATAATTAGCAGAATTTCTGATTTTCTTTTCTTAAAAATTGTGGAACTAATTTTAATCATTTGGGAGTGATTTTTTACAGTAACTATTATGTAATTGGCAAGTGTATCTTTGGACAATCCAAAGTGTACAAATTTTAATAGGAGTAATGCTAGGGAACTTGGCTTGGATTCATATCTTTGGCAGAGTATATGTGAATGCTTATTTTCTGAAATGGTTAATAAGAACTTTTGCTTACAGGTGCCCGGGAATATCACGTCCAGTTTTTTAGCAACCAGCCAGAGAGGGCATGGGTTCATGAAAAGCGAGTACGAGAGTATAAAGGCCATAAACAGTATGAAGAATTATTGGCTGAAGCAACCAAACAAGCCAGCAATCACTCTGAGAAACAAAAGGTATCTGACAACATATTAACATTACCAATCGAACATGGTTTTTATAGGACTTAATAATTTAGTAGAAGTTTTCATACTTGAATTTAGATAGCTGTTAGGATGATTTATTATTTTAACCTAAGTTCAGTTTTAATAATTTATTGTAAGTATGTCAATAAGTTTTATATTTCATGTAAACATTAGAATACTGTTAAAAACTTGAACTCTGCTTAATGCAACATTGGATTCTATTTTTGAATTGACTAGTACATGCTAGTAAATGTGGATTTTGCCAGGGAGTTTAATTCATTTTCCTATTTCAGTATCTTTCCATAATATCCTTTATTCTTATTTGGTAAAATTGTTTTGTAAAAGTAAAGTTTCTAAGATATTTAGTGAACACCTACTGTGAGACAGGTGTATTTTAAGCATTTTAGGTATATTAATTCATTTAATCTTCATAACAACTTAAGTGGTGTAGATATGATTATTCCTATTTCTACAGATGAAGAAATTAAGACACAGACAGATTAAGTAACTGGTTTAGCCAAGGTTACACTTAGTGATGGAACCAAGAGATATCTTTGTGGTAGTGGATATTTTAGAATTATGCATCAACTCCTGATAATCTTTCTGGTTGACATTTTTAAACTCAGCTAATTTTAGGATGAGTCTCTTGTGATTCAGAAATTTGTCATATTTTTACACTTTAAAAGCCAAATTTTATTACAGACTATTTTAATTAATTTTATCAGATACCATTTGACAGATTTATATACATCAGTGTTTTACATATACTGCCCCTTCTCATAGTTTCATTAGCTAATTTTGGGCTGCTTCTGTCCAAGCTTCTGGATAATTCCTGATGGCTTCGGTCATCTCACATACTTTCATTCAAAGTCTTCTTATCTGCCTTACCAACTTGCCAAATTGTCTTACTTGTCAAAAGTCTTCTGATCAACAATGTTAGAGACCTATGGAAACTGATTCAGGTTTAATTTTCTCTCATACATTTTTTCTTTCCTATGTCTTGTCAACTTTCATTTGTTCCTCCAGGCTCTCTCCTTCCTCTTCATCCTGCCTCCATTTACATTATGGTACAAACTACCAACACCACTTTAAATGCTGACTGTGCCATTTGGTTTGGTTGTGATCTCTGCAGCACCTCTGAGCTTTAGGGTATCATTTTTAATGTGAGTGTTTTATTAGCCACTGAGAATAATGGTTCCGTAATCTCTCTTCCCTTTGCCCTCATTATTGCTGTTTTTTTTTTTTTATGAACATTATGCGAGAGGGATGGCTCCCTCTTTGAGGGACTTGTCCAGCAGAGTGGTCAACAAAAAAGGATATATAAAAGAGAGTAGACCTGCATATCATCAGATAGTAATACCAACTATCAGAGTTGGGGAGTTAGAACATTTCAGGTATTTGACTAAAGATATTCATGCCACGTGCAAAGGTGACAGGATCAATGGGAAGTCATAGTGGTTTAAATGTACAAATTAGGTTCAAGGGTATCTGATAATGCTTATGTATTTTTTTAGATTCGGAAACCCCGACCTCAGAGAGAACGTGCTCAGTGGGATATTGGCATTGCCCATGCAGAGAAGGCATTGAAAATGACCCGAGAAGAAAGAATAGAACAGTATACTTTTATCTATATTGATAAACAGCCTGAGGAGGCTTTGTCCCAAGGGAAAAAGAATGTTGCCTCCAAAGCCGAAGTTAAGAAAACCCGAAGACCAAGGTCAGTGCTGAATACCCAGCTGGAACAGACCAATGCAGGTGAGGTGGCCTCCTCACTCTCAAGTACTGAAATTCGGAGACAGAGCCAAAGGCGGCACACAAGTGTGGAAGAGGAAGAACCACCTCCTGTTAAAATAGCCTGGAAAACGGCCGCCGCAAGGAAATCTTTACCAGCTTCTATTACAATGCACAAAGGGAGCCTGGATTTGCAGAAGTGTAACATGTCTCCAGTCGTAAAGATTGAACAAGTGTTTGCTCTTCAGAATGCTACAGGAGATGGGAAATTTATTGATCAGTTTGTTTATTCTACGAAGGTACCTCCTTTTTTCATGGGTGTTTTGGGGGAACAGTATTTAATAAGTAGGCAACCTTGGCACTTAAAATAAAACCCACAAACAGCACAAAGTCATAATTTAAATATCTTTTTATCTGCTGCACAGGAAATGTTCAGTTTTCTGTTTAAGAGGGGGTAAAACAGGCAAAAAGGCTATGTTTTCCTTTTTTTTCCCTCTTTTGTAATATCCCCATCTGTAATAGATTATCTTGAGCTGTGCAGCCAAAATTGAGCTTAGCTCCTTAAAGCTGTGGAAAAAAACTCGGCAATTTGCCTGTTTCTAGTTTGTATTGTTAGTTTTTCTTAGCTGCAAAGTGTGCTTCCTTATTAAATTATTTTTGTCAGTTACTTGAATTAACCACCATAATAATTATACTTGCTGATCTATTTGGTTGCACCAGCAATTTTGTTAGGTTCATTTTGGCTTGGGGTATCTGATGCATTTTAGGGAAATTCCGGAACTGTGTTTGTTCTGTAACAATTAACTGTGGTGATAGCTTGGGTAATGGGGTGGAAATACCTTTTCAAATTGCATACCTCCACCAGCCAGCCCGGAGCCTCCATTTAGGGCACTTATATTTTAGCTTTTAGACTTTAAAACTGTGTTATAACATTTATAATGTTTATTCCACATACCTTTTCACTCTCCTCCCAACCCTTATCACAGTTATGGGCTTGTGAATTCAATTTATGGCACCTCATGGGTATGTGCTTTTAAAGAATTCTGCTTAATTTTCTAACATTGTTATATGCATATGAAAATACTTAAATATAGGTATGCATCATTAGTGATATATCTTTCCAAGTTTTTATTTAAATTCCAGGTAGTTGGGCAGCCCAGGTGGCTCAGTGGTTTAGCGCCTACCTTCAGCCCAGGGCATGATCCTGGAGTCCTGAGATTGAGTCCCTCATTGGGCTCCCTGCATGGAGCCTGCTCCTCCCTCTGCCTCTCTCTCTCTCTCTCTCTCTCTCTGTCTCTCAAGAGTAAATAAAATCTTAAAAAAAAATTCCAGGTAGTTAACATACAGTGTAATATTAGTTTCAGATATAGAAACTGAATGAAGATGTTAGTGATTGAACACTAACATACAGCACCCAGTGCTTGAGTGATAATATTTTACTAGAGAGAAATATGATGGTTCTCTATTCATCTGTTTCTGACTGTAGGTTCAACTGAGTTCAATAAGACTAAGCTACTTGAAAAAACTTAAGTCACAGTCTCCACTTAGCTCTACTGACAGCTTTGCATAGCAAATGAATACGCTGCAATTTTTTTTTTTTTTTTTTTACTGCTAATTGGCTTCATTCTTGGAGCTAGTTTTTATCTGCATTTGGATAGACAAATCAGAGTTTGTCACCACACTCCAAAGAGTGCTATTTAAATGAAATTTGAGATAATACTGATTTATTTATTTATTTATTTAAAAAAATTTTAAGGTGTGTTTATTTATTATAGAGTGTGCCCCCACACATGAGGGGGACGGACAGGAAGGGGCAGAGGGAGAGGGAGAGAGAAAATCTCAAACAGATTCCCTGCTGAGCATGGGGGAGGGGTGCTCAATCTCTAAGATGGACCCTAGATTGAATCTCTAATCACGACCCTAAAATCATGACCTGAGCCAAAATCAAGAGTTGATGCTTAACCAACTGAGCCAACCAGGTGTCATCCTAAAACTGATCTTTTTAAAAAGAAGACCTTAAAAGTACATATATTTACAAATCACTCGTTTATTTTATTGTGTTATAAAACCTAAGATGAGATAGAACTATAATTGTACCTCCCTTCTGTCTGCTCCAAACTGCTTTGGGTACACATTTTGGTCACCATGAATATCAAATTTCTGTATCTAAGGATATTCTTTTAAGACATGTTGACATTTTTATATGTATAGTAGGGTACTTTACCAAATGAAAATGACTTGAGGGCAGCCTGGGTGGCTCAGCAGTTTAACACTGCCTTCAGCCCAGGGTGTGATCCTGGAGACCTGGGATCCCACGTCAGGCTCCCTGCATGGAGCCTGCTTCTCCCTCTGCTTGTGTCTCTGCCCTTCTCTCTCTCTCTGTGTGCCTCTCATGAATAAATAAATAAATAATTTTTTTAAAAAGGTTGACACATTAAAAAAAAAAAGAAAATGACTCGAGTTCTTTTCCTGTGATGATTTAAAGGGAGAGATTGTTCAGACCAGAAAACATTTTATTTTTGACAGAAAGCTAGGTGATACAGGTTCATTTTTTAGTGATATGCCTCATGTGGAGTTGGGTCGGTTTCGTTTTTTTTTTAAACATAATGTCATTGTACATTTTAGAATACATCCTGATGATTTAATAAAATTGCTCTGGTAATGGCAAAGATGATAAATCAACTGCAATCAAAGACCGTGTAAAATTCAAGCAAATTATGATCATCTTAAGCTGTCTTTGTAAGCCGATGATGCCATTTGCCTAGTAATCAGCTATTTTTTATTTTGTCTTATTTTGAAGGGAATTGGTAACAAAACAGAAATAAGTGTCAGGGGACAGGACAGACTTATAATTTCTACACCAAACCAGAGAAATGAAAAGGCAACTCAGAATATATCATCTGAAGCAACATCTGGTCCTACAGGTGGGTAATGAATGAAGAGTATGTAGATCCATTTTGAGAGGTCATAGTTCTTTTCTGCTAATAACATGGTAGCTATATTTCTAAGAAAATTTTACTTATCAAAATCAAATTATATTTTAAATTAAGTGGTAAAAGCAATTACGTCAATAGAAAAGAATGGCTTTAGGGACTAGGAAGCTTTATTCATTGTTATTTTTCCTACAGGAGTTTTAGTAATAAGAGAACTGTGTAATTAAACGAGGATAGTTCTGAAATCTGTACATGACTGAGTAAATGCACCATTTGTTTAGCTCTCTTTGAATGAAAATGACAGCTTTACTTTTCTAGCACCATTAACACATTCTTACCATTTCCTCCTTCATCTCTTATTAGAAACTAATTGACAGATGCCCGTGCTCCTTTTATTATTCTTAGGTATCCTAAATGTTAGTAAGTAGGGAACTAGGGCCTAACTCTCCTATTATAATCTGTTCTCTGATTAACAGACTATTCTGATTAACAGATATTCTTGTTTAAAAGAGAAATGCATATATTCAGTAAAGTTGTGCCTGTGAATGGTCAAAGTAATTTATTTATTTATTTATTTAGTAACTTTTGTTAAGGGACTGACATACTAAGGATCTTATAGTCTAACTGAGTGTCTGGTGGGGTTTATATAACTATATTATTGCTTTATTATAGCCATCAAGAAAAGAGATTGTCAACTGGCTGGTCATTTGGAATCTTAGTTTAGGAGAAAGGGGGTTGTTTCACCTTGTTCTTTAAAAAAATTTTTGGAATCAAATCAGAGAAGGGACCAAGCAATTTTCTAGAAGGATTAAGCTCTTGAGAACTTAGGTAGTAACTCTGAATCAGTAATAACTCAGGCAGAACTGTGGTTGAGTGGCACAAAGGGGCAAATATTTTTGGAAGGGAAATTTTAAGATTCTTCTTATTAAAAAGAGCAAAAATAAAAGCAGTCATTGTTCAGGAAAGAACTTGGGCTAGCTTCCTTTAAAAAAAAAGTTGGGGGGGTGGTTTACAGGACAGGAAGAAGAGGTAGCAGGGAAGATGGGGCATACTTTGGATGGGGCATACAAAACATTATGCCTTTATCCAAAATTGAGTTGGGAAGGGAATGCTTTAAAGTAGGGAGAGAGTAGCAAAGTCCAGAACCAGATTTGCAATTTGTCTCATTTCAAAATACTGCTTAAAAAAAGGAAAGAATGATGTTAAAGAAATGAATAAGTGAACTTAAAAGATTTTGCATTAATTAGCTTTAATTGAAAACATTTGTTCCCTACTTTGAAGATTAAAAGAATCTTTTGGCTTTAGCTCTTTATAGTCACGTATTTTGACTATACCTGACTATACCTGACAATTTTGTTCTCTTTCTTTACACTAAACTGTTGGTAATTTGTCTGAATTTAAGTGTGATACCTAGCCTAGGTGAATCTTTATTTAAATAAATCTCCTAATTAGGGAGGAAGTAAACTTCATTTTAGACTGATCTTAAATATTATACTTTTATTTAATAGGACTTATGTTTTTCCTTCCCCTCGGCTACTGAGCATTTTATTTTCATGTAGTCTTTTCACTGTAAGATTTAAGTTTTACTATGAATTTTTTTTTTTTTAAGTTAAAGGTACAATGGAAGGTTCTAATTCTTTAGATCTGGAAAAAGCTCAATTCCTTCTTTAGGCAGGCACTATATTTAGGTTGTAAATTAATGAGTGCTCTAAAGCTTTGATTTTGGTTTAAATTTGGTTACCAGCTGTGGTTGATGAGCATATTTTGCTTTTTTAAATGACCATTTTGTTTCTTGTGGAAATAATTTTAGTAGTTGAAAAGTGAGAGAAGAGACTTGATCTTCCTTGAGAAGCCAGTTATATCATCATCTCAGTTGTTGTTAATTTCTTAGGGAGAATTCTTGAGCTTTTTCTCAGTGAATTTAAGGGGTGCATAGAGGGTATGGCACTGCTAATTTCTGTGATTTGAAGAACTCTATTTGCCTTTATACTAGATTTTTAAGCTATTTTCCTCTTTCAGAGATGCTCACCTCCTCTCTCTTAGGACATAAATGCAGTACATTTTTGGGGTTTTAAACGTAGTAGAATTTTTTTTTTATTAAAGATTTTATTTATTTATTCATAGATAAAGAGAGAGAGAGTCAGAGACACAGGCAGAGGGAGAAGCAGGCTCCACGCAGGGAGCCCGATGTGGGACTCGATCCTGGGTCTCTAGGATCACACCCTGGGCTGCAGGCGGCGCCAAACCACGGCGCCACCGGGGCTGCCCTAAACGTAGTAGAATTTATGTGTTCTTCAGATAGCTTTCAGAACAATTATAAGAAATTACATTGCCTTATTTCATATAAGATAGTAGATCAAATACTATCTGTACTTACTGGAACAGTTATGTTGTCATCCTCAAAGCAAGTAAAGCTACTTTGTTTTAGGCAGTTTTATTTTCATTTTCCTCTTCCCGGATAGCTACTTGAATATTAATAATTTTACTAAAGTCTGGATTTCTGGAATACTCAGGTGTCTGTGAGGGTAGGATATTTGTTGTCTTAGTGAACATTTTCAACAATGTAAGAAGCAGAGTGAGCCTGAAGGAAGGAGCCAACATCTTTATTTGTGACTTTTCTGCTAGAAGTCAACACAGCTCAGGAACCATAAATTAGTTTCAGACTACTTCCTCCCTCCTGAAAACAGATATAGTGGGATCCTTCTTTGTTTTGACTTTGAACTAAGGTGAAGGAAACCATTTACACATAGACAAGAACAATGAAATCATGAAATATAAAGATAATGTGGAAGGCTTTATTGAAGTAGCTTCTGCCTGCTTTGAGGAGCTTTCTCCTGTGGCAAGGTGTGGAAGGGTGATTATTATGTAGGAAGGACCATGTAGGAGTCTAAGCCCTGAGAAGATGGAGAACATGCTGCCGGCATCCTTTCTTCTCAGGATCACAGAATGAATCACTCCTGACTTAGTGTTCTTTCAAGATGTTGTCTTTAGTCTAAGTTTTATCCTGTCCAAAATGGGTCCTTGTGAGTTTTCTTTCTGTTTACTTCCAAAGAATTTTACTGTTTAAAAATATGAATAGTTTCTGTTTCACTATTTAACATGAAAAACCTTGCTAATTTGTTTCCAAGAGTTTTTCATGATTCGTTATTTCTAAGACATAACCAGTCCCTTGACATCCAAATTAATGATTTGGTTTTGGCCATATCTTTGTGCCTTTTTCCCCCTTTGTTCATAATATAACAGTAGCAAAAACTCATATGGGCACACCAAGCACCATTAAACATTTTACATATATAATTAGTTTAATTCATTTGTTAAAATGCAAAATATGGGGATCCCTGGGTGGCGCAGCGGTTTGGCGCCTGCCTTTGGCCCAGGGCGCGATCCTGGAGACCCGGGATCGAATCCCACGTCGGGCTCCCGGTGCATGGAGCCTGCTTCTCCATCTGCCTGTGTTTCTGCCTCTCTCTCCTCTCTCTGTGACTGTCATAAAAAAAAAAAAAAAAAAAAAAATTTAAAAAAAAAATAAAAAATAAAATGCAAAATATGTAGGACTGATTGAATTTTTAGTGATTTATAGTTAAAAGACCAAAAGTAAAAAAAAAAAAAAAAAACAAAAAAAACAGAACAAAGTATTGAGTAAGAAAAGCATGGAATTGGGTCAAATCTTAATTACATCATTGTCAAGTCATCCTTAAATGAGTTTTTGTTTGTTCCTTTAAATCATCTCTTAGGCTCAGTAGAAAAGAAGCAACAGAGAAGATCGATTAGAACTCGTTCTGAATCAGAGAAATCCACTGAGGTTGTGCCAAAGAAGAAGATCAAAAAGGAGCAGGTTGGCTTCCTACATGTAGAGAGTTAAAACATTGTATTTGTAAATGTTGTGGCTTTTATGGTATCTTAAAAGAAAGAGAAACTTTCCCTAAGCTGAGTTCCTCTTTCTGGACTATTTTATGCTTCTGTGTTGGTGAGTTCCAGTGCCCAATTCTAACACAGCCATCCCTGTGATTCTGCTTCAAGCATTTTCACAAAAAACAGTCAGGCTTCAGGAGATGGGAAGCCAGTACAAGACTCTTAAAGAATTCCTCACATTTATTTTGAAATTTCTGTTATGAGCAAAATGATTTCATGTTTTCATGATTTTTATTTGGAACCATCATTAAGTCCCCCCCTGCCTTTTTAAATTTTGATTTTTTTGTTTAAGCCGCTGGTATGTATTGTTTTTATTTTTTTAAACAAATCAAATTAATTTAACAACGAGAGTTATATTTAAGACACAAATAATCATATATAAACTGGTTTTTCTGTCAGTATCAGAGATTTTTTGGAATGTTACTTTCCCAGTGGAATGGCACTCACCTATGATTGGGTGATCAGAAACACCATTGAAGTAAAAACAAAAAAGGGGAGGGACATTTGACTGAAGGGTATTAAACCAGTGTAATCAACGTAATAATATGCATATAAAATTACCTGTTCAAAGAAATTTTTAGAAACCATTAGTCCTTTAAATTAAACTCACAATAAGAATTTTTCTTGATTTTTTTTTAAAGTGGAAAAATATCCATTTTTTATAGCTCAGAAAGCTGCAGTTAAACAAAAAGAATTCTGAATAGTATTAGTTCCAATAAGCTTTATATTTTTAAAACCACTTGATATGGAAGTGCAGACTTTTCTATTCAGATTATTTCCTTCATAATTTTAAACTTCCAAACTTACAAGGTGTGATTTTGTGGGTGCTCTGTGGTATCTCCAAGCGTGTAAAACAATTTTCCCAGAAACATTTAACCAAAATTTAAATAATATACTAATTTGTCATTCATTTACCATAATTAACTTTCATACTTAGGAAATTATATTCCAAAAAATCTTTCTAAGCTCTTGCAAATCTATAGCATTCATTACCAAAACAAAGTTGTGATTTTTCCAGCTGGTTCCCAAATTCAGTCTGTGACCAGTCAGTTTAAAATTAATAAGCAGAATGAGTATAAAAAGTGGGACAAATTGTTAATGCCACTGTGTTATAGTTAGTAGTAGAACAATACCAGTGATTGTTTAGAAGATTTTATATTTGTATTACTAATTGTATCTTATAAAAGCGCTTCTGTTGTATGTTTTTTTACTTGTTGTAAAAAAAATAAAATTTTTTTAAAAAGCTTAGAACAATCCTTAAATATTTACAAAATGTGTTTCAACATGCATATTTCACTACATCTTAAAGAAACATAAAATTCAATTCATAGCTAAAACAGGAACTCCTCCAAACAGCATCCTTTCTTTAATTCCAATGGTTCAATCCTCAGATTACCACGTGTTTTACATAGACATTGGCAGAATAACTTCTGATCTCGCTCTCCTGATGTAGGATCAAGACACTGTTCATAAGACACTCAAGAAAGTGCTTTTGCAATATCACAAACTTATTTTCTTAAGTTTGTACTAGCAGCAAAAGTATTGAGCTTCCAGCTGTATGGAGCCCTGTAGCACTCTCTACAGAGAGGGTCCTGATTCCCAGCAACTTAGCTGTGAGTGCAGGCGCGGAAGGGTCTTAAAGTGGCGTGAGTTACATTAACCTGAGTATCATAGTAAGTAAAAATTTATCCTAACGTCTTTGGGGCGGGAGGGGTTTATAGCAACATCCGGGCTGGTTGCAGAAACAACCCCTCTCCTGCCTCCCAGACACTGAGGAAAGGATTCTTGTTCTCGTCATTTACCAAGGGATTGGTGGGAAAAGTCTTTGCTAGAGAGCATGTGGCTGTGTGTTGTCACTTGGAATTCAGCATAGGCAGCTAGGATTTAAACCCTCCCTGACCTTGAGACAGAGAACTTTACCCAGAAGATGGGATGGAGTTCAGATTTCAGATACATTAATCACTCATCATTACTTAGATTGATGGAAGTATTATTTTTTTCCCTCTGTTAATTAAAAGTGAAATAAAATCCTCGTTAATGGTATATTTTTCTGTCCAAACAGGTTGAAACAGTTCCTCAGGCTACAGTGAAGACTGGATTACAGAAAGGTGAGTTATTATAATGTTGCCTTGCATTTACTTGATTAAAACCAGATTTTAAGAATTACTTATTTGTACTTCATGTATTTTTGTGTGTCTCTGTAAATCACTGTTGTTGCTCTTCAGTCAAAAAAATTTGTGTGAAATTGAAGTATTGTGTGTGTGTGTGTGTGTGTGTGTATGTGTATGTATGTATGTGTATATTTTAGAGTTGATCTTATTCTGTACCTCCATGTGTGAAGTCTTACTTGTTTTGGTAAATTGGAGAACACCATGTAGACTTGATACCGTTTCCGGCTTTTCTCCATAAGATTCTGGGGTTTCACTGGTTTATAAACTAGGGATGTGACGAATCCACTTTTTTTGGTATTCGACTGAATACCGAATAGTAGCTATTAATGTTTGTCAAACATGGACTATGACAAATCAGACAAGACAACCTGATTACAAAAAATCTTGCCACGTTTATTTTGACAGTGCTGTAAAATCTTTTTTTTTTAATTAAAAATGATTCGTAGCATATTTATGGCCATTATTAGATGACCTTATGCAAATCTATTTGAGATATGCACAAAGTTTAAGAAACCTTAAACTTATATCCGTATTTTCTGTGTGCAATTTGACTACAGTACAAACTCCATAGCATGATTTGTGCGTTTTTGGTGAAATCATTCAAACTGTATTTAATACCCGTAGTTTACTCTGGGCAAATTGCATTATTAAAAAAAAAAAAAAAAAAAAAAAAAAACACCAGCCTCTCTGCATTCTCGGGGAGAAGTCTGCAGCGATGGTCTCCGTGGAGATCCTCAGCAGAACTGAACAGCCTCTCGGAGGGAACACTGCTTGGCGGAGCTCCAAGAAAAGACATCGCGATCGCTGCGAGATTAGGAGGCCTGATTGCGTTGTGTTTCCACCATTCCACAGGGTCGGCGGACCGGGGAGTGCAGGGCTCTGTCAGATTCAGTGACAGCTCCGTCTCCGCAGCGATTGAGGAAACTGTGGACTGAGATTCCTGTACAATTTCATCCCAGAAACTCCAGACTTGGAGTCTCCATGCAAGATTTCTTTGTCGGCGGCTCGATAAACAGTTTCTTTGTTTTCAATTTTGATTTCGCCAATCATCATTATTGGCATTTTCCTGCCTGGTTTCTTCTTCAAGACTCTGAACAATTGCTTAACATTCAGATGATTTTTTTTGGTCTGAGCTGGATGGGTACAGCTTAAATCATGGGTCCAGCCTAAAAACCACCGTTTAACTTACACTGATCAATTTCAACATGGACTGTTTTTGTTTTTTTGGTTTTTGTTTTTAAATAAAGCATCATTAATGCACATCTGCAGGGTTTTGCCAAACAGCCCAAACTGTATACATTACAATCATTAAAAGCTCTTATTTTTTTTAATATTAGTGCCGTTATCATGGAGAACAGCATGGCAGCTGTCTTTGGCAGTCTGTCATTTTTCTAGCATTTTCAGAAACTCATCGGAAATGGCGGTACCTGTGTTTTCCCTTCGAAAGCCTCTCAGTACAGCACTCCTGTTCCTCTGTTAAAACTCCTTGTTAATCCAGTGATCTTTTAGGCCAAGGAAATACTTTGTGGTGGTGTTCTGGGTCCACACACCAGCAATGAAGGAGATAGATTTGTGTACTTGTGTTTTTTAATCAGCGTTAACATGGGCAGGCACCCTCATTTATAGATGTAAGGAAACATTCAGTGAAAAAACTTGTAGAATGGGATATGATAACAAGGTTCCGGTAATCTGAGCAGTCTAAAGAGGCCCACATCCTCCACCACAGAACATGGCTATATACCAAGTGCTACTCTCACTCAGCCTGTTGCGGATCTTCATGGCCTCAGGAGACTTGTTTCTCCATGGTCTCTTCTGGACTGCACACTTCCACCATAGCTTGCTGGGCTGATCTAGATGTCTGTTTGTTGTATGGAAAGTGTGGGGGAAAAAAATCCAAAACACAAACTGTGGGTTGAAATATTAACCATCTCCTTGGTTCCCTGGTATTCACCGTGCCTGATCTGCACATTTCATCGTGGCTGTTTCTGTATAGCCTATACTGCATTAGCCCAAGAGATTGTTGCTTTGTAACTTTTTGCACTATTGTTTTGGCTGGATTTGTATTACACACAGTTTTAAAAAAAATTCCACACTATTCTCTGCCTTTTTTTTTTTTTTCATATTTATTCCTTCCCGTACAAATTCCACATAGAGGCCTCTCATCCAACTCTTCGTGATTTGGCTGCATTTGAACATTGATTGTCCGTTACAACCCTCAGCAATGTGCCTCCTAAATGGCATGACATATGTAGATGTGCTGCAGCACTTGTTAATGGTCACAATAAATGCCACTTCACCAAGGAAGTCTCAGATGAACAATTATGAACATCCAAAATTTACGCGGGGGGCAATAATCAACTGAATTGCAAAATTCGGGGGAAAATGGCACTATCCGTGTACGAATCGAATACAAATCAAAGATTTGTCACATCCCTAATAAAAACAAGATGGAGGTGTCTCTGCGACCATATTTGTAAGCTACACAGTGTGTTGGGTTTTATGTCTTCCCCCTCCAAATTGAATGGTTCTTTGGATTGCTCCAAATCAATCAGCTATCCTATAGTTTTGATAGAATTGGTTTTTAGCTTGGAACTTGGGCTCTGTTGACTGAAAATAGCTTTAGAGCAGAAGCACTGAATTAAATGTTTTAATAGAGCGGTTGTAAATTAAATCACTCACTATCAGGAAGGTCAGAAGCTTACGAAGTTTTGATTCGTGACTTCAGTGTTACAAAGAGAGCTGTGCTTTTTTTTCACACTACAGATGAGTTTGGGGAAAGAAATAATCTCCCACAAAAAAAATTAAAACAACAAACCTTAAGCACTATTTTAGGATTAATTTCAGTGTGTTGTATTAAGGTGCCAGCGAGATTTCAGATTCCTGTAAACCTCTAAAGAAAAGGAGTCGCGCCTCAACTGATGTAGAAATGACTAGCTCAGCATACAGAGACACATCTGACTCCGATTCTAGAGGACTGAGTGACCTGCAGGTAAATATGTTCAAGTCTCGGGGCACATTACTCTCTTTTGCTTTGCAAAATGAAGTAACAATGCTTTGCCTGATTTGTTTGGGGAGCGGGGAATTTTTTAAATACTCAGAGAACAAATCCTTTTGGTTATTTTGTAACTTACAAATGTCTTCATTTTGCTGATTTCTTATGTAACAGAAGCATGGTTTCTGTCTTTTTAAATTTTAACTACAGTTTCTCTCAAAACACCAGGCATATAGCATCCAGGGGTTTTAGAAAGAAAAAGAAAAAAAAGAGGTATTAGGTTTATTTGAGCAAATCTTGCTAGGATTTTCATAGCACTTCACTTTGAGGAAATTTTTGTTTTATTTTTCTTAAAAAGTACTATGTTTTCCATGTAGGTAGGCTTTGGAAAGCAAGTAGATAGCCCTTCCGCTACTGCAGATGCAGATGTTTCTGACGTGCAGTCCATGGATTCAAGTTTGTCAAGAAGAGGCATTGGAGTCAGTAAGAAGGACACTGTGTGTCAGGTAGGCAAACAACGGATAGCTTGAAATAGCTGCTGTAGTATTTTGCCAATAACATACTTACCTCCTGCTGGAGAGAGTAGTATCTTTCTAAATTATATTATTTTAAAGCCGTAATATCTAAAAGCCATTTCTGGCTTTTCACATTACAAATGCCAATATTCATTGTGATACTCAAGTTATTAATTAGAAGTAAATGGGAAGTGCCTGGCTGGCTCAGTAGGTAGAGCATGCAGCTCTCGATCCTTGGGGTTGTGAGTTCAAGTCCCAAGTTGGGCCTAAAGCTTATTTAAAAGTAAATGACAGGGCAGCCCTGGTGGCTCAGCAGTTTAGCACCGCCTTCAGTCCAGGGCCTGATCCAGGAGACCCAGGATTGAGTGCCACATCGGACTCCTGGCATGGAGCCTGCTTCTCCCTCTGCCTGTGTCTCTGCCTCTCTGTGTGTGTGTGTGTGTGTGTGTGTCTCATGAATAAATAAATAAAATCTTTAAAAAAAAAAAAAGGAAATGACAGACGATTTATTTCAAAATTTTTCTTTAAATTCAGTTAATTAACATATAGTGTATTATTAGTTTCAGAGATAGAGTCAGTGATTCATCAGTCTTACATAATACCCAGTGCTCATTACATCATGTACCTTCCTTAATGTCCATCACCCAGTTACCCTGTCCCCCTACCCACCTCCGCTCCAGCGACCATCAGTTTGTTCCCTGTAAGAATCTCTTATAGTTTGTCTCCCTTTCTGATTTTGTCTTGTTTTATTTTTTTCTCCTCTTCCCCTATGATCCTCCACTTTGTTACCTTTTTTAATGTATAAATATACATTAAAATGTAATAATGTATAAATATTCAGTACCCTTTTTGAAAAATAGTTTTACTCTGTGAAGAAAAGTTAAAGTATTGTAGATTCCAAAGAAGAAATCTTGAAAGATCAAGTATGCCTTTAAACTTTATACCATTTTGGGTCTGGAAATAATTATCTAATTCAGTGTTTGTTTGTTTTTTTAATGTATTAAATATACAGGTCTTCCTATATTCTTACTATTTTTGTCATGATGAATACTGCGTGATATATGTAGAATTGTTGAATCACTATATTGTACACCTGAAACTAATATAACACTATGTTAACTAACTGGAATTAAAAACTTTTTTAAAATTTTAAATAACTTACCTCAGTAGTTCTTAAAGTGAGGGCTAAGGATCAGCAGCATCAGTATTGTCAGGATACCTGTTAGAAATGCAAATTCTTGAGCCTCACTGTAGACCTGCTGAATCAGAAACTATGGGAGAGGGACCCAGTAATCTGTATCTTAACAGGCCCTCCAAGTGATTCTGATGCCTGCTGAAGTTTAAGAACTCCTGCTTTTTGCCCTATTACAGATCTGTGAAAGCTCTGGTGACTCTCTGATTCCTTGTGAGGGAGAGTGCTGCAAACACTTTCACCTGGAGTGCCTGGGATTGGCATCAGTCCCTGATGGAAAGTTCATCTGCATAGAATGTAAAACTGGTAAGTTTACTTAGTTTGATAGATACAAAAAGACAGGTAGAAAGGAATGTGCCATGGCAGCATCCACCATGACATCTAACTACTTTTATGTAGCTCTCATCCTCCACTCCCATAGATATTTCAACAAATTAAGACCATCCAGTGATTGGGATTTCTAAGATCAAAGGAGTAGTTAGCAATATTATTGTCAAATTTTCTTCTACCGATCCTTTTGCCATAAAATCTATCAAATCATTAAGATGGATTTATGTTTTATCTAAACAGCTATGCAAAATATGTAGACTGAGATATTTTTGAGATGGGTTTGAGAGTTTTGTGTTAAATAATAAATAAATAAATATATAAATAAATAGTTAAAGAACCCTTGACTTGGGGTGCCTGGTTGGCTCAATCAGTTAAGTATCTGCCATCACCTCAGGTTGTGGTCTCAGGGTCCTGGGATCAAGGTCCTCATCAGACTTTATCAGAGAGCAGGGAGCCTGCTTCTCCCTCTGTCTCTCTCTCTCTGTCTCTCATGAATAAATAAGTAAAATCATAAAAAAAAAAAAAAAAAGAAAAGAAAAGAAAAAATCCCTTGACTTTAATGGACTGGAATAAGCATCAATCACAAAGTATGACCGTGATGAATATATTTTTATTGGAAAGATGGAAATTGTTTTTTAGACATTGCAGGTTTTGGATTTACCTTTTTTTTTCTTATCCCTCCAGCTCATATAAACTACTAACAATCAAAACAATTTATAGAGAAAGAAAATTTAACACCTTACCCAAAGTCAAAAGACAACATATGATGAAACAGGGATTTAAACCCAGGAAATAGCTTAACCCCTGATTCCTTACTGTTTACTGTTGCCTTCTACCACCTTGACTAAGTAGGGTGAAGATTATATTTCATATGTCCTAACACAGACACACACATACACATGTGAAAATTAAGCTTATTATAAAAGCTGTTTGAACATATAACTTATATTTTTCCCTATATAAAATATTACTTATCACATTTAGACTCTGCAGTAAAACTTTTGAACAGTTTGCCAGATGGCAACCTCAGGGTCAGATTATCTGCACATTGTTTTATTTGGCTCTCAAAATATGCTTTGAACGTGTGAATGTGGGTCAGGTACATATTTCTGGTTCCCCACATTCTCTACCATTCCGTTTTCTAAAACCCGATCACTCCAGTCATTTATGTAATCTGCCTGGCCCCTTTAAGCACTTAAATTGTAATCTCTGATCTAAACTAGTGATAGGAAGGACTATGTTTTGGTAGTATTAAAATACTCTGAGGGCTTTTCTCCTGACTCTAGAACTCAGCAGAGCAGAATTCTACCAACAAAGGCTAGATAAAATCTAATTTGGCACACATCTTTTAGAAAAGTTAAAAGAGAAATTTGCTTTAAAAATAAGTAGAGAGACACCTGGGTGGCTCAGTGATTGAGCATTTTCCTTTGGCTCAGGGCATGATCCTGGAATCCTGGGATTGAGTTCCACATTGGGCTTCCTGCATGGAGCCTGCTTCTTCCTCTGCCTATGTCTCTGCCCCCCCCCTCTGTGTCTCTTGTGAATAAATAAATAAATAATCTTTTAAAAAAATAATAAGTAGAGCAAAGTTGGAAGACTTAATTCCTGATTTAAAAATTTGCTACAAAGCAAAGATAAAAAATAAAACAACTTTTTAATTTAAAAAATAAAAATTTACTACAAAGCTACAGCGATTAAAACAGTGTGATACTGGCATGAAGGCAGAAATATAAAGCAGTGGAATAGAATAGGGCGCCCAGATATCGGGCTCCCTGCATGGAGCCTGCTTCTTTCTCTGCCTGTTTTTCTGTGTCTCTTATGAATAAATAAAATCTTAAAAAAAAAAAAAAAGAATAGGGCACCCAGAAACAAATATTCACACATTTGGTCAAATGGTTTTTTTGACAAGGATGCAAAACCATTCAGTGGGAAAGGACCAGTCTTTTCAACAAACGGTGCTAGGAAAATTGGATATCCACATGCAAAAGAATGAAGTTGGACCTTTACCTAACAACAGCATACAAAATTAATTCAAATGGATCAAAGACCAAAATTAAGAGCTAAAACTATAAAAATCCTAGAAGGAAACATAGGGGAAAAGCTTTATGATAATAGATTTGACACTGATCTCCTAGATGTAACACCAAAGGCATAGCCAACAAAAGAAAAAATAAACAAATTGGGCTTTATCAAAATTAAAAACTTTGTATACCATTAACAGACTAAAAAAGCAACCCACAAAATGGGAGAAAGTTTTGGCAAGTTCCATGTCTGATAAAAGACTAATATCCAGATTATATAAAGAACTACAACTCAACAAAAAAAACAAACACCCCAATTGGGCAAAGGACTTCAATAGACATTTCTCCAAAGAAAATCAACAAATGGGTTAGTAAGCACATTAAAAAATATTCAAAATCATTAGTAATCAGGGAAATGCAAACTAAAATCACATGAGATCCGGCTTCATACTTATTACAATGGCTATTATAAAATAAAAATTTTAAAAGTGGAAGTGTAAAAAAAAAAAAAGAGTGGAAATGTTGGTCAGGATACGGAGAAATTGGAAGCTTTATTCACCTTTGGCAGGAATGTAACATGGTACAACCTCTATGGAAAATAGTACGGCAGTTCCTCAAAAAATTAAACATAGACTTACTGTATGATCTAGCAATTCCACTTTTGGATAAATACCCAAAAGAACTGAAAGCAGAAACTCAAACAGATAATTGTATATACACCCATGTTCACTGCAGCATTATTCACAATAGCAAAATGTGGAAATGACCCAAGTGTCCACTGATGAATGAATGGATGAATAAAATGTGTGTATATGCAATAGAATGTTTTTTTAAATGAAAAAAAATGAGATAAAAAATGAAATTCTAATACATAATGGATGAAATATGTTAGTCACAAAGGACAAACATTATTTGATTCCACTTATATGAGTTACATAGTCAAATTTATTAGAGACAGAACAGTTTTTACCAAGTTTATTTATTTATTTATTTTTACTAGTTTTTAGCAGGAATGGGGAGTTACTGTTTAAATGGGTACAGAATTTCAGGATGGGATGATGAAAAAATCCTGGAGATGGTGGTGATAGTTGCAAAATGATGAGTATTTAATTCACTACATTCACAAATGGTTAAAATGGTAAATTTTATGTTACATATTTTTAACCACAGTTTAAAATCAATTATTTTTTAATTTTTAAAAAATTGCTTTTGAGGGCACCTGGGTGTCTGTCAGTTGAGTGTCCCACTGTTGGTTTTGGCTCAGAACATGACCTTGGGGTCATGGTATCAGGCCCTGTCAGGCTCCACACTCAGCATGAATCTGCCTGAGACTCTTTCCCCCTCCCTCCACTCTGCCCCCCGCCCCTGCTCACACACATACTCTCTAAAGTAAATTAATTAAAGTTTTTTAATTGCTTTTATTTATATCACATGAAAAATTAGTTTGAAACTAATTTGTTACCCTCCAACATGTTGGTAGTAAAAACTTCATTTATGTTTAAGGTCATTTAGAAAGGTGTTTTTTTTTTTTTTTAATCAAAAGATAGATACTTTGCATGTAAAAATATTATAGGATACATGCCTAATAAATTCTTATACTATCACTTTTTATTGTTTAAGACAAATGTGATTTCTGGAGAGAAGGCACTTTCATTTGACCTTGTGAATAAAATATGTAATAATCAGGGTAACTTACTAATTATTATAAACAAAAACCATGTCCTACTAAGAAGGGAGGGTATTAGAAACACTCATATCCTACGGCTCTAAACTTAAGTCTTAAAGGAGTTTGATAGTTTGGCTAATAGTATAAGTGTCACTGGTTATAACAATTTTCATTTATATTAGACCTATTTTGATTATTATGTAAGTGAAAGCCTTTCTTTTTTTCATAAGACAATTTATGGATTTAGGCAAAGCTGTAAAGTCAAACCTCTTAACCTTTAAAATAATTTATTTTAATTTTTTAATTTCTAAAAATTATTTTTAAAACAATACTATTGCTTTCCTATCTACATGCATGTTAAAATATAATTTGAAATTAAATACAGCAAAACAACAACAAACCTTGCTGTACTTTTACAATAATGCCAGTTTAAAAAAAAATCACACACTTTTGAACATCATGGTTGTAAGTACTAATTTTAAGGCATTTTTATAATTCAGCCCATTTGCAAAGTTTAGGTACTTCCAAAATCAAATCTGTCTGTAAAAAGTCAAAACAAAAAACTATTCCATTTAAAAAAGTTATTCCATTTTTTTCTTTCAGATTTTCTATAACATTATAAGAAAAATGGGCAAAAGACTTGAACACTTCCCAAAAGATGATATCCCAGTAGTCACTTAAGATTCTGTATGTAAAATGAACACACAATGAACTCATATCCTAATAAAAGAGGCAGAAAATTACCCACAGAAAAGACAGTTAACCTTCAAAGAATAACAAAACAACAAAAATATTATAATTTGCAGTTCTGTGTTTACAACTAAACATCTTTTTCTGGGGATCCCTGGGTGGCGCAGCGGTTTGGCGCCTGACTTTGGCCCGGGGCGCGATCCTGGAGACCCGGGATCGAATCCCACGTCCGGCTCCTGGGGCGTGGAGCCTGCTTCTCCCTCTGCCTGTGTCTCTGCCTTTCTCTCTCTCTCTGTGTGTGACTATCATAAATAAATAAAAATTAAAAAAAAAATAAACATCTTTTTCTGTATGTATCTCTGTTGACTCTTGTGAATGATATGTTCTTGTTTTGTCCATTTGTATATTGTGGTAAAGGTGTTCTTAGCGTTTAATATTTTAAATGTATTTCTAATTACACAAATGGAATATAAGTATAATTCTATGAAAATATTGTAATTATAGGTCAACCATGTGTGTGTGGACATACATGTGTATGTAACATTTTTTTGTGTGTATTGTAACAAAAATGTATTAATTGTTCTGCAGCTTCCTTTTTTCACTATCTTGGAGCTCTTTTTATGTCAATTCTATTTAATTACTGCATAGTGTTCCATAGCATATATTATAGTTTAACAATTCTGTTGAAGGATGTTTGAATTGCTTTCAGTTCTTTGCAGTTACAAACAGTGCTTCAGCCAATATCCTTTTAAACGTACAAGTCTTCCCTAATGCAGACAGCAAATGCAGAATTTCTAGGTCACAGAAAGTGAATGTGCGATTATTGGATACTGCCATGTAGCCTTCTAAGGTAGTTTCTTCCAACCTAACTCCTACACAGTATATAAGAGTACCTGTTTCCTATACCCCATCAACGTTTATATCATCAAACTCTTTTTCTTATTTGATGAATTTTTAAATATTACTTGGGTTTAACTAGCATTTATCTGAGTATTAGTTGAGAAGTTGACAGTTCTTTTTTATATGTTTATTGGCTGTTTGCCTTTCTGCTTTCTGTAAGTTGCCTCTTCATATTCTGTCCACTTTATTTACTTATTCATTCAAACAGTCATTTTTTAAGTAAGCCCTTTGCTCAATGTGGGGCTTAACCTCACCACTCCAAGATCAAGAGTCACAAACTCTACTGTCCAAGCCAGGAGATGCTCCTGCCAACTTTTATATCAGACTGTTCTGTTTCTATATTTCTATATTGATTTGTGTGTGTTTTTTTTTTTTTAAGATTTTACTTATTTATTCATGAGAGATACAGAGAGAGGCAGAGACATACGCAGAGGGAGAAGCAGGTTCCATGCAGGGAGCTTGATGTGGGACTTGATCCTGGGACTCCAGGATCATGCTCTGGGCCAAAGGCAGGCACCAAACTGCTGAGCCACCCAGGCGCCCCTGATTTGTAGTTCTGTATATATCTTGTTCATATTGCATATATTTTCTCCATATGTGAACTCTTTTTGTAACAAAACATAATCCTTTGTTCATCTTTGTTGCATATATTTTTCCACATCTGCCTTGTTCCTTCTTTTTATCCTTTTCTATAATTATTATTTCTAACTTTAAATGTTTGACAGATTGACCAGTGGAGGCCCTCTAAGCTTAAAGTTTTCTTTGTAGGGAGGTTTTTAATTATAGTTTCAATTTTTTTAATGCTTCATAGAATTATTCATATTTTCTGCTTATTTTTGTGTGTTGGTAATTATGCATTTCTAAGAATCTGTTCATGTCAATTTTCAAATTTATTAGCAAAAATATACTCTTAAATAGTTATAAGATTTATAGTGATGTACACTATTTCTCATATTGTTAATATTGTTGCTTTTTCTTTCTTTGTCATTCTTGTCAGAGATACCAGTTTTATTAATCTTTTTCAAAAAAAGAACTTTTGGGTTTTTTAATCCTCCCAATGTATATTAATTTCACTTCATTCTTAAAGAGTGCTTTCACTGGATATTGAATGGTGGCTTAGTAACAGTTTTCTTTCAGCCCTTTGAAAATAATATCCCACTGTATCCTGGTTCCCATTTGTCCCTTGCTGTCAGCTCACAGTCTTATTGTTGCTTCTTTGGAGGTCATTGTCTTTTCTGTGGTTAATATTAATATTTTCTCTTTGTTCTTGGTTTACTACAGTTTGAATATGTAGCTGTAATTTTCTGTGTTTTGTATTAGGATTATGAGTTTTCATTGTGTGTCTGTTTTACATATGGAAATTGTTAAGTGACTAATGGAATCTGTCTTGTCTGTGGTAATTTATTTATTCTTGGTTGGGAAGACCTTCCCACTCTCCAGTGTGTTGAAAAATTCTGTTCTGGGTTTTTTTATGGATTAATTTTATTATAGAATGAGAAGTGAAGATCTAAATTGTTTTTACTGCCTTATCTCCAAACTGATGTTCAGTTATTCTAGCAAATCAATAATTCTAGCCAAATTTATTAAATAACCTTTTAAGCATTCCATGCTTGTGGGTTGGAAGAACATTGTTAAAATTTCTGTACTATACAAATCAGTCTACACATTTAATGGAAATCCCTATCAAAATACCATCAGAATTTTTCACAGAGCTAGAATAAACAATCCTAAAATTTGTATGGAATCACAAAAGACCCCAAATAGCCAAAGCAATGTTGGAAAAGAAAAACAAAACTGGAGGCATCATGATTCCAGATTCAAGCTATATTACAAAGCTATAGTTATCAAGACAGTATGGTACTGGCACAAAAACAGAACACACATCAGTGGAGCAGAATAGAGAACCCAGAAATGGACCCACAACTATATGGTCAACTAATCTTTGACAAAGTAGGAAAGAATATCCAAAAAAAGACCGTCTCTTCAACAAATGTTGTTGGGAAACCTGGACAGCCACATGCAGAAGAATGAAACTGGACCGCTTTCTTACACCATACACAAAAATGAATGCAAAATGGATGAAAGACCTGAATGTGAAACAGGAAGCCATCAAAATCCTAGAGGAGAACATAGGCAGAAACCTCTTTGACCATAGCCATAGCAACTTCTTATTGGACACATTGCCAGAGGCAAGGAAAACAAAAGCAAAAATGAGCTATTGGGACTTCATCAAGGTAAAAAACTTCTGCACAGACAAGGAAACAACAAAACTAAAAGGCAATCTACAGAATGGGAGAAGGTATTTGCAAATGACGTATCTGATAGAGAATTAGTATCCAAAATCTATAAAGAACTTCTCAAACTCAAAACCCAAAACAAATAATCCAGTTAATAAATGGGCATAAGACATGAATAGAAACTTTTCCAAAGAAGATATCCAGATGGCTAACAGACACATGAAAAGATGCTCAACATCATTCATCATCAGGGAAATGCAAATCAAAACCATGATGAGAAACCACGTCACATCTGTCAGAATGACTGAAATTAGCAACACAAGAAACAACGGGTGTTGGCAAGGACGCAGAGAAAGGGGAGCCTTCTGGTAGGATGCAAACTGGTGCAGCTACTCTGGAGAACAGTTTGGAGGCTCCTCAAAAAGTTAAAAATAGAGCTACCCTACAGTCCAGCAATTGCACTACTAGGTATTTACCCAAAGGATAAAACAATACTGATTTGAAGGGATACATGCACCCCCGATGTTTATAGCAGCATTATCAACAATAGCCAAACTATGGAGAGAGCCCAAATGTCCATCAACTGATGAATGGATAAAGAAGATATGGGAAGGGTGTGTGTGTGTGGGGGTATTTATATATATAATATTTCTACTATATATAATATTTCTACTATATATACATATATATGTATAATAGAATATTATTCAGCCATCAAAAGAATGAAATCTTGCCATTTCCAATGAGGTGGATGAAACTAGAGTGTATTATGCTAAGTGAAATAAGTCCGAAAGACAAGTACGATAGGATCTCACTCATGTGGAATTTAAGAAAACAGGTGAACATATGGGAAGAGGAAAAGGAAAGAAAAAGGAGAGAGGGAAACAAGCCGTAAGTGACTCTTAACTATAGAGAACAAACTGAAGGATGATGGAGAGAGGTGGGTGGGAGATGGGCTAGATGAGTGGTGAGTATTAAAGAGGGCACTTGTAATGAGCACCAGGTGTCATATGTAAGTGATGAATCACTAAATTCCACTCCAGGAACCAGTATTGCACTGTATGTTAACTAAAATTCAAACTAAAAAATAAATTTAAACAAATAACTTTTTAATTTAGCCATTTATTTTCAGTGCCTTTTTTTGCATGTGAAATTCTTATGCGTAATAGTAGAGTCTTTGGTGTCATTAGCTGCTTCTATTTAAAAAGAATGTGCTTTAAAAAAATAAAAATAAAAATAATATGCTTTAAAAAATAAAAAGAATATGCTTTAATCAGATTTTATTTAATCTGTGTTCTTCAATCAATTTTTCAGGACAGCACCCATGTTTTTCATGTAAAGTGTCTGGTACAGATGTGAAGCGTTGCTCTGTTGGTGCTTGTGGGAAATTTTATCATGAAGCCTGTGTCCGCAAATTCCCCACTGCCATCTTTGAATCAAAAGGATTCCGCTGTCCCCAGCACTGTTGCTCTGCCTGTTCCATGGAAAAAGATATCTACAAAGCAAGTAAAGGTAAAACAGAGCTTAAAAAAAGGGGGGTGGGGGCTAAGGTTTTGGGTTTTTTTTTTTTCAGTGCAGTAGCAAATAATAAGCACATTATTTTAAAGAATATTTGGTATTATCCCTCCATGTATCTGTAGATATAACTACACAGCCACAATTATTAGCATGATAAGTAGAGAATTGGTTCTAATTCAGATCATGAGAAGAAAATTCCATATATTCAAAATTACCCTTGAAAATTTGTTTCACAGGTGACATTGAGATTACCATCTCTCCGTCACTGGAGCAAACAAGTTTTTCTTTGAGTGATCTCTTGATGGGCACTGCATTAAGGATCCTGCACAGGAATGACAGAACCAAACATTGTGGAGAAAAATATTATCTTATAATAACCACATCACATGAAACCCAAAAGAACCCAGCTTCAAAAAACTTGTTTTATATCCAACTGATGTCTACTTATGTAGATTTTGTTTCTTCTGATTTGTCTTTAAACAGGTCGCATGATGCGATGTTTGAGATGTCCAGTAGCCTATCACTCTGGAGATGCTTGCATTGCTGCTGGCAGCATATTTATATCCTCCTACAATCTCATCTGTAGTAATCATTCCAAACGGAGCAGCAGTTCTTCCTCTGCCATAAATGTAGGCTTTTGTTTCGTTTGTGCAAGAGGTGAGTGTCAGTACTTTCTCTTTATGTCTTTGAGTTCATTGGCATATTTCCCCATCAAATAAGAGTTTCAGTAATATCCCTGAGAGATTGACATTTTCAGTAGTCCCTTTTATAATAGTAAACATTCAGATTATTAGCATATTACTTCTTTACATTAAGCTAATATCTGCATTTCTTTTAATAACTGAGAATTACTGACACGTTCTTAGTGTTCCTGTATGGAGCATCTAAAGATTCATCTGTTCTCTTCTGCAAACAGTTCTTATATTCAAAGTAAACTCTTCCCATGTCATATTCTTTAATCCAGAGTTTTCAACTAATTTGAGATATCACTTAGAAGACAAGATGAGCACATTTATGTTTTATTTTTTATTTTATTTTTTTTAAGATTTTATTTATTTGTTCATAGACAGAGAGGCAGAGACAAAGGTAGAGGGAGAAGCAGGCATCATACAGAGAGCCGGACGTGGGACTTGATCCAGGGTCTCCAGGATCACGCCCTGGGCTGCAGGCGGCACTAAACCGCTGCGCCACCGGGGCTGCCCACATTTATGTTTTAATTGTTTATGTTGTATTTTATCATGTTTTGGTCTGGCACTGAAGAAGGGCTGATGCGATACAGCCAAGGCAACATATGTGGTGATGGTAGCTAAGAGCCAGCAATACAAGCTTTCTTACTTGCCAACTGTTGATATTTAAGTATGCCAAAAGACTGATCAAGTAAAAACATTATTGTGTCCCTGAGGGGTCAGTGAACTTCACTTTGTAATAAATATGAAACAGAATTTCTTTAGTTGAATATAATACAGACTATTCAGTTTTACAGCTGTATTATAATAAATAATAAAACAATTTTTAGTATTTGTTAAACATTTTAGAAATTAATATTCCCTAATTTGTTTTCTTTTTAAATACAAGGGCTAAGTTTTCTGAACTTACCTTAGTATGAAATATTTGAAAGGACTCCATGGTGTATCAGGCCTATTAAATTATATTTAGACTACACTGAAGATAAGGTGTTTGGTTTGGTTTTGGTTTTATTTGGTTTTTGCTTTAGGAGATAGTTCTTTTAATTTGGTGAAAGTACTCAAGTATTTTTAAGCAGAATTTAGGTAATGTGACAGATCTTGAGTTGTTTTGGTTTTGTGTCTTTTGCTTTTAAAAAAATAACCAGAGGAGGTTGGCAGTAAAAAATTTAAGTAAATGGCAGTCCTTCTTCTGGCAGCCAGCTGAGTCCTTTTATGTATAGCTTTCAGTTTGCCAGAGTTTGTGGTAAGCACCTGGGGCTCTCTGCCATTAGAGGAGAAGCATTGTGTCTTTCTTTACTAGAGCAATTACAACTGTATTCTGCTCTGAAACCTGGCCAGTACATGGAGGAATAGATCTGTAATGTTTTGTGCCACGTTATAACAAGTGGCAGAAAGGATTCAAATAGTCAAAAGAAATAAAAAGTCACCCCTGGTGACATATTTGTGAAATGAAAATGAATAAAGACCTCATGATAAAAATATCTTGATTTTCATTACTATAATTGAGCATTATTGTCTTTTCCATCTCCCCACCTGCAAGAAAGTAATGATAGTATGGAAATAAATTATCAAATGAATGGCTAGCTTTAGAGACTTTAAAGAGATGAGTGTCAGTGATAACATGAAGTCTCTCTCGCTTTGTTAAATATTTTATTCTACCTTGTTAGGCACTTAATGTTACTCGCTTTTACTAGGAGGGGTGTGTGTGTGTGTGTGTGTGTGTGTGTGTGTGTGCGCGCGTGCACTAGAGTGTGTAAACTGAGCCAACTTTTTTTTTTTTAAGATTTTATTTACTTATTTGATATTGAGTGCTCACGCGCAAGTCGGGGGAAGGGGCAGAGGGAGAGGGAGAAGCAGACTCCCTGCTAAACAAGGAGCCTGACATAGGGCTGGATCTCAGGGCCCTGAGATCATGACCTGAGCCGAAGGCAGACTCTTAACTGACTGAGCCACCCACGTGCCCCTGAGCCAACATTTTAAATGTCAAGTTAATAACTATCATGTTGGCTTACATGGAGTACATTCTGAATCAGGTACCATCAGTATATTAACCACTACTTTCTTTTCATTCAGCAATTGGAAAACTTCTAAAACAGGTATTTTCAATGTAAGATAAGCAGAAAATGACCCATTATCAAGGAATCCAGTTTTATAGAGACTCTAACCATTTTAGGTTTAACTTAGATGCCTTGATTAAAAGATTGAAATAATGGAAATGAGGGAAAACTCATGTTTTACAGGATCTGTATTTGTATCTTACCAATTTGACAGATATCTGAAAGATAGACTGTATTTAAATACCTGTGTAATCAAGATTATTTAATTCCCAAATATTTTAACTCAAACTTTATGCAGTAAACACTTTCATTTTCCTTTCCAGCATTTTGCAGAAATTTATTCTAACTAGATCAGAAATTGGGATTTAAGCCTTAAGTCAATAGTTTACACAAGTAAATATTATGTGTTCTCTCATCAGTTTTTACAGAGGTCTCCTTTTTTTTAAGAGACCTTAAAAAAAGGTATAATTTATTTATTATAATAAATCCACGCATAAAAAAGGAAGCTTAGATTGAGTATGTTTTAGTATTAGAAAACTTTGTTTTGGTTTTGTTTCTTGCCTAATATGGGCCTTACAAAGGATTTTTCTCTTAGTTCATGGTTATTGGTTATTTAAAATTATTCAGCTCATTCTTAAGGACTGAATATCTAGAAATGTTTTTAGAAATGTTTCAAGATTTAGAGGAACATTGGTCCTCCCCTGATCCTTGTGATGCCACAGAAAATGTTCAGTCATATTTCAGTGTAGTATATATTATATAGGGTTTCCTTCCATCTGGGTGGGTGGAGGTAGAAGGGAGGGAGGAGGTATTGTAAAATAAAAGTTGCTTAACATTCTCTGCCTTTCTTTGTAATGGTAATTTATAATGGAGAGGATAGATTAGGGCTTTTTTTTAATTTTAATAATAGCAAATTTTTTGTGTGTCTGTAAATCAAACTCTACTTAGATACACTATCTGAGTGAATTGTCAACAGTTGCCTTAAGGAGTTATTTTCCCCATTTTATATGGTTGGGAACACTGAAGCACAGATTATATCATTTACCTGAAGGTCACAAAAGTTGTTAAATAGATGGACTGACCTTTGTACCTAATCTTTCTCATTTCAAACCCCCTGTTTTTTACACTACACTGCTTCTTTCTATTAAATGTATGAAATTCATTTGACATTATATAACTTTTGTTAGATTTTTATGCTATTACAAGTTAGCAATTTTAAGTTCCATTCTCTCCTCCAGGTAGGAGATGTTTCTTGAATCTTTCTCAGTGTAGGGTAGCACAAAATGAAGATAACACCCATGGCAAAAAGTAAATGGTAACCCCTTTAAAAACAAAAGTCTTGCCTCTTCTCAAAATGATCTCTATGTAACTGCTGTCATGATCCCTTTTTTTAAAAAATTTTTTATTTATTTATGATAGTCACACACACACACAGAGAGAGAGAGAGAGAGGCAGAGACATAGGCAGAGGGAGAAGCAGGCTCCATGCACTGGGAGCCCGATGTGGGATTCGATCCCGGGTCTCCAGGATCGCGCCCTGGGCCAAAGGCAGATGCTAAACCGCTGCACCACCCAGGGATCTCTGTCATGGTCCTTATTATAAAGTACAGATCATTGTAAACTATCTAGTAGATGTCTAGAAATGTTCCCTGGCCTCACACTTCCCTAGGTTTAGGAGTAGCCTATAGTGAACTCAGCAAAGAGGGAATGAGATGGGAGGGAGAAGAGAAGTGGCTGTCACAAGTGGGTTAGAGCAGATCTTCTATTTCCCTCCAAACAGGATAACTGGATTGGTAGGTCAGAAGAACCATCTTTATAAACCCTTAGGTTAGTAATCACTTTATATCATGGCAGGGAAAAAAATGTAAATGGTTTGCATTACCTTAGTGAAGTTTAACAAATTATGGCTCATTCAAAGCCACATATTTAGGGCAGCCCCGGTGGCGCAGCGGTTTAGCACCGCCTGCAGCCCAGGGCATGATCCTGGGGACCCTGGATCGAGTCCCACGTCGGGCTCTCTGTATGATGCCTGCTTCTCCCTCTGCCTCTCTCTCTCCCTCTCTCTCTGTCTCTATGAATAAATAAATAAAATCTTTATAAAAAAGCCATATATATTTTTTTTAATTAAAGATTTCTATTTATTCATGAGAGACACAGAGAGAGAGGCAGAGACATAGGCAGTGGAGAAGTAGGCTCTCCATGGGGAGCCAGATGTGGGACTCAATCCTAGGACCCCGGGGTCATGACCTGAGGCAAACGTAGACCTTCAACCACTGAGCCACCCAGGTGCCCTAAAACCATGTATTATATTGATAGAGAATAGCTTCATTGTCTGGCAGAGAAAGCTAGAATTTGTGTATAGCTCAAGATATGACTAGAGAAGAGGAGAGACTCAGTTCTGCCTTCTGGTACTACTTGATACATTGAAGGTAGATCAGTGTCTCTACCATGTTACATAAATAATTCTTATTTACTCTTAAGTGACATGTCATTTTGTTCTTTGGATTGTGATCTTAGTACTTCTAAATATTAGGGAATATAGCTTTGTCTTTCATATGGGGTTTTAAGTACAATGCCAAATGCCGTTTACATCTCCAAATTAACTTGCAGTTTTCTTCTGGGTGTGTCGGTTTTTATGGGATAAGGCACCGAGTAGTACAAACTCTCTTTAATAACTCTGGCAAGAGTTTTCTGTCAGGTTATTATTTTTCTTCATATTCTCTCCCCCACATGCAATTTATAGCACAGCTACATAATAGGTGTTGGTTTATTTTTTTTCCCTCATGGAATCATGGGTAGTTTCATTGCAGCTCATCTCTTTCTGTTTGTTTCGTATAGGGCTGATAGTTCAGGACCATTCAGACCCCATGTTCAGTTCATATGCCTATAAGTCCCACTACCTACTGAATGAATCAAATCGTGCAGAGTTGATGAAATTACCTATGATTCCTTCTTCGTCAGCTTCCAAAAAGAAATGTGAGAAAGGTAATAATCAAAATAGTTTATCTCTTGCTTTTATTTTTGCATTTCCTTTTTTTTTTTTTTTCTCTTTAAATGAAGGGGGGAAATGTATGCCTGTCAAGCACCATCTGTTACTTTTGGTAAATTCTACCTTGGTGGTTGTCACTGTGTCTTCATATGGCTGCAACATTATTAAAAAGGGCTTAAAATAATTCCATTATTGCAAATTTTTATACTTTTCTCTAAGTAAATTCTCACACATTCCATATATCTGTGGATTATTAAAATTGCAAGCTAGGATTTTGCTTAATATAGAAAGATACTCTAAAGGCTCTTTCTTTTCTGCCTGACATAGAACTACCATTCATGTCAGAAAAGAATAGACATGATATAAATCGTTATGAACTTTCAACTAAAAAACCAGGGTAGGTTATTAAAAGAGGGAAACAAAGATGCTGATACTTAAAATTTTGATTTTAAGATACATGTTATCCTTTTGTTTCTTAAATGTTTCTGTTAAGATGCTATGAAAATTAGTTGCCCTTCTCTTAGGAGACAGTGGGCAGCTGGGAAGATTAACCCAAATATTGGATATTGAAAGGCACAGCCCAGCTCAGCTGAAAAATTGCTTATGGATAATTTATTCACAGAGAACCAAGAGCTAAGTGTATATTTACATTCTCCCAATTAATTTAATCTATAGAAGAAAATCATATGTTGCATTTAGCTTTACATAGCCTACTTGTAATAAACAGAAAAAGTAATTTAACAGTACTATATTATTTGGGGAGTTATTGTCCCAGAAGATAAAATGAATAACCTGGAAGGTAAAGGCCCTTCCCTGTATACATTCCCATTATGATCTGGGGGCCAGGTTCAGAATGTTTAAAGGAAAACTAATCCATACTTAATATACTGGGCATATTTGAAATAAGGTCTTTTTTCCTTTTTTTTTTTTTTTTTTTGTTGTTGTTGTTGCCTGCTTAATATGTTTTTGCTCCTTGTCAAACATCTGAAGTGGCAACTCATGACTAAAAGAAAATACAACTAACTAAGCAGGGTGACTAGAACCTCTGGAGAAGTAGGTTGGAGAGAGTATTGGCTTGTTTGTTGGCTTGCTTGTTTGTTTGTTTTCAACTGAAGTCAGATGATGTCACCTGACTGGTGTAATACCACCTACTTTGAAAACAAAGATGGACAGAGGCGCCTGACTGACTCCATAATGCAGTAAAACGAGACTACCCGAGGTATTCATTTTAGGAAATGCCTTATTTCCTACTGGCACCTTTATAAAATTAGATTAATTCAATTGTTTCTTACTTTGTTTTCAGTACTCAGTATTGACCTTGACATGAATTGAAATTATTTTGAGCCCTCTGTTTGCTTAGCTTGAACCATATCTTACCTCTTCTTGCATCCTAAGGCAGTTTTCTTGTATAGCACCAAGGTGGATTGTTCATATTTTCATTTTTCTATTTTTCATGTGTATTTTTTGTCAAAAAATTGTGATTATTTTCACTGACGATTCTGGGTCTGTATTTCCTCTGAAATAAGACTTAAAATTAAGGAGTATTCCATTACATTAAAAATGGCCAGGCTGACTTTTCCACATTGGCTCTAATAATCACATGTTCTCTACAGTTGTTTGCAAAGACTGCTCCCCCTGCCAGTCATTCCTTTCTGATGGAGAAGTCAGTTATCTCATTTTACTTGAAACTTACAGAATTCCCTACATAGGCTAAGAGCACTCAGGCAGCTAATCTGCAGATTGGAGAATTGGAACAATGAATCCATACTGAGATCTGCAAAGGCAAAAATCTTACTGATTAAAGCAAAAGCTTTTAAGCAGAGGAAATATAGTAATTTATTTCATCACTGATTGTATATAGATTTTGTTTTTGTTTTTATGTTAATCAGTTAGAAATTTTAAAGTCTACAGGAAGAAAAGATTTTCTGAAACATTGATAGCAAACCTCAAAAGGTTGGAGCTGTGATTTCATAAAGTTGTGTACAGGCTCTTAACCTTTTGCTTATGAGATTTTAAATATCAGTACATTCGTGGATTATATACCTGATTTTCCAATAGAATTCATTTTTGCTTGCAGTAAATGTCTTTATTATATTTCATCTTTAGTAATTAACATCCTTCTTTATGACTTACTGAAATACCTATTAGAAATACCTAATCTCCCCCCCAAATCTCTTTTATTTCTTTGCATTTAAAAATATTCTTTTGTTTTGTTGCTGCACTTGTTTTGGTCTTAATCCAGAGATCATTTTGTGTATTTCCAAGGAGAGGATTTTCCTAGGGAACTTGGAGAGGGATCTCCTTGTGTGTGGTACTTCATTCTACAGTGATATTTACTTAGTTTTATGCTATAAAGCAGTGGTTCTCTCAATATGAAGTCAGAAAAACTTATGTAAACAATTTTTGAACTATGTGTAATATTTCAGAAAATCTAACAGAATCACACACACATTTGCACAAAATAAGGCTGCATACATTTCTTTGTATTTGGCTGTGATTTGAACAACTTAATATAAGACTAGTTTCATTATTGGGACCAGAAGCTCAATTGGCAGTCATATATTTCTCTGGTTAATAAAAACAGTATAAATCATTATCTTTAACAGGGGTTTTGATTCTGTTTTTTGTTTTGTTTTGGGTTTTTTTTGGTTTGAGGAGGATTTTTTTTGGATAAAATATTCAAAAACATGGTTCCCTGAGGAAGGGAAAGGGGATCCTTGGTGATGAAAAAAGTTGCAAACCACTGCTGTATAGCCTGTTTGACTTTCTTTATTTTTACTGGAAAGGGAAATGATAATGTAGTCACCAATTTGAGAAAGTAAAATCCTTTGCTTTTTTTTTTTTTTTTGCATTCTTTTATGAAAAGGAAAAAGTACTGGTCAACCTATTGGCTATTTTCATTCTTGCTAATTTTATTATAAAGGGATTTAGTTAACTGTGGCATTGGATTAAAATACAAAGATGACCATTGCTTTCTTTCTTAGCTCTCAAGGAGAAAAGAAAGTAAGTTGCTACATATTTCTTTGAAAATCTGTTTTCAAATCTACTCAGTCTAAAGATTTTATGCATCTGTTTTGTTATCTGTTAAGAGTTTTACCTGCCTGCTAAACATTTTAGAGGGGTAAAGACTACAGAAATGTTTTTCATAGTACTCAAAAGCTTCGAGTCTCTGGCCACTGCAGCCCTGGAAAGGGACTGAAGTAACTAAATCTGTTCATTTGCTTTCTATTTTAATCCATCACTATAAACCTGACTCAGTCCCTTTACTTTCCCCAATTTGAATCAAAGTTAATGCACTTAAAAAATAACTTTCTCTTTTCTCTTTCTTTTTCTCTTTCCTCGTTTCTTAGTTATTAAGACTGTTTATTTGTTTCAAGGTGGAAGACTGCTCTGCTGTGAATCGTGCCCAGCTTCATTCCACCCGGAATGCCTAAGCATAGAAATGCCAGAAGGCTGCTGGAATTGTAATGACTGTAAAGCTGGCAAGAAACTACATTACAAGCAGATTGTTTGGGTCAAATTGGGAAATTACAGGCAAGTTTTTCCAAGGACAAAGAGGAAGTATTCAATCATTGTTCAGACACAGGTTCATAATCTGTATACAAACTGGCTAGGAGATAGGTAGAACAGCACAGAGCTATTTCCTTAAAAAAAGAAAGAGAAAAGAAACCTATTTTGAATTGGTTTTTAGAGGATTGGGAAGGTTAGTTGTTGGAATTATTTTTTGGATTTGTTGGTTGGCTTGTTTCTATGTTTTGAAAATTATACTAATGAACTATGTACTACTCGATTTTGGAATAAAAAGTCTTAAAGTAGGTAGTAGGGAAGATGTTTTCTTTGTGTCCTAATATATTTATATTGATTTCTAATGAAATCAAGATTTTATATCCTGGCCGGAATAGTTCTCTTTGCCCATTTTAGTTCCTTGTTTGAAGCTTTAAACCGATTGCAAGGAGAGAGCTCTTTAGGATTTAAAGAGAAATTATTTCATTAAAAGGTTTTAGAGGCACCTGGGTGGCTTAGCGGATAAGCGCCTGCCTTCAGCCCAGGGTGTGATCCTGGAATCCCTAGATCTAGTCCCACATCGGTCTCCCTGCATGGAGCCTGCTTCTCTCTCTGTGTCTCTGCCTCTATGTGTGTCTTTCATGAATAAATATAGAAAATCTTTATTTAAAAAAAAAAAAAAGCTTTTAGATCTTAAGAGAATAGTGTTAGAAGTATGTGTGATTGCCATTATTTTCCTAAAACTTTCTCCTTCTAAGAAGCCTGTCCTTAACAAACCTTCACTGAGCAAGGTTAGTGATATATGTTAAAAACTGTACATTTTACAGGCATATATGTTTATCATTTTACTTAGAAAACAGATACTATTCAAGAGAGCACAATAGGGTCTGCTTTTCAATTAGAATACCGAGTTAAATATATTTCTATAGAATTTCAAACATACTGTAATTTTTTAGCAATAGCTATGTCATTTGTTTTAAATATGCTGCTTGCTTACCTATTTAACTTGAAAAATTTTGTCTTTAGCTGAAATAAGGGGCCTTGAGGTTGAGAAGCAGTCCCCCACACACACTATTTTTTTTAACATATAATAGAAAAACCTTGAAGTCCCTCCCCCTCCCCAAAATTTGGCAGTTAAATACATAAACAATTTTATATTATCTGGCAAAAGATACAAAGTTTTAAAAGGCAAATGTCAAACCAAACTAAAGTGTTTGCACTTCTAACAATAAAAGACAAATACCTTACCTAGAACAGGAGTAAAGGAAAGCCGGTTTGCCGAAGAATAGCAAATAGAAAATAAACTCATAAAAAATGCTGAGCCTCACTAAAAATAACTATATGTTAAAAAGAAGAGTTTTTTTGTTTTTTTTTTTCAATCAACAGATTGGCAAAGATATAAGACAATTTTTTGGCTAGAGAAGGCATACGGAAAGGAGTGCCCTTCCCCCCCCCCCCCCCCATAGAGCAGTCTGGCATTGCATATTGACTGTCTACCCTTTGACTTAAAACTTCCTCTTCAAGGAATTTAAGGAAAAAAAATTGGACAGGTAGGCAAAAGTATATTTATAAAGGTTTTCATTGCAGTATTATTTTTAATTGCAAAAATTTGAAATAACCCAAATGCCCAGTCAGTGAGGGATTTGTCAAATAAATAACAGTGTATCCACATCCATAAGAGGATAATGCTGATCTCTGTAGTATATGAGATGATATTCATGGTATATAGTTGAATTTAGAAGGCATGTTAGACAGCATATGCATTATCTTTCCATGTGTCTAAACAGTTTTAAAAAAAATTATAGATCTAGATATGTTTTTCATACCCAGAAAGAAATATATCTAATGTTAATGTATGAGGCATAAGATGAAAAGGGAGGCATTTTCTATTTTTCTATTATACATTTCTGCATTGTTTTATTTTTTATTTTTTTTTAATTTTTATTTATTTATGATAGGCACACAGTGAGAGAGAGAGAGACAGGCAGAGGGAGAAGCAGATTCCATGCAGCAAGAGCCCGATGTGGGATTTGATCCCGGGTCTCCAGGATCGTGCCCTGGACCAAAGGCAGGCACTAAACCGCTGCACCACCCAGGGATCCCTCTGCATTGTTTTAATTTTTAAAAGAAACACACACTGCTTTTTGTAATTAAAAATCTTTCTGAGATGGGAAGGGTTGCAAGTTTGACAAGAGGTAAGACATTCTGGATAAGAAATATCTAAAACAATGTAAGAAGCCTTCAGATTTTTACATAAATTTCAGAATATCTACTTTTTATTTTTTATTTATTTTATTTTTATATCTACTTTTTAAAATTTCTTTTTTGGGTTTGGTTTTTGTTTTTGTTTTTTTAGATATAACTGACATATTAATTTCGGGTTCATTCATTATTTGTACATATGTTGTGAAATGATCACCACAACAAGTCTAGTTAACATCTGCAGCACACATAGTTACAGAATTTTTTTTTCTTGTGATAAGAACTTTTAAGATCTACTCACTTAGCAACTTTCATGTATACAACCCAGTATTACACACTGTGGTCACTATGCTGTACATTGCATATTTCCTTTATAAAAAGTTATGAATATGAAAATATCTTTGATTTAATTTTAATACTTAAATTTTAATCACATTACATTTTTTAAAAGTCCAAAGCTCTCATTGGGGTTCACAGCTCAGTGAGATTTTATACGCAGGTCAGGTTCTTTTTATATATTTTGCAAAGACTCCCATCTATGAACTAATTCATAATATATTTTCTTCTAGTCAGGCCCAGCAGATTCACATGAAGCTGTTTCTTTTCAGTAACTGCTTGCCTGGGAGATATATGAAGCCTCCTGGGCGAAATGAGGAGGCCCTGGAACAACCCCTGGCAGAAAATGGACCCCTTCCTGAGTGACCCAATGAATGTAGTTAATTGTGTGCATACTTAATACCTCAAAATGATTTAGAAATAACCACTTCTTAAAATTCTGATTACAAAAATAGTGTTTTATTTTAACAATTTGAGCACAGACTCTTGCCTACATTTTTTTTCTTCTCTCTCTCTCTGTCTCTCTGTCTCTTATAGAGAGGTACATAAGCTGGGGGTGAGAGGGTAGGGGCAGAGGGAAAAAGAATCTCAAGCAGGCTCCACACCCAGTGTAGAACATGACTCAGGGCTTGATGTCATGACCCTGAGATCACGACCTGAGCCGAAATCAAGAGTAGGATGCTTAACTGACTGAGCTACCCAACTGAGTACCTCTTGCCTATGTTTTTTTTTTTTTTTTTTTTTTTATGATAGTCACAGAGAGAGAGAGAGGCAGAGACATAGGCATAGGGAGAAGCAGGCTCCAAGCACCGGGAGCCTGATGTGGGATTCGATCCCGGGTCTCCAGGATCGCGCCCTGGGCAAAAGGCAGGCGCCAAACTGCTGCGCCATCCAGGGATCCCCCTCTTGCCTATGTTTTTAATTAATTTTTAAGATATACTATAGAGTACCTTTGAGATGAAACATGTTCAAGTTCTGTACTATAAATCTGAAGTGTAATCATGCCTTGTTTATCTTTTGAATAATATAATTATTCACTAAGTAAATGGTTTTATCAGGCATCTGTAAAAGACTGAAAAAATTTAAGTTTTTGTGTATTTACTCTTCATACTGATTCTTTTATAAACTACCAAAAACTTAACCTTTCAATGTCTAACTTGCCCAGTTGTTGAAAACTATCAGATGTACCACACTGATTATTTAATGTAGTGATTCAGTCTGTGCATGAAACAACTATGTTTTCATTCCACCCCACATCCCACATTATTATGATGTAAGATGAATTAGATTCTGAAATACATACTAACATAAACCTAGTACATTTGACCAAAAGTACTTACCCTGGTTGATTAGAGAGAAGATGATGTGTATTTGAATGGAAGTGGCCGTTCTTCACAATAGCATCGGTTTATTCTCAAAGGATTCCCTTGACTACTAGAAATAAACTTTTATACCTTGAAAGACAATTTTAGTATTAAGAATGTCAAATTTGGAGGAACACAGAACTTTTCTAGGATTGACATTAGGTTTGGAATTGTACTGGTAAATTGTTAATTCTTTTTCTTTTTGTAAATTCTAATTCTTAAATTGGGTAGCAAGTTCATTGTTATTTTGTTATGCTTTATAACTTGTATGCTTGTGATATATATTCCTTTATATCAAATATTAATTTTTTAAAAGATTTTATTTATTTATTAATGAGAGACAGAGAGAGGCAGAGACACAAGCAGAGGGAGAAGCAGGCTCCCTCAGGGAACCTGATGTGGACCCCAGGATCACGCCCCCAGCCCAAGGCAGGCGCTAAATCGCTGAGCCACCCAGGCTGCCCTCAAGTATTAATTTTTAAAGAAAAAACTAGATTGGGTGCTTCGAGTATAGTTTGCTTAGTCTGTATTCACTGTCTCATTAATTCACTAATCAGTATGTTTTTAAATGATGTGTGGTTTGAGCAGGATTAAAGATAAACAAGGTATTTTGTATCCTTAGAATCTGAATGAAAATTGCAAAGGACAAAACCTTTTTTTCCCCACCCCGCCTCCTGCTAGCCATGGTAAGAACAGTATGATTTGTCCATTCTCTTGATCTAAAATCACTTCTGTTTTCAGATGGTGGCCAGCAGAGATCTGCAATCCCAGGTCTGTGCCACTGAACATCCAGGGCCTTAAACATGACTTGGGGGATTTCCCAGTGTTCTTCTTTGGTTCTCATGACTACTACTGGGTACACCAGGGCAGAGTGTTCCCTTATGTTGAAGGAGACAAAAGCTTTGCTGAGGGACAGACTAGTATTAACAAGACCTTCAAAAAAGGTAAGTGGTATGATGTTTACAGTGGCTCAAAACTAAGACTTCTGACTTACGTATGACATGGTTCTGGTATTAGAGAACTTTCACCGGGTGTTATGATCCAGCATCCATAAGTATCCAGTCACGTTAGAGCCACATTTTATCCAGTTAGAAAAGTACATTTGAGTATGGTAGACTCTGCCGTCTGTTGAAAGGAGTTTCTTCAGTGATCTTTCTACAAACATAGAGATTATTTTGGAAATAGCCTTCTTAAGCGAAGCCCCTTTGCCACAGAAGAGTAGTAAAAGCTTCTCAAGAAGAGATTTAACTGTTTTTACAAAAAGTTTCCAGGAAGTTTGGCTTTCTGGGTAAGAGTATAATGAATTTAAATCTAGTACAACGTAAAAATGTGGGGTGGGGTGGGGTGGTTGGTTGGTGTATTATTTTGGTTTTTTGTTTTTGCTTTACTTGAAGTAGGGCCTCTTCAGCAGCTTGCACAGAGTACAGCACTGAGCCATAAATGAGTTATGTCCTATTTCAGTTACCCTGTCCTGGTGGAAAACAGTCATTTCCAGAATAATTTCAAAATTTCAAAGAAAAAAAGGTCAGGCCAGATTTAGGGCATTGGGAAGGCAATGTAAAACTGCTCTTCTAACAGTTTTTGTTTGTTTTTCGGTGTTTATATACTTTGTTTGGTCTTATTGGCAGCACTGGAAGAAGCTGCAAAACGTTTCCAGGAATTGAAAGCACAAAGAGAAAGCAGAGAAGCACTAGAGATTGAAAAAAACTCAAGAAAACCTCCTCCTTACAAACACATCAAAGTGAGTTTCTGCCCATGAAAACATTAGTATTTAACAGGCAAGAGGAAATGCATCACTCTTAAGTCATTAGAAGGCACTTTTTGACTTAGGAAAACTTTTGCCAGATATCACCTAGTCTTCTATAGAACAAACTGAGAGCTTTTGTTGGAAGCATAAAATGAGTGCCATGGCTGCTGTGCTATGGGATCTTTGATAAGCCCTCTCGTACCTAGGAGCAACATGTTCCGTGTGAAATCCTGGTCTTCCCTACCAGGCTGTGCAGCCAAATGAGACTATAAGTGTTTGGCTCCCCTTCTTCCAGAAAGCCCTCAGTTGTATTCAGTTATGAAATTCCCATTAACTAGGAGAAGAAATACACAGGATAAATAAGGGAGAAATTTCATCAGACTTCGATATTTCTGTCCACTAAGGAGAGACGATTTTATTCTTAGTTTATTCATGGGGAAATGGAAGTCAAGATATAAAGAGCCTTTCTCAGAGTCGTACCACAATGCAGTAGCAGAGCCAGAAATTGCATGGATATGTCTAATGTTCCTCTTATTTTGTGGTTTTGTTTTATAGGCTAACAAAGTAATAGGAAAGGTGCAGATCCATGTTGCAGACCTGTCAGAGATTCCCCGCTGCAACTGCAAGCCAGCTGATGAAAACCCCTGTGGCTTGGAGTCAGAGTGCCTGAATAGAATGTTGCAGTATGAGTGCCACCCGCAGGTGTGCCCTGCTGGAGAGCGTTGCCAGAACCAGTGCTTTACAAAGAGGCTCTACCCTGATGCAGAAATCATCAAAACAGAGCGAAGAGGCTGGGGCCTCAGGACCAAAAGGAGCATTAAGAAGGTAGCATGGGGTGAGGGCCTGGGGGGTGGTGAGACAGACCAGGGCCTGTGCCTCTTAGCAGATGCTTCATCTTCTCTTAGGGATAAAATACATAGGAATTCAAGGCAAAATTTTGAAACTTCTCAAGGTGAAAGTTTGGCACTTCTCGAGCAAAGCAGAAGTGGTAGGAAGAGGCAGTAATAAAATATACATAGTCTTTGGGTGTCCTGTGATCAGTCAGAAAAAGGAGAAAGGACATTGGTCATTTTCTATTTGAAATATTTTTTACCCTTTAAGCAAAAGAGCGTAAAAGGTTTAGCAGAGTCAAAAGAGTGCAAAGGTCAGAATGTACTGGGATGGGAACTAGCAAAAAACTGCAGGACTTCATGCCCACATCACAGTTCTTTGACCGAGTCACTAACAACCCAAGCCTCAGTTTCATCTGTGCTCTTGAGCACACATGGTAATCCCTCTTCTACATATTTAAAAGGTTTGCTGCCAGTCTCAAATTATATTATATATGCAAAAGCAACTGGCAAAAGTTGAAGTCTTTGACACTTATAAATTATCTGGATTCTTATACTTTGAAGCAGTTTCTCCAAGCAGTCTCTTTGTAGAAAAAATTTTTAATGCGAATACCTCAAAGAAAAATGAAAATCCTACTGTTTAAACAGTGGCCCTCAAACTTCAGAGATCCTGGGAATCTCCTGGGATCCTTACCAAAAACAGTGTCTTAGTGAAATATGTGGGACAGGCCTGAACAGTGTGCATTTTAAAACCAGGTCCCCGGGATCCCTGGGTGGCGCAGCGGTTTGGCGCCTGCCTTTGGCCCAGGGCGCGATCCTGGAGACCCGGGATCGAATCCCACGTCAGGCTCCCGGTGTATGGAGCCTGCTTCTCCCTCTGCCTGTGTCTCTGCCTCTCTCTCTCTCACTGTGTGCCTATCATAAATAAATAAAAAAACAAAAAAAAAATAAATAAAACCAGGTCCCCAGCCCACCCGCACTCCCACCCTTCCCCCTGCTTACCTAGTGCCCACAGAGAGGCTTTCACTGAGGGAAGGTAGGTCTGGTGGGCATTTAAAGCTATTCTTGACATTTTTGCACCTGTAAAAAAATAAAATAAAAATCACTTTTGCAATTAAAAAGTACCATATAATGTAGGAAAGAGAATCAAACAATACAAAAAAGATAATAAAGAGTAAAATTCCTCATTTCTTCAGTCCGGGGTCTCCTCACCAAGGATGACCATTGTTAAGAGGGTATCATGTAGCCTTTTATAGCTTTTTCTACACAGTTATAAGTGTAAATGTGTATTTAAATACATATTCTGAAATTCAATACTTATAGGGTTTTTAAAATCATAAATATGATACATATTATTTTGTCCCACTTCATATATCATAAATACACCTTCATGACAATACATAGATTCCTCCTCATTCTTTGTAACAGTCCTATTGTATCCTATAGTAAAATGTACCATAACTTATATCACCTATTTTCTAATAAATTTACATATATATTTAATTCTGTAATGAACATTCTTGGTCATCTATCTTCATGCGTGCATTTTTTTTTTAAATTTCATTTATTTGAGAAAGAGAGAACATGAGCAGGACAAGAGGCAGGAGAGGGAGAAGCAGACTCCTTGCTGAGCAGGGAGCCCCATGCAGCCCATCCCAGGACCCTGAGATCATGACCTGAGCCAAAGGCAGATGCTTAACTGACTGAGCCAGCTGGGCTCCCCTCCAGGCATCCATTTCTATAGGTTAGATTGCTTAAGGTAAAACTCAGTCATTAAGCATGTGTTTGTGAAGTTGCCTTTGTGTGCCAGGTACTACTCTGGGCATTTGGAAAAACAGTGGTAAACAAGACACCTTTGTGAGTCTGCTAGAGACAGACAATAAACAGATATATAATGTTGAATACCACTAAAATGGTGCAAAGAACAATAATGTGATCAAAGGGGATGGCTGGTGACAGGGATTGTTATTTTATACTGCTTGGTTGAGGAGGGCTGAAGAGTTGCCATTTGATATGAACATGAGGGAGAAAACCATGCAGGTATGTAAGGGAGCATAAAACATTTCAGACTGAAGAGGAAGCAAGGACAGAGCTTTAGCATGCTCCAGGAAAGGAGGAGAGCCAGGACACCTGGAGGAGGAGGAGGAGACGGGGATGGTAGGTAGGTAGGAGATGGGAGAGGGAAGGGGCGGGGGCTAGACCTCATGCAGCCTTAGAGGCCACAGGAGTGAGGCTTCTGAAAGATTTTAGTGGGAAGTGACTTGACCTGACCTGGTATGCTCATTTTCTGTTGCTGCTTAACAATAATACTACAAATTTAGGAACTTAAAATGTGACACACATTTTATTTTCTCACAATTTCTGGGGGTCAGGAGACAGGCACTGCATGGCTGAGCCCTCAGAGTCTCACAAGGTTTCAGTTGAGATATTGCCCAGGGCTAGATTCTCATTCTTGTGCCTTAAGTGGAGAAGGATGATCCACTTTCCAGATTACATGGCTGTTGGCAGAATTCTCTTCGCACTTGTAGGTCTGAGAGCTTCAGGTGTTTTTTGTTTCGTGGGGCTCAAACTCATGATCCCGAGATCACTTCCAACTGAGCCAGCCAGGTGCCCCTAGAGTGTAACATTTTTGATGTTATTTTAATGCCATGCATATCACATATACAAATTTTTACCTCTGACTTCATGGGAGTTTTAGGGACTATCCTGAAATCTATCCAGCTTAATATCATGTTAACATCTTTTAATAGTAATTGCATTTATTTTAAAATGTATTCTAAAAAAAATAAAATAAAATGTATTCTAATTTATTAATTGATACAATCAAGAGAAAAGAAAGTATAGCCAGGATATTCTGCCCATTAGCTCTTAAGAAATTGCTAATGTAAGACAGTTGGTCTCTTACAAAATAGTTGGAAGTATATATTCCTGAAATGCAAAATCATAAAGACTTAGTAGCAACATGGAAAAGATTTTTGGTACATTGAGGGGACAGGAGCCAAATATGAAATTGATTGTCCACAGCCAGTTCTCTTCACACGTAACAGATTCCTGAAAATGTGTGCCAGAACCAAAAAAGAAACTTATCAAAAATTTTAAAAATATATATTAAATGCTGAATTACACCCTCCTTTTTTGCGGTAGTCCTTAAGGACAGATTTCTAGCATTTTAAAACGTTTTTCTTGGTTATTTTTGTTGACAGTTCACAGTTAATGGGTATTTTTGTTTTTGTTTTTTGGGGGGGTTTTATTTGAAGATTTTATTTTTTTAAGTGATCTCTCCACCCAGTGTGGGGCTCAAACTCACAATCCCGAAATCAAAAGTCCCATGCTCTACTGACTGAGCCAGCCAGGCACCCCACAGTTAATGGTTTTAAGTCCAGTTAGCAACTCTTTGAAGCTGAAGTTTGTCACCTTTAGGACATATGAAATATTTCTTTTACAAAATAGCTAGGAATATTTATTTACCATGGTATCAAATTTATGAGACTTGCACTCTTCTGTTTGATATCAGCCCTTAACTTTCCTGTATTGGCTCATTTTCATAGAACAGTAAATATAAGCCGTAAGACATGATACTCAGGCTTTTACAGACACAGAACCATTTCTTCAAGTGAAATCTTACCTTGAATCCCAGGATGTGTAAAGATGACATACAGCCTATTTGGTTGCAGTTCTGCTCTATGGATTTAACCTGGTGTTAAATAAGTATAGTAACACCGGGGCGGGGTGGCGAGGAAGTCTACCAGTGAAGGCGATGGTCCCACATGATGGTGCAAGTTGTTCATCAGCTATGTCCCAGCTGATGGAGGAAAGGCCTGGGAATGTGACAGTGCATGGCACACCAGTGTGCAGACCATCCTCTGTCATTCGTGAGACAGAACTGGAAGGAAAAAGCAGAGAAAATAAACTGTTCTGTTATAGTATTGCAGTTACCAATGAAACCCATTTTTTTCTTTTATTTGTGTATTTCTTTTTCTAACCTAATTCTTTGTCATAGCTTGTATGGTCAGTAAAAATAGGAGGGAGTAAAAGCCAGAGGTGAACTTCTGGGGCAACCACTCCCCAGTGGAAACAAGTGTGTAGCTCCTTGCAGCTGACTCAGAGCCCACTGACCTCACTAACAGCAAAGGGAAGGGGGTTAGTCCCGGGTTGCCCGGGACGTTAGGTGGGTTCCTTCCAATGTGGCCCCGTAACTTTTTTCTTATTTTCAGAAATGACAATCTTTTGTTTTTATCAATAGAAAAAGATTAAGTATTCATAAGAACGCTGGCCTATGTTCTTAACGATTTGCCCAAATCAGAATATACGGTACTTCTCTTTAGATTATTGGTATTTGCTATCAGTTCTGTGATTCGAAGAACCATGAGGAGGGCTAGTAAAAATTTGTGTGGTGGAGGAGGTCAGGTGGGAGGAAGAACAGGTCTGGTGAAACAATAAGCAAATTTTTGTTGCCCAAGACATTTCTTTTCCTATAAGACTGAAAAATTCTATAGATAATGCTCTTGTCCTAGATTGAGTCAGCCATGTTTTCGAGGTAAAAGGGTTAATGGACTCTGCATTTATAAATACCAGATACTAAGATGTTGAATATAGAGTATTTACCCTCATTTTAAAATAAGCTATTTATGGGGCGCCCCAGTGGTGCTGTCGGTTAAGATCCTGATCTGGACATTTTGAGATTTGAGCCCCATGTTGGGCTCCATGCTCCACAGGGAATCTGCTTGGGATTCTCTCTCTCTCTCCTTCTACCCCCCACCCCTGCATGTGCACTCTTTTTTTCTCTCTTTCAAATCTTTAAGAAATAAATAAATAGAAGAAGCTAATCACCACACACCTATGAGAACAGCAGGATGAAAACTAGTTGGCAATACCAGCTACTGGCAAGAATGTGGAGAAACTGGGTCTCTCCTACAGTGGGAAAGTATGGTGGGGATGCAAAATGGTGCATATACTCTGGAAAATAGTTTCTTAAAAAATTAACTCAAACTCACCATTTCACCCAACAAATTGTACTCCTGGCCATTTATCCCACAAAAATGAAAACCTATGTCTGCATAAAAACTTTTACCGGAATGTTCACAACAGCTTCATTTGTAATAGCCAAAATATGAAAACAATTCAGACATTCCTCAGTAGGGTGAAAGGCTAAACCGCAGTACATCCATGGTGTGAACAAGTACTCAGCAGGAAAAAACATATTTAACTATTGACACATAACAAATCGGACAGATCTCAAGAGAATTAAGAGAATTTGCCAACCTCAAAAGATTACGTACTGTATACTTTCATTTATAGAACATCCTCAAGATGACAAAATAATGCCAATGGAGAACAAGTTAGGGATGGGATGGGTTAGGGGAGAGAAGAAGGATGGGTGTGATTATAAAGGACTGTACAAGGGGTCTGTGTGGTGCTGGAATGCTTCTGTATCTCAACTGTGGTGGTGGTTACACAGTTGATTCTACAACTGACCAAATTCCACACACAACGTTGGTGCAATCTGAATAAGATCTGTAGACTGTACCAAGGTCAGCTCTCTAGTTTTTTTTTGTTTTTTTTTTTTAAATATTTTTTTTTTGAATTTTTATTTATTTACGATAGGCACACAGTGAGAGAGAGAGGCAGAGACACAGGCAGAGGGAGAAGCAGGCTCCATGCACCGGGAGCCCGACGTGGGATTCGATCCCGGGTCTCCAGGATCGCGCCCTGGGCCAAAGGCAGGCGCCAAACCGCTGCGCCACCCAGGGATCCCCAGCTCTCTAGTTTTAATATAGTACTATAGCTCTGTAAGATGTTGCCATCCGGGATTAGTAGGTGACGGATACACAGATCTTCTCTGCACTATTTTTGCAACCTCCTGTGAATATGTAGAATTACTCTAGAATAAAAAGTTTTTTTTTTAATGAATTCATTTGTTTCAGATTCAGCTCTTTAATAGGCATGAACTCCACAGCTGCAAACTTAGTAAAAGTCTGTTGTTAAGACAGCCTCAAAGACTTGAGTTAGCCATCTCTCCAGCTCCTATAATTATGTCACTTGGACTATAAAATCATATTGTCAAAAGATAAAAAAATAAAATCATATTGTCAGCAAGAAAAGACCAGTTATCACCTTGTGAGACACTGCTAGCAAAAAACTCGCTACCTGAATGCCAGTGAATGACAACTACTATTTGTTTCTAGTGTTAAAGTTAGATTTCCAGGATTCTTTTTGGTTACTTCTCTTGGATTACATACATAGTGTTAAAGAATGCTTTCAAAGAGAGTACATTGTCTTATATTTACATATTGCATGCTTCTCTGCAGGGCGAATTTGTAAATGAATATGTTGGTGAATTAATTGATGAAGAAGAATGCAGATTGCGAATCAAGCGAGCCCACGAGAACAGTGTAACTAATTTTTATATGTTAACTGTTACGAAGGTAAAATTGATTTTATTTTGTAAGAGAAAAGGATTTTTGGTTTTTGTGTCATGGTCTTAAACACAGTTTCCTCTAATTTGGTTGTTTTTTTCAAGAGAATGAGAACACTTTGCAGTAGCCAGTATGATAGTTCTTATAATGTGGTGATTATTGCACAATACACAAAGGCTAATTATTGAAACCTTGCACATGGCATATGAGACAGCGCTGTGAGTGGACAGATGGCCAGGAATAGGGCAGACACACAGGGCTTTCCATCTCAGCTCTTCTTAGTCACTGAAAGACCTGGCCCTCGGTTTCTCAAGTTAGAAAGCACCACAAAATTATGGTTTAGCCAAAATTCTAACTGAATTTTTCTGTGTACTGGAACTTCGTGTCTGAGTTAGGACAAATGGATGTAGTCCTAAGCAGAATGACAGTAAAACTACTCAATTCATTGTGTGTGCTCCTAAGTCCCATTTGCTACACATCTGATACATCTGTTACCTTGTGTCATTTCTTTAGCAGTCCTCTGACTTGCAGAGGACAAGAGACTGAGGTCCAGCCCTGACAAGCAGTCTGTTGGATAGCTTGTCACAGTCTGGTGAAGGCCAGGACTAGTAGCCATGTCTCGTGGTCCAGGCTCTCCCTGAAACTGAGAGAATATCATTATAAGTAAGAACTAGAAATCACTTACAAGAAGTTGATTTGAACTGATATGCATTGTTTAACAGTTTTACAACTTTCATGAACATCAATTTAATGAACAGAAAATGCCATTTATTTCTGATAGCTGAATAGCCCTTTAGATCTACTCCTCACTGTTAGGGGCCCCTCCAGCCATCTTGATGACATTTGGGAGGCTCTGTCTTCCAGGGCTCATTGAGATGACCAGAACTTGCATTCAGGGGCCACCAAAATGGTGAACCTTTTACTGTGTCCTGAACATCAGTATAAGTAAAATGGAAGGAACAGGTGACTTCCTGGAGAGTACGTTCTACGCTAGAGCCCTTCCATCAATCAAAGGTCCAAATCTTCACCCAGAGGAAAGCCGTACATATTTCCTTGTCTCTCTTTATGGCCTACGCTCTTTTCCATTTACTCCCGTACTAGTTTCGCTGCTTGTACAGAGCAGGAAAGGAGGGCTGATGGCAGAGCATCGTGGTTCCCAGCCCAAGCGCCTGGCTGAACTCCACGCTCTGGCATCACCTGTGATCAGTTCATCTTCTAAGTAGTAGTATTCTGTGGGCTATGTGTAGAGACAAACTTAAAAAAAAAAAAAAAAAACTAAATTGCATTTTATCTCAGTTGCTTTGACTTGTAGCTCATCAAATAAGATAGAGAACTCAATCACCAGCCCGGAGAGCAGAGCGTGCATTGTGGGAGTTGTGTAGCGAAACACTGTTTGTTGCTTGTGGCCCTCGACAGGGTTGGGTGTATCTGAGATAAGCTCTTACTTAGTTTCATGTCAAGGGTACCTTTCATTTCTTTTTTTTCTGAAGGACCGTATAATTGATGCTGGCCCCAAAGGAAATTACTCTCGCTTTATGAACCACAGCTGTAATCCAAACTGTGAAACACAAAAGTGGACAGTGAATGGAGATGTTCGAGTTGGACTGTTCGCCCTTTGTGATATTCCTGCAGGTAAAAAAGCTACTTGCTCCCCTCTCCCCTGCACAGGACATTCTTCAAGGTTCGATGCTCAAGTATTTATTCAAATAAGATAGGATTATATTTGGAATTGTTACCTGCCATTAAAAAGTGAAAATCCATGTCCTGCAAAAGGGAGTTTTGTAAGAGCCTTTGTTTCGGGGAGGACGTTCCAGAATCCTGTATGTCCGGGACCCTCCTGAAGGACCTCTCCAAATTATTGCTGTCTGCACAATATAACCAGATGTTTAAGCTTTTGTTTTCTACTTAAAGTATTAACATACTGTGTTAACAGCAGCTGGTTTCTTGGTTTGTTTGTGGGGATTTCTGTTTGGTTTTTTTTTTTTTAGTTGAAAGATCTGTTTCAAATTAGACACAAAAAGCTTCCGAAGCCAGTTATTGCTTCCATGTTTCCTCAGCCATCCAGCATCTTACCAGTGGCACTTAGTTTCTTCTCTGCCAGGTTGGTAGGGAAATGGGTAAAAAGGGAAGAGCTGTAGCTCAGTGAGATTCAACTGCAGTCCTGGAACTCGTCGCACGCTGTTCAGGATCAGCCAGAAGCAAGCTTGGGCCTCCCAGTTCGAATCCTTGGGTCTTTGGTGTAAACAGTGAATCTGCGCTGTGAACTCTCTTCAGAGCATACTCTAAATCATGAATTACTGGAGCCGCACAGTCACCACGATTCCGTGGGCCTACTGTTCGTTCAGAAATTCGTGTAAATTAGGGCAGCCCCGGTGGCGCAGCGGTTTAGCGCCGCCTGCAGCCCAGGGCCTGATCCTGGAGACCCTGGATCGAGTCCCACGTCAGGCTCCCTGGATGGGGCCTGCTTCTCCCTCTGCCTGTGTCTCTGCCTCTCTCTCTCTCTCTCTCTCTCTCTCTTTCTCTATGAATGAATAAATAAAATCTTTAAAAAAAAATTCGTGTAAATTAGCTTTAGAAAAGCTAGACCAGAACCCGTTTTTTTTGTTTGTTTGTTTGTTTTGTTTTGTTTTAGCACAGATTTCAGATTCTTAGTCTCCATTACATAATTTTTGACCACTTCAGTGAGAAGGCTGTGACAACTTTTACAGAGTGTTTTGGCCGTGTGGCTGGGGATTTTTTCCTCTGTTGTTTCCCCTGGCCCACCTCAGTCTGCAGCAAGGCCTTCAGGTCAGAATTAGGTCTCTTTTGTCAATGGGAGAGTGTGTCTGACAGCATTTTTCTTCCCTGGGACTTGAGTATGAATAATTTTGTCTCCCATTGTAGGGATGGAGTTAACATTTAATTATAACCTGGATTGTCTGGGCAACGGCCGAACGGAGTGCCACTGTGGGGCAGAAAACTGTAGCGGCTTTCTGGGGGTGCGGCCAAAGGTCAGTTGGTGGGCAGGGAGCACCCCAGGCTGGTGGGGAGTCAGGAGTGGGGCTGTTGAAGTGTGGGACCATCTCAGGAAAAGGCCGGTGAACAAATGGGGCTCTGGTTCACTTCACGGGATGGCTGTCATGTTAACCAGAGTGTAGATGCTCTGACTTTCCAATGAAGCAAATCTTAAGTAAGATCTGTCAGGTTTGGAAGATGTGTTTGTATTTCTGATTGAATCTGAAGTGATCAACATCTGTTCAGAATCTTCTTTAAAATTCACACTATACCAGAAACCACTGAATCAGCCACTTGAAAATGGTGAGTTGTATGATATGTGAATTATATCTCAGTATCCTTGCAATTGAAAAAACAAAGCACCTGATTCAAAAGTCAGTGAAAAAAAAAGGGAAAAAAAAAAAGTCAGTGAAAATGTAGCCTTATTTTTAGCACAGTACTGTCATGGGATAAGTCGTCCTGGTGGATTTAGGTAATTGAACAACAGAGTTGAAGAGAACTTAAGTGAGTGTGTCAGGTTCTGGGAGCTCACTTTCCACATAGTCTCACACATTGTGTTCATCCTTCTTCCTGCCAGTCAACATGTGTGTCAACGACCGAAGAAAAGGCCAAAAGTACTAAGTTAAAGCAGAAGAGGCGAAAAATCAAAGCAGAACCAAAGCAGATGCATGAAGATTACTGTTTTCAATGTGGAGATGGTGGGGAGCTGGTCATGTGTGACAAAAAAGACTGTCCCAAAGCGTACCACCTCTTATGCCTTAACCTGACTCAGCCACCATATGGTAAGCCAGCCTCTTGGGGCCCCTTCTTTGATGTGGGTCTTTGCTGATAGCGCTGTGTAACCTAGCCTGTACTTCCCTCTCCTTCGTGGAGCCATGGAATGGATAACGTGGAGTAGAACCACCAACACTAGCAGACAAAAAGTATGCTCGTGAAGAATCTGTCTGCAGATAGGGGTTAGGTGCGGGCCAGTAAGCATTGGTTTTCGTGGGTGAGCAGGGACCCCTACGGCGTGGAGTTTGGGGTGCTCGTGCACCTCCAGACTCAGTAGTAGGCTCAGACGTAAGTTTGGCTGAAATTTGGTGTTTGATCAAATTCGGTCTCCAATCAGAGCAGACGGTGGGGATTTCTCGTGAGTAGTCAAGACGGACACTAACGGGGCTGTTTTACCTGTCCCACCCCCCCCCCCACCAGGAAAGTGGGAATGCCCGTGGCATCAGTGCGAGGAGTGCAGCAGTGCTGCGGTCTCCTTCTGTGAGTTCTGCCCTCACTCGTTTTGTAAAGATCACGAGGAGGGTGCCCTGGTTCCCTCTGCTCTGGAAGGCCGTCTCTGCTGCTCGGAGCACGACCCTGCATCTCCTGTGTCGGCAGAGTACTGGAGCAAGATCAAATGCAAATTGGAATCACAAGATCATGGAGAAGAACTGAAAGAATAAATGGGCGGTGATTTCTTTTTTTTGCTTTTTATTGAGATAAAAAAAAGGAAAAGGAGCAAGGGACTCGATGGCACTGGCACATTAGTGGGAGAGGAGCTGCTGCCGTGCGCACAGCCTTCACCCCCGCCCCGCCTTATTGACGTGCTGACGGGGAGCCAGTGGGTGCAGGCAGAAGCAGTGGGTGGTATCTGTTTTTCTGTTTTCTTGGGTTGGGGATTCTTTTGTGGCGGGCCAAATTCCCTTGGTCTTCTCTTGCCTTTTATTACACTTCCATGCCTTTGCAGCTGGAAAAAGAGATGTCTTCACTTTTAAAATAAGAACAAAGAGAAAAGAAATTTTGTTAATGAGATTAATTTAAAGCCTAGGATGTGTTCCTTGGGTGTAAAAAGCAAAAGTAGCCCTCATTCCTTTATTTATTTTCATTTTTTAAAAAATTTGGAGAAGTGTAGTTCAGATAGTCTATTCAGTGTACGTGTGTGTGTGCATTTTAAGTAGCAGTTGGAGCAAGCCCTCTAGAAAAGGCTATGATGATCTTTATATACCTCTTTGCTGAGCAGTAGGTAGGCTAACTTCTCTTTCCCTTCCAAATGTTTTTCATAATCCTAGAGAAGGGCTCTGTGGGAGTACTGAATCTGGCCTCTTGAAAACAAAATGCCTCAGTGGATTTTTACCTCTGTGGTCTTAACCTAGGTGGGCTTTATGATGTGATAATTTTACTTACAAAGGTATATGATGTGGTTTTCGGTTTTGGAGAAAAACAGAAATGGGTGCACTCACTGAGTTTGAAATGTTTTCCATTGACAGTGAACATTTTTGATGAAGCGTGTTTATGTGGATGTGAATGCAGTTAGAATGGTCATCCCTGTTGCCCTGACACATGAACAGAGGCAGCTAGAGGGAGACAAAGGCCCAGACCCAAAGTTGGATCATAACGACTGCCATCCCCCATGCAGTGTAATGGAGCCCCTTGTCCAACCTCGGGGGCTGTCCTGTCTCTGTTCCCCTCTCCTAATCAAACATTCCCATTGTCAGCTGCTTGCCCATTCAGCCAGGTTTCCTGGTGAAAATGATACAAGCGAATTGAAGTTGTATCTGAGTCAGTCTTTTGGTTTAGTTCCTCATTTGGGGGGTGGAAGGGGTAGGGGCATCCCCTGCTCATATGTAAACAATTTCTATTTAGTATTATCTACTAACTAAAACTGCCCCCAGGAGGGAGGGGAAGCACTTCTACAGAGTATATCAGAGCCACACAAACACACTTCATCTGAGGAAGCACTTAGGGAAGTTCCCAAGGAAGCAGTATTAGCAAAAATGGTTGGTTGTGATGCTTGGATATCATAGATGCAAGTGTGCCAAGATGTCTGCCCACAAAATTCACTTGCATTTAATGCTTAAGAATATGTATTTTCCAGTATTCCTTGTATGAGTAATTAGTAACTTCAGGCTTTGTTGTGGCACTGTACTAAGTAGAAGTCTAGGGCTAGCTTGAATGGATGTTAACTTTCTCTGTGAATTTTGACTGCTTACAATTGCTGGTACCTGGTGGCATTTATTTTCCCTTAAGAAGTACCGAGGAACCTTATGAAGGTAGAGAGGGTAGATGCTCGGCCACATTCCTTCCGTTGTGTTGCGTGTGTTCCTTTTTTCTTATTAATTTAGACTTCTTCTCTAGAAAAAGGAAGAAAAAAAGTTGTGCCTCTCCTTTTTTAATGTAAATGTGCAATTGTACTGGATTTTCTCTTGTAAAAAAAAAAAAAAGCATAAAACAAAACAACAACAAAAAAGCACCACACTACAGTTCCTTTACTTAAGCTCCTAAACTGCCATTTGCCTGATTCCAGCAATTAATTCTGAGGTAACTTACTGGGCCTCCAGGAATTATCTTGATTAAATATGATCCCAGGAGAAAGAGCAAAATGGAAAATGCTATGCATGTTACCAAATCGAACATGCAGCACAGCTCACCAAAACACTAGACTTTGCTCTTGAGCAATTATATAGTTTGATAGCCTTTTAAAAAATAATTTAAGAAAATCTAGGTTTTATCATACTAAGACTTTATTTTATATATATGTGTGTGTGTGTGTATATATATATGAGATAAATGTTTGCTTTTTTAAAAACTAACATGAAGGATTTCCTTTAACATTTGAAATGTAACTCTTGTTGAAACCGTACCCACATGAAATCTTATCTCCTTGTTTTGGACTGAATAATCTTTACTATCCGATGACTTTTCTATGGTAAGCCAGGGTACATCCTCTATACTTAAAAATATCATAGGTTTCAATATTTTTATGCAGCTTCTTCATCGTGTCACATTTTGTTTGCGTATCTAGAGCAGCTCTGCTGAGATTTTTTTTTTAATCTTTTTTGGGGGGTTGGGGGGCACCCAGTAGGATCATTCTGCCATTTCAGAAATGATTACAAACCAAAACAGCTAACCACAGCTCTGGAGTCTTCGTCCCTGAGTGCTCTGCAATGGTCCAAACAGCGGTTTTCGCCCTGCTGGAACCCAGGAACTCTCCTCACACCTCCACGGTGTCACCACCTACCTAGTTTATGTATTTTCAAGTCACAGGCTATGGAGGCAGCGAGGGAGGGGGAAAGTTGTGCTTTCTGTGTACATAGCATATATGCCCTGTGCCCGGCTGCCCTTCAACGAAATCATCCAGAAGACGTGTTACTCTCTCATAGTCCATAGTTGGTATTTGTTAACTTTTAAATCTGTATGTGGTCAGAGCATAAATAGTTGGTTTTGATTCTTGTCCAAAAATGAAATGACTTAAAGCAGCATGGGATAATGGTGGTGTTTTGTTTCATATTTTTTTTTTAGCCTCATGTTAATTCTTTGGAAGAAGTGAATGTAAAGTTTTGGATAATCAGCATAAAACTTCAGAAATCAGATCAGTAACAACTACAGAGGAAATCCTGGGCAGCCTTCCAGGCATGTGTGGTGCATGAAGGGGCTGGCCCACGGCTGGCACTGCAAGGAGGAGGGCTGCCCAGAGCCAGCTCTAGTGGGGTGGCCCGCCCTTCCTCCCTGGAAGGCCCAAGCAGCTGGAGGAAGTGATTCACTTCTTTAATATCTAATCAAGGCTAGAGTCAGGAGGGAAGTGGGTTTTATTTCCGTTTTTAACAAGTTCTTACTCTACCTTAATTCTCAAAACTGATCTGGTCTAAGCTGTAGAATAGGCTTTTAGAATCACTGAACCTTGGAGCTATCAGTGTGTGTTCAAGTCAGGAACATACGTAAAAAGTAAACTAAAAATAATAATAATGGGGTGGGGGGGGTGGCTCCAGCTCCCTTCTGCCATTTCCACATAATCTTTGGAAACATGATTATAAATCATGTTTTGAAATTTTGAGAGAATCATGGAAAGGACTCTCAGAGACGGCAGGTTGTTAGGCAGGTTTCTTTCCTGCCTCATGAAGTTGGGTTTTGTTGTGGCCTCGTTATACGGTCTGTGCTTCCGTCAGGGTCAGAGCTGCAGTGTGGACGGCAGGGAGCAGCCCTGCGGAACGAACCGTCTGGGCACTCCGGCTTCGGGCCAGGCCGGGCCTCCCATTCATTCTTAAGTGCAAAGCTCTTCCTCTAGTGTTGACCTTGAAGGGGAGGTGCTGCTGCAGGTCCCACCAGGAGGAGTGGACAGGTGGGCTTGGGGAGCCTACATTCCCTGCACTTCGGTCAGGGGAGGTATGATGACTCTGGCTGATGTGTCCAGCCGCCTGGGCTTCGAGCTGCCGCAGACGCAAAGTGACCGTTTGGAACGATTTCCGTCAGCCTAGGGCCACCTACGGTCGGTCCCCGGTCGTCTGTAAACCAAGAGTAGGACTCGCTTGCATTTTCAGGCAAGCAGGGAACAGATATAATTAGACGGCTTTGCCGTGTGTGCGTGAATATTGAAAAGTTGGAGATTTGTATATAGTGAAACCCACCAACTTTCCCCGGGGCGGGCAGCGGGAGCAGGGACGTTGGCACAGGGCGAGGGAGGGGGATGTTCACCGCAGGTACGAAGTAGTCACTTTAACACTGAGACCTCTGCCTCATCGAATTCAGGTTTTTTAAGTACTTGAAACTCTTCCGATTCCCCTTATTTTACAGTTCTTAAGTTTGTGAAGTAGACAGCATTGTTTGTATACCATTTTTGAAAACAGCCTCGTCTCTTGTCCTCTTTCGCTTGGGTTGAGGGCAGGGCTCTGCCCACGGGAGGGAGCGCCCCGGCAGGTAGCTCAGATTTCCTGGACGCATCCGAGGAGGAGACTCTTGCATGAACTGCCAGCAGCTTTCTCATGAGTATTTCCTTTGTGCGTTCTCTACTTTGTCATTTTGTCAGCCCTGTCCCCACACACCTCCTCTTCCCTTGTAATATATATGCCTGTGTAGGGAAAAAAAACAAAAATTTGCACTTAACGTTACGCTCCTTGAACCGCGGGGTGTAATCCGTGTGTCTCAGAAACCATTTCCTTTCTTTTCCCCGTCAGTCCATTGCTTAAGTGACAAGGTCAGGTGCTTGTGGCACCTACGTGTGAGGGGGCTGGTGGGGGGAGTGCGACCTGCCCTTCAGTGGCCTGTGAGAGTCAGTTACGTGTAAGAGAAAGGGAAAAGATGAACAGTTGCCAAAGTCATGTATTCAGTCCTCAGTTTTCTTCCGTGACCTTCTACATCTGCTCATTGGCAAGAAAGCCCTCCAGGTGCCAGTGCTCCCCTCTCCTGCCTGCCACAGACCTCGACGTGTGCACATGGCCCACGGCGTCGATCAGACCACCGAGACGAGGTATGTATGAGGTATTGTCAGGTTAGGAGTGGACTGGATAAAATTTACTTTTTCACTCTGTTGTCATTAATATTGCTCTTTATCTCATTTGTGCTATCACATACCCTCTGTTAAAAAAAGAAAATCACATTGTCTCCCATGACCAAGATGCTAAATAATGATTACAACTGGCTAAGATCCTTTTTTCTATACAAGGGTGTGTGCATAATTGGAATTGATATAAGAAATTCATTTGTAACCACTTGTGATATTGCACAACAAACACAGATACCTACAGATTGTTTTCTTTTTCTTGTGATCTTTATCTATAATGACCTTTGTAGATTGGTTATTTCTGTACTTTGTTTATCTGTAATAAACTTTGTAGATCCTGTGAAATGTTATTTTGCCTAAATCACTTGAGACTTGAGTCTTTAATAACAAAGCATCAATATTCACTAAAGTCAATCTCTTTTGAGTTTCTGTGACTTGGCTAGAAGCTCTTTGACACTAAGGGATTAGTGTTCATTTTCCCTGGGGGGCGTTCCACTAGGGCATTACTGTATAATGACTTGATGTTGCCACATGACTTCAAGATATATGATATTTTGGGGATTTGTTGATTGGCCTATGTTTTACTGCATAGTGTGAAACGTGTAAAGCTTGGTTAACCTGTATATAGATAGCTTTATTGTTGACTAGTTACAGCGTATTTAGGATTGCCTGTAATTACTACTGTGTGTGCTGGTAGGAACATACATTTTTGTATATTATATTTACTGAGATATTGCCTTTTTTTATTTTACAAATACTTCGAAATTCAGATGTGTTTTTTGCTTCCGTGAGGATTAATTTGGAAAGCTTCTTAATGACATTCCACTGACTTCAGATTTTGCTTGAGATTGACTTCAATAAATTGTCCTGTATGTTCCAAATTAAACTGTGGGCTTGTTCATTGCCTGTAGTTAGTTGCTTGCCACAACTCCTGGACAAGAAAGAGGTCATGATGGGAGGGAGGGCGTCGGTTGCAGGGCTGGATGACCCAAGATGTGTACACACACACACACCCGGCTGGTGGGGCCTGCAGCACAGAGGGTGCCCACTGCGTGCGGTTTGGTTGTGTTTGCCCGGCGGGGGGGGTGGGGGAGGGCCTCGGAGAAGGGGCGCCTTGCTCCGCGCGGCTGCAGACCGCGGGGCGACGGGGCGACGGGGCGACGGGGCGACGGGCGGCAAGGAGGGACGCGCGTCACCCGGATCTCGTTCATTCGTCAGGCTCCACGTGCGCTGCTGCCTGGCTGGACGGCGGGAGGCGGCTCGCGCTTCCCGGCTGCCCGGCCACCGGGGCGGGGACGGGGCAGGGGCGGGGCAGGGGCGGGGCAGGGGCGGCGGCGGCCCCGCCTTCCTCGGGTGCAGTTCCCGCGGCGGCCGCCAGCAGGCGCTGAGAGCAGAGGCGCGGCCCCCCGGCTCGGCCCTCCCGGGGACCGCCTCGCGTCCCGCCGCCGCTCCGCGGCTGCCACGTCAGCGCAGCGTCCGTCGGTCCGTCCGCAGCCGAGCGGCAGGATGGGGAAGGTGGCGGCGGCTCTCGGCGCCGAGCTGGGCGTGCGGCTCGCCCTGTTCGCGGCCTTCCTGTAAGCGCCCCTCGCTCGGGCGGGCGGGCGGGCGGGCTGGCCCCGCCTGGGCCCGGGGTCCCGGGGCGCCGCCGCAGCCCGGCCGAGGCCTGGGGCCAGGGGGGAGCCCCCACGAGCCGCCCGCGGGGCCCAGGAAGCCAGCCGACGCGCTCTGCACGTGTTTCCCCTCCAGGGTAACGGAGCTCCTCCCTCCTTTCCAGAGGCGGATCCAGCCGGAGGAGATGTGGCTTTACCGGAATCCGTTTGTGGAAGCGGAGTATTTCCCCACCAAGCCCATGTTTGTGCGTGGAGAACGAGCCTTCCTCGGACCCTTGCTACCTAGTGCTGAGCTTGAGGCGGGGAGCCGGAGGCGGGCCTCGCGGCTCGAGAACGACCTCGGCGGGGTTCCGACTGCTCCCTTTGACGGTGTGCTCAACGCTTTAAGATCCAAATTTAGAGAGCAAGATGTCAATTTTGGCTCCAGAGACCTGTTTCGTGAGCTCTGCCCCGCAGGGTGGCCTGAGGTGCCGGGTCCCTTAGAACATCCTGGCGAAGGCGCTGCCGTGCCCTGTGCGCCCAGTTAACGCGCAGGCGCCGCCGCCGCTCGTAGGCGCCGGGAGTCGGGGGCGTCCTTAGGTCTGCCGCGAGCCTCCTGCGGTCCCGTCCCGCCTGCTGCCCTGTGGGAGCTGCTGTAACCGCGAACCACGCGGTTTTATTGCGGGGGGTGGTTTGGCTTTTTTAACCTCTGCCCTTTTCTGGTTCAGGTCATTGCATTTCTCTCCCCGCTGTCTCTGATCCTCCTGGCCAGATGTCTCAAGAAGGCAGGCCCTACAGACAGCAGGCAGGCCTGCCTGGGTAAGAGCGGCCCCCTCGGGCTTCTCGGCCCCCTCTCGGCCCCCTCTCGGCCCCCTCGGGCCGCCCCTCGGTTCCTCTGGTGGGCCCGGCCACGGGGGTGCGACCTGCGCGCGGAGGCCGCTCGGTTGTGTTCCTCAGGCCATCCTCTCTTCCCTGTCCCCACGCTGTCCCCACGAGACAGAAGCCTACCCTGGGACCAGAGTTCACACCGGTGTGTCTACATGCACCGGATACTCTGGACCCAGAAGCCTGTTCAGCCCAGGACCGAAGTTCTCAGTGCTCCACCGCGCGCGCGGGGGGCCTGCCCATCCCTGGCTCGGGAAGTCCCCGGCGGCGAGCGCAAGGCCTCCTAGGCGCACACCACCCTCACCTCAGCACGTTTCTTTGCTTTCCAGCTGCCAGCCTCGCCCTGGCCCTGAGCGGGGTCTTTACCAACACAGTAAAACTGATCGTGGGCAGGTAAGTGACCAGTGCCCGCCTCGGCCCCCAGGTCTGTCTGCCAGCGGCTAATGGCCTGCGTCGCGCCTCTTCCTCCGCGCTCCCCTCCTGTAGTCTAACCTTGCTCCTCTCGCTTCACGTTCCCTCCCTCCCCTGTGGCTGGCCTGCGGGTGATGGTGACGGGTGACGCCTGGCTCCCTGCGGCCCTGAGCTGCATTCCTCCCTGCTCCCCGACCAGCACAGCAGCACCCCCCGCCCCCAACACCCCGGGGCGGCAGCGTGACTTGCTCTTTGCCCTTGGAAGTACTCTGTGCTGCACCGCCCCCCTCCGTTTCAGTGTGGACCCTGGAAATGCCGCCCTTCTCACGGTGCCTATCCTAATCCAGTTTCATTATTTTGCCTGCGACGCTGTTTGACCAACCGTGAACAGGTTTACGGTGTCTGAGACAACCAGAAACTAATTTCCGGAGTTTTTAAGTGATCTGTGTGGAGACCATGTTGTTGTTGTTGTTGTTGTTGTTGTTTTCAGGCCACGCCCAGACTTCTTCTACCGCTGCTTCCCTGATGGGCAAGCCCATTCTGACTTGACGTGCACCGGGGAGAAGGACGTGGTGAACGAGGGGCGCAAGAGCTTCCCCAGTGGACATTCCTCCTGTATGAACGCCTCATGCACTCAGCATCTCTGCTTTTTGGGGATCACTGAATTTAACCTAGGACACTTATGAGAATGGGGACATCTCACTACTCTTATTCTTGTATCTAGAAACAACCCCCCGTTCTTTAATAATCCCAAGATTTTACAAACCTGCGCCTCAAATATTAGGGTAGATATTCAAGGACAGAGGAAGGAGTTTGCTTTCATGAGATTTGAACATTTTATGATTCTTGTATCATTTGCCTAGATCCTGTAATCTGGAATTAGAAAAATATGAACTAAACTTTATTGAAGGTGCTTTGAAAAGCATTTTTGATTCTTCTCATTTGATACCATAACAGCCCAAAGAGGTGGATACTATTAGTTTTATGATTCCCATTTATATATGAGGAAGCCAAGGCATCAAGAAGTTACCTGCCCAAAGTCCTATTGCTAGTATCCAAACACTATTCCCAGGGTAAATATTAACTTTGGGACACACAGTGAAGTCCATTTTTCCTTTTGTTTCCCCCTCCCTCATTGATGATCTACACCAGAAGCATTACCAAAAGAGGATAAAACATGTTCATGGGGATCCCTGGGTGGCTCAGCGGTTTAGCACTTGCCTTTGGCCCAGGGCACGATCCTGGAGTCCCGGGATCGAGTCCCACATCAGGCTCCCTGCATGGAGCCTGCTTCACCCTCTGGCTGTCTGCCTCTCTCTCTCTCTCTCTCTCTCTATCATGAATAAATAAAAAGTCTTTAAAGAATCTTTAAAAAAAAACATGTTCCTGCCCCCAGCCACCTATCTGCGGATGAATGAGGGAGGTTCCTTTATAAGATAGATACTTATAGGTTTTCCTCTTCTAGTTGCATTTGCTGGTCTGGCCTTCGCTTCCTTCTACCTGGCTGGCAAGTTACATTGCTTTACCCCACAAGGCCGTGGCAAGTCTTGGAGGCTCTGTGCTGTTCTGTTGCCTCTCCTCCTTGCATCTGTGATTGCGCTGTCCCGCACCTGTGACTATAAGCATCACTGGCAAGGTAAGCAAAGTATTCCTGCCATGGAAGTCTGCATGTGTCTCCTGCCATCTCATCCCTAGCGTTCGGCACAGAGGAGACGTGGACTGTATCTGTTAAATGATTAAACAAATGAGTATGGGATGGTCTGGGTTTCTGAATCAAGAGTATGTATAGCTATGTGGAAGATGAGAAAGCACAGTTTCCTTTTAAATCCCTAAGGAGAAATGTCCCAATTTTTCCATTATCCTGAAGCAGTGTAAGTTCAGAATTAACTCTTTAAGGTTTTTTCTCTCAGAAATTTTTTACAACAAACCTCAGAGGTCAGTTTACTTACTGTCTTAAAAATCAAATCCATAAAAAAATCAAGTTCACTTCATGAGATTTTTGTTAGAAACTAAAGTGAAATTCAAGAAAATCATAAAATTATAGTTAAACCAAAGAAATCTTAAGTTGAATGGTATATAGTAAAACATTCGAATAACAGAGTATCTTTATGGAAAACCTATAATTCAAAAAAACTGACAGTATAGGCCCAGAAGTCCCTAGGAGCCCTGTTTTAAAGAATAAGCTAATTTTTTGCAAAGAGGGGCGGGCAACTCCTTAAGAGTTTATTGCTTCCTCTAGAACTCTTAAAATGTGAAAAAGGGGTTAATGGCATTAAATAAAACTTTATTATTCTGAGGTTTTTAAAAATTCAGCCTAGTGGGAGGTGGGTGGGGATGGAGTAACTTGGTGATGGGCATTAAGGGGGGCATGTGATGTGATGAGCACTGGGTGTTATATATGCAACTGAACTCTAAATCTGAAACTAATGATGTACTATATGTTGGCTAATTGAATTTTTAAAAATTCAGTCTCGGTGCCTGGGTGGCTCTGTCAGTTTAGCATCTGCCTTTGGCTCAGGTCATGATCACAAGTACCTGGGATCGAGCCTCGTGTAGGGCTCCCTGCTTGGCAGGGTATCCACTTCTCCCTCTTCCCCCTGCTCACGATCTCTCCCTCTCTCTCTCAAATAAATAAAATCGTTTAAAAAAAAATTCAATCTTGTGTAAACTTGGAAAAAGGCTTATTATATTTATTTAACTAAAGATGTGTTTTAACTTGGTGTTTAGGAAGGAAAGAACCTGATGATAATCCTGTTAAAAAAAAAAAATCCTGTTAACTATATGATAAAATTGAGAAAGCCTAAAAAACCACTGAAATTGAGGTTTTCTGCACCCAAACAAGTAGAGTAACCTGGACGCCCAGGTTCTCAATACAGATGTCCCCCATCATCCTGCACTGAACAGAGAGCTGTCTCTCTCACCAATGGAAGGTTGGGGCAAACCTGTACTGAGCAGGCTGGCACTGTATTTCCAATAGCATTAGCTCACCTTGTGTTTGTGCATCACATTTTGGTAACTCTTGCAATGTTTCAAACTTCATTATATTTGGTTTGTTTGTTTATTTATTTATTTTATTTATTTATTTATGACAGTCAGAGAGAGAGAGAGAGGCAGAGGCACAGGCAGAGGGAGAAGCAGGCCCCATGCACCGGGAGCCCGACGTGGGATCCGATCCCGGGTCTCCAGGATCGCGCCCTGGACCAAAGGCAGGCGCCAAACCGCTGCGCCACCCAGGGATCCCTCTTCATTATATTTGTTACGGTGACTTGTGATTAGGACTTGCTGAAAGCTCAGGTGATAGCATTTTTTAGCAATAAAGTATATACTTTTTTTTTTTAGACATAGTGCTGTTGCACTTAACAGACACAAGATAGTGTTAGCATAACTTTTATATGCACTGGGAAACAAAAAAATTCATCTGACTTGCTTTATTGAGAATACTTGCTTTATTGCAGTGATCTAGAATCCTACCAAGTATCAGAATGCCAGTAGTGTGTGGTATTTTAACATGATTTAAGAGTCTAATATGCTTAAGTGAAGACTTTATCTCCTCTCTTTTAGATGTACTAGTTGGATCCATGATTGGCCTGACATTTGCCTACGTCTGCTACAGGCAGTATTATCCTCCTCTGACGGATGCAGAATGCCATAAACCATTTCAGGACACACTTGTACTTCCCACTATACAGAAGCCTGCTGATCCGCATCATTTTAGTATTTAGAAATTAGTACTACCTCAATTGAGTTACGTGAATCAGCCCCTCTTAACTGCCCAAGACAAGAATGTCTGACTTTTTTACTCTGAAGAAATACAAGCAAGGACATAAGCACTTCATCTGTCTCCATATATTAATGCAGTTTTGCTCACATGCATTTATCATGAGTCAAGGTTCAAGGTTCTTTTTCATGACTCTCTGCCTCACATTCTGATAAAAAGATCTTCTGTAGAGTCCATTGGATTGGTATCCTAATATCTACAGTGTTTTACACTTAAATGCCATTCTTGGAAGGGTCTTTGTTCACAAAGAAGCCTTTACATATCCTAGGACCTAGAGTTAAATTTCCATTTTCCATAGCTCAAAATCTTAAAACCCAGGACATGACGAACTCAATTATTTTGGCTCTGTTTACTTTCTCTGGTGATAATTCCATGAAAACTTAAATAGGAAAATGTCCAGTTCTGGCTTTTTTTTTTTTTTTTTTACTTTACACATGTATCTTATATTGCTGTCCATTTTGAATACTGTGGGCATAAATTATTTATTGAATTACTAAATAATTTATTTATTTTTTAAAATTTCTTTAAATGGTAAAACAAACGAGGTGGAAATCACCAGTTGCTAGTATTGAAACCACACTCCTGACCTGTGTTCACGAGCTTCTTTCCCTCCATGCAGGACTGAAGATCTGCCCAAATGCATCAACTCTGAGAAATGGCATTACAGATGTCACTACCCGGAAGACAAATGAACTTTTCCTGTCCCTTCTTCCTAATGGGATATAAGGGACAATTACAGGACGTTATCAGAACCGATGCTATAGGACCTACAACTGCCCTTCTCTTTGCGATTATACTTTAAATATGACCTTGTCTTACATGCTTCTTTTGTATTTTCAGTGTATCTTTTTCCTTCAGAAAATGTGACAAAGAAAATGGTGAATGTGGGTGTTTTGGGTACGAGCTGGAACATTTCCAAAGTAAAACACTGGATTTCCCATCTGACCATCTGACATAAGTGATAGAACAGCCAGGGCAGAAACTGGTATCTGTAAATACTGAAGAACAGTCTCAGTATTGACTTTGTAACTGCCATGCCTTAAATTCTGAACTATATCTGCCTGTGATAATGAAAACACCAGTCAAGGGAAAAGAACTTAAATATTAGGTCTTTTGCCCCAAACTTGTATTTTTAAATTTGCTTTAATAATATAAGGGAGAAGAAAATGGTTATGGTATTAATTTTCAGTATAATGGATCCAATCAAGTAAAAGGCAACTGGTCAATATGGTTTTATTTCAGTATTTCATAAACTTTTAAATATAATCATGTAAAAAACAAACATTTCAAAAAGTGCAAAATATTAGAAAGCTAATCAGTGCTATTAACCTTTCCATGCAGACAATCTCTTGTTGAGATAAGCAATACAAATTCCGTAGCAGGAAATATGTATAAAATGATACTCTATTGAGTTTAAAATTAGGCTTGGTCAAGAGATTGCACATAATACAACTGAAGTAGTGCAAACAATATACAACTAAATAAAGAATTTAAATCAAGCGTATTATTCTGTGTAATATACAATCATGATGATACCACAGGTAGAAAGACCAGATAAAAGCTCTTTTACAGTTGCCTGCCCCTCACCAAAAAACATTTCTTAGTACCAACACTGTGGTTTATATCTAGCCATCCACAGTTATGCTGTTGAGCTGTTCATCTTTGGTTACAGGGACTCATTCTTGCTTTTCCTTTGGTTTACTCTTAAATACTATCTATTCAGCTAATATGAAGAATAAATGTAAATTGACAAGTTGACAAAAGCTTCCCCTTTAAAATAAAATTGAACGCTACTTAATTCTCAGTAATCCTTACTTCAAATTCAGTTCATATGGTAAAGAAAAGTATTCCATATACCTGACACTTCTTTGTGGCTCAGCATTAGTCTATAAGCAGATGGACAAGTAAAGCCAGCCACGGATCTTGCACCCAGCCTCACCTCTGTCATCTCCAACGTGACGGTATGGAGACCACTGCTGTTGAAGGGATGGCTTAAGTGAATGTTATATACCAATACACTAGACACCATGATGATATATTTACAAAAAAACATTGTTTATAAAGAAACGCAGCTTACCTGCCTATACCACACTATAAAACAGGCCTATGGAAGTTGGAGAGGAGGGTAAAGGACTATCACAAAGAAAACTGCAAAAACATTGACAAACTCTGACCAATGAGAAAGGAAATCTAGCCCTGTGGTGAGCAGATGCCCTCGGGGGAAAAAAAATTGGTTACAATTCAAGGTACACTTCACTTTGAATGTTCTGATGTACACTCTGCACAGGTTGTTCCTTGATTCCTATAGGCATAAGTTTTTCTTTCAGAATAAGAAACATTTCCCTTAGCCAAAGCCTCCTGCCCAGCCAACACTGCCTGTGCCATGAAGCTTTTAAATAAGCTCCTGGATCATGGGTACCTAAGCAAGCAATGGTGTTTATAAAGGGTTTTCAAAGAGGACACACAACACTGCCCTCACCCAAGTGGATACAATGGTAGACTCGCACAAATTCTAGTTCACCTTAAATGTACTACTGAGAGATTTTACTCATAACCAGAGAGCCTGTTAAGGCTGCGTGATTTCAGGTTTGCCAGCCTTTATAACTTTGCCCTCAAAAAGAGAAGTTACTATCAAATAACTAAGATTTCAGTCTCCCCATTTGAAATATGGTATAAAAGGACAGGTCTAGGATATATAACATCTTTGCTTTATAAAATGCACCTAATGGGAACTAAACTATCTGCTGCAGACTCTGAGAGCAGCTCAAACAGCTGTGAAAACAAACAGCATCAGTGATTCCTTGCAATCAAAGGTCAGTCAGCTATAGAGAGTAAACAATACTCTGTAAGCTACATTTTAGTCCTTTACACAGTACTTATAGGAAAGAAACGCTGGCTCAAAAGAAGTTGCCTAGAAGTCTTTTCCTTTAACTACTTAGCCTTCAAATACAGAGAACACCAATGAGAGATGAGTGTACCCCAAAATGCCTTCTGAATCACCGGAGCCGTGCTCGCTTCAGCAGCACATATACTAAGATTTAATCTCCAGAGCCTGCTTCCAAACTAGAACATTTTCTAAAGAGAAACAATAATTTCCTAGAAAAAAATTTCTACTCAAACCAAAATAAACTCAAAACAGACTTTATACTATCTCAAGTAATAAGCAATAAAGGGTGGCATCTATCATCCAAGAATTAGAGCTGCAAATAACCCCTGCTATGAAGAGCGGCAAAGGCTTCTATGAAGCCAGTGGTCTTCCCTTTGTTCTTCCACTCACTTCCAAGATAACAAGTCCTCCAAAGATCCCAGTAGTGAGTAAGTGGCAGGCAACATGCAGGAAATGACGCAGCTGAGGAGAGGGAAACTGCAGCAACAAGCAGGTGGCTTTTCTGGGGGAGGATCCTGCAGTGTCCGTCTAGGGAAGAGTGGAACAGAGGTCATGAGGCAGTCACAACTGGAAGCAAACAGAACACCGGAGTCCAATGCATGAACTTTCTAGTTACACATCTAAAAGGCAGAGTAACTTTATCTCAGCATGGGCTGTTGCCATGGTAACTCTTAGATGATCAGAACTATTTAGATTCTGAGTTTAGATCCTAAAAAATAACAGGTGTTACGGGACCAAGTCACTTGCAAAAACACATGGACATTAACTTTCTCTAAGTGAGCTATTGCACTTTTTCCTCAGAAATTTTAACCAGAGTCCCTCTAAAAATGAATCATAACCTAGATCTTGGTGACAGGTAACAAAAGCACATTTATAAAGAGTTCAAGGCTACCCTGTTCCTCATAACATGTTAATATGTAGGAACTATGCTACATACATGACATTTAAAAACTTACATTAAGCAGCCATACATGGTTCATTTTTATTGTAAAGGCTGATCAAGGAAGATGCCCTGGGTTTGGTAGATTTCTTTGAGGACCAACAATACTGTATCTTCAGACTCCCTGTAAAGAGAAAAACTTAAGTTGTAAAAAGAAGAAACTAACAGTTATACTGGATGTTTTACATATATTACCTCATGTAATCTACAAAACCAACCACTGTACAAGTTCATTTTTTACAAAAGTTCATTTTATGGTGGAATATTACTCAGCCATAAAGAATAATGAAATCTTGCCATTTGCAATAATATGGATGGACCTAGAGGATATTAAGTGATATAAGAGACAAATACCATAGGATTTCACTTATATGTGGAATCTAAAAACCAAATGAACAGGGACACCTGGGTAGCTGAATGGTTGACTGCCTTCAGCTCAGGGCATGATCCCAGGGTCCTGGGATCGAGTCCCACATCTGGCTCCCCACAGGGAGCCTGCTTCTCCCTTTGCCTATGTCTCCGCCTCTCTGTTTCTCTCATGAACAAATAAAATCTTTTTTAAAAATTAATTTTAAAAAATGAATAAAACCAGCCTCTCATATATACGGAGAACAAACATGGTTGCCAGAAGGGAGATAGGTGGGAGGATGGGTGAAATAGGTGAAGGGGATTAAGAGATACAAACTTCCAGTTATAAAGTAAGTAAGTCATGGAAATAAAAATACAGCACAGGGAATATAGTCGATAATACTGTAATAAGGGCAGCCTGGGTGGTTCAGCAGATTAGCGCTGCCTTCAGCCCAGGTTGTGATCCTGGAGACCTGGGATCGAGTCCCACATCAGACTCCCTGCATGGAGTCTCCCTCTCCCTCTCCGTCTGCCTCTCCCTCCCTCTCTCGCTCTGTGTCTCTCATGAATAAATAAATTAAATCTTTTAAAAAAATACTGTAATAATGTATGATAGCTACACTTATCATGGTGAGCACTGAGTAATATACAGAATTATCAATTCACAAAAAAAGAATTATCAATTCATGATGCAGTGATTCACCTGAAACTAATATTGTATGTCAACTACAATTAAAAAAAAAAAAGTCTAGCATTACATCTGGTAATACAAAGACTAGTAATAAATGACCAACCAAGAACTGTTACCTTTCCATAGAGTTCATTCTCAGAACACAGAAAGCCATCTAATTGGTCACCTTAATTTTTTAAATGTTATTTATCTTTTTAAAAAGATAATACAATCTTAAGATTCAAAATTTAAGATACAAAAGGGTATAATAATGAAGTTTCCTTTCTACCTCTGTTTCTTAACATTGATTGTCAGAGGATGGGAACTAGTGGTTATCAACTTCTCGTGCATCTTCCAGATATTATTCTGTGTGTGCTTAAGCAATTACTTACATCCAGTTCATAAAGACACCTGATTATAAAAAAATAACATGAAGGACTGCCTTAAGGATGTATAGCTCAAATATTTCTCTAGTTTCATGGTTCAACATTTTTTGAATCACGTATCTACTTTGAATCATGTATCTACTTGAGAATCTAATGAAACCAATGGATTTCTCCCCTAAAAAGATCACATATACATATATACCCAAAATTATAGATAAAATTTCACTGGATTCATATACTTTTTCTATCCCCCAGAAACCCTATACACAGGTTAAGAAATTCCTCCTATGCCAGTGAGGGGGCATTAGCTAAACTAAATGTTAAAATGGTATGATCCTGGTGCATAAATGAGTAGATCAAAAGAAAAGAAGTTCAGAAACAGTCCTAAATCTATATAGGAATTTAATAAAGTGAGACCAAAAAAAAAAAAAGTGAGACAAACTAGCAGTGTTGTGACAAATGGATAGCCATCTGAAAAATGACCTGAATCAATCTATAACTATTATGAGAATAAATCCAAAATGAATCAAACATCCACATGTAAAAATGAAACCATAAAATATCAAAATAAACTACAGTAAGGAATTCTTCAGAGGATAAGGAAGATCTAAGTATGACACATATTCCAGAAACCAGAAAGGAAAAATCATCAAATATGACCACATAAAAATCAATCTTCTCTACTTAGCAAAAACCAATGTTTGCAATGCCAAAGACAAACTGGGGAAAAGTAATTTGCAACTCATCACAGACTAATCAACTAAAACAACAAAGACAAATATTTCAAAATAAAAGAGAATAGGGCAGCCCTGGTGGCTCAGTGGTTTAGTGCCGCCTTCAGTCCAGGTCCTGATCCTGGAGACCCAGGATCAAGTCCCACGTCGGGCTCCCTGCATGGAGCCTGTTTCTCCCTCTGCCTGTGTCTCTGCCTCTCTCTCTCTGTGTCTCTCATGAATAAATAAAATCTTTAAAAAAAATAAATAAAAGAAAATAAAGAATATAAATAACTCCTAGAAAAGGAAATAAAAATGGTCCTTAAATGTATGTCAAAATGCTCAATCTTATTCATAACAGGAGGAATGTAAATTTTTAAAAGGCAAAAGATCTATCTGTTCTGAAGAGAAACAGGAGCATACGAGTAATAAAATTTAAAAACTACAGTGTAGGATCCCTGGGTGGCGCAGCGGTTTGGCGCCTGCCTTTGGCCCAGGGCGCGATCCTGGAGACCCGGGATCGAGTCCCACATCGGGCTCCCTGCATGGAGCCTGCTTCTCCCTCTGCCTGTGTCTCTGCCTCTCTCTCTCTCTCTGTGACTATCATAAATAAATAAAAATTAAAAAAAAAACTACAGTGTAAAAAAAATACAGTATGCTAAACATACTTTGAAAACTACAAAACACTGCTGAGGGAAATTAAAGACCAAAATACACTGAGAGATACTGTGTTTGTGGATCAGAAGACTCAGTATTATTCAGATGTCAATTCTCTCCAAATTGATCTGTAGATAAAACATTTGCAATCACAATGAAAATCTCATAAAAAGCTTTTTGGTTGACATTAACAAGCTCAATCTAAAACACGTGGAAACGCAAAGAACCTACAATAGCTAAAATAACTTTAAAGAAAAAAGTTGGATGACTCACAGTACTTGATTTCAAGACTTATTCTGAAGCTACAGTAATCAAGACAGTGTTTTACTGGCATAAAGACAGACAAATTGATCAATGGAACAAAACAGAGCCAAGACAATTCAGTGGTTTCTGTCTGAATACTTTTTTTTTTTTTTTTAGATTTTGTTTATTTATTTGACAGAGAGAACACAAGCAGGGGGAAGAGTAGGCTCCCTGCTGAGCAAGGAGCCCAATGCAGTCTCTATCCCCCAGGATCATGACCTGAGCCAAAAGCAGATGCTTAACCAACTGAACCACCTAGGCGCCCCCTGAATAAACTTTTCAACAAATGTTGCTACAACCACTAGACAGTACATGCAAACCAATTAACTTCAATCCTTACCTCACATCATATTTTTAAAAGTAGCCAAAATGGATCACAGTCCTTAATACAAAAGGTAAAATAAAATGATACAACTTCTAGAACACAGGTAATTTTTTAATGGCTTTGGATTTGGCAAAGATATCTTAAATATGTTTAAAAGGCACAAATATCAATAGATTGGACATCAGAATAAAAAACTTGTGGACATCAAAATACTGGGCTAGAAAAATGAAAAAACAAAACAAAACACCCCATTCTGAGAAAAAAAGCACGTATCTGAAAAGGACTTGTAACTATGACATAGAACTCCTGCAACTTAATAATCTTTTTTAATGGGCAAAAGATGTGAATAGACAGTTCACCAAAGATATATGATGCCAAGGTACCTGGGTGGCTCAGTCAGTTAAGTGTCCCACTCTTGTTTCTGGCTCAGGTCTTGATCTCAGGATCATGAGATTGAGCTCCACATTGGGCTCTGAGCTCAAAGAGTCTACTTGAGATTCTCTGTTTCTCTCCCTCAGCCCCTCCCCCTGCTTACATGCACTCAAAATAAGTTGAATAAATAAATAAAATCTTAAACATACAGGGGTGCCTGGGTGGCTCAAGTCAGTTAACTGACTGTCAGTTTTGGCTCAGATCAGCTCATGGTCGTAAGATTGAATCCAATGTCAGGCTCAGTAGGTAGTCTGCTTGAGATTCTCTTCCTCTCTGTCTGCCCCACCCCCTGCTCTCTCTCTCTCAAATAAATAAGTCTTTTTTTTTTAAAAGGGTTTATTTATTTATTCATGAGAGACACAGAGAGAGAGAGGCAGAGACACAAGTAGAGGGAGAAGCAGGCTCCATGCAGGTGCCCGATGCAGGACTCGATCCCAGGACTCCAGGACCATGCCTGGACCATGCCACCGGGCCGAAGGCAGGCACTAAACCGCTGAGCCATCCAGGGATCCCCTCAAAGAAATAAGTCTTAAAACAAAAAATAACAACAACAACAATAAAAAAGCCCTCTATAAATAAAATCTAAAAAAAAAAGAAAGCTGAATAAATGGCAAACACATGAAAATATACTCAACATCATTATTCATTAGGAAAAGGCAAATTAAAACCATAATAAGGTACTATTACAACTCTGAGAAAGACTAAGATTAAATACATAAATACATACATACATACATAGAAATTAATTAATTAAAAAAAAGACTAAGATACAAACCACAAACATACCAAGTGAATTTGAGGATATGGAGCAACTGAAACTCTCAAACACTGCTGATGGGAACAGAAGATGCTGGCAGGAAAATAGCTTGGAGGTTTCTTTTAAAAATACTTTTGCCATACTAAGCCTAGCCATTATTCCACTCGTAGGTATTTATCCATAAGAAACTAAGAATACTGGGCAGGCCCAGTGGTTTAGCATCACCTTCAGCCCAGGGTGCGATCCTGGAGACCTGGGATCGAGTCCCATGTCAGGCTCCCTGCATGGAGCCTGCTTCTCCCTCTGCCCCCCTCTCTTTCTCTCTCATGAATAAATAAAATCTTAAAAAAAAAAAAACTAAGAATATGTCCATACAAGGTCTCATACACAAATGTTCACAGCAGTTATATTTGTAATAGCCAAAAACTGGAAACAACTCCAATGTCCATCAGCAGGGAAATGGATAAACAATTGTGGTAAACTCATACAACAGAATATTACTTGGCAATAAAAACCAGAGAAACTACTGAAACACAAAACATAGAGGATGAAGTCATACAAACGAGAGTATATATGATTCCATTGATATAAAAGTAAACTCGGGCTGCCCCAGACTTGGTTTCTTATCTACTTTTGCCCTTGCAACAAACCAAGGGAGCAAACTTGGACTTTCAAAAAATAAAAGTATCATCTGTTACTATAACACCTACCATGTGGTTCAATTCAATCATTTACCGTTGGTGGTGATTACATGGCCAGGAGTAATGCCAGTACAGGACTACTTATCAGCCTAGAAGAGGAACTTGCTCCATTATTTGAAAAATTGAGACAAATTATGGAAGTTTCTTAATCTGGAAGTGGTTTTAATGTACACCTTATTTTCATTATAACAGACACATTATCAATCCAGCAATATTTAGACCACGTAAATACCTGTATCCACATATTCCAGAAAGGGCCCTTTTCCCATCTTACACCAAAGAAAAAGCCTATAAAAATACTTTATGGACAGGCTGTTATCTTTTCTTGTGTAGGGTCTTTTCTTATTTAGTGAGATCTGGGGATACGACAGAAATGGTTCAATACATCACAGCTTCTGTGGAGTTAGTCCAGTCACCAAATATGCATGAGATTCCACCGGTGGGACAGAATCAAAATGGTACTTTGATCCACTTGAGCCATTAAGTGCTCCCTATTATATAACATGCCCAGCCCTGCGGAATGAAGCAGACCCTTTTTTTATTGTGAAGAATAATGAGAACAAACTGATGGTTACCAAAGGGGAGGTGGGTAGAAGGATGGGTTCAACTGGTGATAGGGATTATGGAGGGTACTTGTGATCAGCACCAGGTGTTGTGTGGATGTGCTGAATCACCATATTGTACACCAGACACTAATATTACGCTGTATGTTAACTAACTGGAAGTTAAATAAAAACTTAAAAAATAATAAAAAACCATAATTTAAAAAGAAAGAAATGCCTTTTTCAGATTTCTGTCAAGCCATATCAACAGAGATCATTCTTAAAAGGATTATTTTGGCTTCTTACAGGATTGTTTTTATTGTACTTTGATTATGTCATGGCCCCTACTGTATTTATTATATAGATATGAGACTGATCACATCAAATAATAATCCCTTTATCAGGATTCAATAAAAATTCCTCTCAAGACCTAAAGGCATGCATTTTTTAATCTGTATCCCCTACTCATCTTATTTTCCTAGTTCTATTTTCCTTTAGTTTCAATTTCTTTGGTGATTAAGTTCTTTTCTGTTACAATATATGAATTTCAATAAACATTATTAATCCATTCTGCAATCCATCAGATAACTATATTTAATAATGATTAATTCTTTTGAATAAATTCTGGGGATCTAATGTACAGTACTATAATAATACTTTATCACATACTTGGAAGTTGTTAAGAGAGTAAATCTTAAATGTGCTCATCACATACACACACACGAGGTAATTATGTGAGGTGAAGGTGGTGTTAACTAGTTCTGTGTTGATCATTTCACTATATATGTATCAAATCATGTTGTACATCTTATACAATTTGTCATTTATATCTCAATAAATCTGGAAAAATATCTAAACATTAAAACAAAACAAAAAGAGTAAGTTTGATCTAGCTACTAAAATACTTTCAAATGAGTTTAAAATACTTTTAGCAGTAGTAACGTATTTGTTCCAGTTTATTCTTATGTACCCATCCTGTCCCCCACCAATGACCAAAGAACACCATTTTTAAAACTAAGCTGACATCATCAGTCCATGCTCTACCCAACTGCAAAATTTAAAAATGTGTTTAAATCAGATTTCTTTAAATGACATGTTGTGTTATTTTGTAACCATCTAAATGAGAAATCACTCTAATCCCAAATGTACACCAGCCTATCATCCTCCCTTTTCTAAATCTATCAAGTATCTGTGAAACAATTAGACCAAAAAACAAAAAAAAAAGAAAACAAAACAAAAAACCCACCACAGAAACAAAAACAAACACCACTCACCAGTAGCATAGATGGCTTTGTAAAGCAAATAAATATTCATTAAAACTTTCAATGGGCTTCTCTTGTAGCACATAGTCAATGCGCTGGCCTCCATTTAGCATTCCCACGTTGATGGGTGGGACTTCTTCTTTAACTGCCACAGAGGTCTCTTCTGTGTTAACATCTGGGCGTAGAAGAACCATAATAACAATCTAAAAACTTCTAGCCCTCCAAGATTGTCCTTACTTCTTCTCAGACTGCCAAGTTTACAGTAGGCTGAGCTACTTTCTGTTCAGAAACCTTTCTGCACTTTCCTCCTCTTGAGTTCCTTAAAGAGTCCTCAAGTCACACTGATTTTGTTCATTTTTTTTCTTTTCTAATAACGAATTCATTTGCCCCTAGTTTATAAACTAAATGTAAGTAGGGATAGAAATCTTTAGGCAGTCAAAAATTAAAGCAAAATAATGCAACTTTAACTGTGAAATTAAGAGGAGAGTATACTAGTTTGTGTCCAGCCAGGAAAATAAAACTGACCAATAATTACACAGACATTCCCCTATAAAAGAAAGGTGGTTCACAGAGAAGGCTCCTAACACAACCCCCACAATTCCCAAGTGAGAGATGTCTTTTAAAACCTCTTTACCAGATGTTCTGCTTCTCTTGACATCTTTCCTCACAAATAATGTTTTTCCATAATTTGTAGCTATTAGATAATAGAAAAGATTAGCAGAGCTGAAGGTGTGTAGGACTCATAGTACTGACTGGTCCTATCCAGAGTTAAGAATGACACACCATGGAGTTACTCTTATCTGACCTGATGCAGGAAATCACAGTGCACAGGGTTACTAACCACTCAGCTTCTCTGAACTTGATTCACATTCTGCTTCAGTTTCTTCTGTAGTTTCTGAAGCTTGTAAGGCAGGGTATGGAGCTCTAGTGAAAGACTTCCATGCCATCCGCAACGAACCTAGCAAGTTGTTCTTAAGGTCCATACTCATCCTGGTCAAGCCCTCTCTCAATTCTGAAACATATACGAATGAAGAACATCAGAGACACCTGGGCAGCTCAGTGGTTGAACGTCTGCCTTCGGCTGAGGGTGTAATCCTGGGGTCCTGGGATTGAGTCTCGTATCGGGCTCCCCGCAGGGAGCCTACTTCTCCCTCTCCCTGTGTCTCTGCCTCTCTGTCTCTCATGAATAAATAAATAAAATCTTAAAAAAAAAAAAAAAGGATCACATGGTTTATAAACAGTTTAGGGTCCAAACAATTAAACCAAGTGAATGAGGTCCAGTCCGTTTGCACTGACCAGATGGTCTAGAATTACAAGTTCTGTACTCACACTTACCTAAGTGCATCCGCTTCCTGCCTTTATGATGTGGGATCAACATTGGCTCAAATTCCACTCCTGGGACCACCATCGGTTCAATCCTATAGGCCACAGGATCAAACTATATAGGAAAAATAATAGCTACAGATACCTTTGCTGAAGAAAGACAGTCTTAGGAACTGTGTATTAGGCCAAGAATAATTATAAGCTCATTAAAACAAACAAACAAACAAAAAAAAAACGGTTGTGTTGCCCCATCACTTTCTGATTCACAGTACTATAAGTTGTCTCATTACCTCAAATAGCACAGAAAAAAGCAAATCATCAAAACAAAATTTTATGTTCTTTACCAATAAGTCTTAATACTCAGGTGAGAACACAGGAGCTATCCAGTGCTTACAGGGTGATAGATATTGAAGAAGCCTTTGCACGTCGGAAATTTATAGTTGGGATCAATTCTTTTTAGTCCTCGGACAGTAAGGAACATTCCAATAGGAGATCCGAAGGCAAAGAATATTTCTGGTTTGTAGATGAGCCGGGGATATTTTACAGACACCTGGAAAGAGGATATAAAAGTATCTCTCATTGATAACAAATGTAATATCTGTTCCTACCATACCAGTGGCAGGCAATAAAATGACTAAAGAGAATTAATTAGTATTGTTACCTGTCCAATGCCAACATGTAGATAGTCACCATTCCCAGTAGCATCAGTTTTACTGCAGACACCTGATTCTTTGGGGATGTTAGATACAGTCACGCCTGAAGCTGGCTGCAGGGTGGGTCTATTAATATCCTAAAGAATAAAATAATTTTATGGAGCTGCTATGTTGTAAAAATATCCAAAGAATTATATAGTTTTTACTGGTTTGAAAGTATACTTAGAAAAGTTGTGAATAATTATAGGAAGAGTCTTCAGCAAACAAAGCTGACGAAAACAAAAGTTGTCTTAAGTGATAAACTGACATCCCTACATGCTCTAAAACGATGAAAGCTATAATAGCTATTTGGGCAGCACTTGAAACTTCAGGCAATTATTATGAGAGAAACAATAGCAGAGTATGATGAAGAGCAATGCCACAGGCCACTAAGAGTTCAATGAAGCACAATGCCCTTTTAAGAAGTAGAATGTCTATATGGGTATGGAAAATGATGCAGATACCAGGCCAAAAACTGAGCCTCAAATCAGAACTAAGCAACCTGCTACAAAGTTGAAAAATAACTACTAAGATATGGAAAGGAATTCAGGGGCTGAAAAAACTGAATGGGGATCCCTGGGCGGCGCAGCGGTTTGGCGCCTGCCTTTGGCCCAGGGCACGATCCTGGAGACCTGGGATCGAATCCCACGTCGGGCTCCCGGTGCATGAAGCCTGCTTCTCCCTCTGCCTGTGTCTCTGCCTCTCTCTCTCTCTCTGTGTGACTATCATAAATAAATAAAAATTAAAAAAAAAAACTGAATGTAGAAGTATTATTACAACATAGCCAAACCTCCAGTTTATTATTCTAAAGTAAAAGAAGCCAGTCACAAAAAGTCATATATTGTATTATTCCATTTATATGAAATGTCCAGAACAAAATTCATAATGACAGAAAGTAGACCAACGGCTCATAGGAGGAAGGAATGAGGATTGACTGCTAATGTGTATGGGGTTTCTTTTTAGGGTGATGTAAATGTTCTCAAATTAGACAGTGGTAATTGTGACACAACTCTGAATATACTAACAATGACTGAATTGTATACTTTAAACCGGTGAATTTTATGGTTTGTGATGTGAATTACATTTCAATAAAGCAGTTATGAAACAAAAACAAAAAAAAAAGGAAAATAATGCAATGGTGGGACGACTCCATGGGAGACAAGACTTCTGAAGCTAGTAACATTTTTAAGGATATCAATTAAGAAGAAAACGTGTTTAATTTCTAAATAGTACCAAAGATCAGTTAACGAAATTGGTCAGCTGCCTAAACACCTCACAAAGCAAAAGGATACAAGGATGACAAAAATCATTTAATCCTACAAGCTATTTTAAGCACATACCATTAAATTTTTTCTGGTCCTAAAGTAGTTTAATATCTTCTTTCTTGGTCCTAGGGGAATTCCCATTTCCTGAAGATCTTTGTCAGTACATAAAGCCTAGGCATAGAAAATCAAATATCCTTCTTATTTCTAGACAAAATAAAATGAATTAAATGTCTTGTTCTCTGAGAGGAATAAGACCATGCACTATTGTTCTTTGCTTTATATTAACAGAGCTCTCTAGTAGTACAACATCAGTAATAATTTCGAGAAGGAATAATACTTTATTCACAAAAGCCTGGAAAAAAAAAAGCCTGAAGAATTATCAGTACTATACAGTATCAATGCTATAGTAATACAAATGACATGTTATTATTTTACATACACACACACACACATATATCAACCTACAGAAGTGGTTATCTACCTGCATAACACAAAAACACTCCTTGATTTCCATGCTGACTTAGATGTCACATTTCTGAGAAAGATTATATCCCTACTCATGGACATAAGCAATAAGAACATACAACATGGAGCATGAAACAGACTAACAAACAAGATCTCAGCTTAAGTTCTACTCACCTGATTAGGTTAAGGCTTCCTTCTCCCTCCCAGACTACGTTAGTCCTATTATACATTTTTTTAAAGATTTTATTTATTTATTCATGATAGACATAGAGAGAGCAAGAGAGGGGGGGGGGCAGAGACAGAGGCAGAGGCAGAGGGAGAAGCAGGCTCCATGACAGGAGCCCGGCACGGGACTTGATCCTAGGACTCCAGGACCACGCCCTGGACCAAAGGCAGGCGCCAAACTGCTGAGCCACCCAGGGATCCCCCCGATTATACATTCTTAATACTACTGTGTACTTTTCCTACTTAGAACTTATCACAATTGTAATTAATTATTTAATGTGTCTTCCCTACTAAACCATAAGCATCAGGATGTTTGTTTACATGTTTATGGCTTACATAATATCTGTCTTACTGACCACTCTATCTCTAGTACTTAGTATAGTACACCTGATCATATTAAACATTCACTAAATACCTGTTGAATGAATGAATGTATTGCAAGCCTGACAAAAAGCAAAAAAAATAAAAGGGGGGGTAAAAAAAAACAAATAAATAAGCAAATATCAACAGTAGAGCTCTTGGAAATGTAACAGAAAATAAGAGGTGGGATAATTAGTGGCCATTTATTCTCACTCTGTTTCCTGAGCTATGTTGTTTTGCAGTCTTTGTTCTATCACTGTGTTTGTCAATATGCCTCCTCTGAACTTTGCTCTCCCACAAAGCAAAAATCACTTGATAAAACACACATAAATAATGCTACAGGACATTACTAATGATAACAGAGTATTTACGACTAAAGGGCAGCTCTTAGTCAGCAGTAAGATGAAGATAAGCATAAAAATGCTAAAAACGGCATAACATAGTTTTAAAAGATTGTTTTTACCAGAGCTTCCTTATCTACTTTCTCCTTCTCAAAGACACTAAAGAATTCCGAGAGTTGCAGTTTCTTCAAATCTTCCTCTAGTGTCAGTGTGTCTCCCTGATCCATGACAATATTTGGTGCATCCTAAAAATTAAATTGTAAAGCTCATATTCTCTAAATTCATTTAGATTGTCTTTTATTATTACTATTGGCAACAAAAAAATGTACTATAGGAGAGTTCTACATAAAGATATACTTAATTTTAAGTAAACTGTAATTTGTACAAAATATAAATTAAGTTAATCTCTTAAGTTTGCAATTTTAATTGAAACATTTTTAAATAAATGAATGCATGAATGATTATCAAAGTATTCTTCACCTTCACTAACAAAACATTTATTGAGCTCTTATTTTTTTTTTTAATTTTTATTTATTTATGATAGTCACAGACAGAGAGAGAGAGGCAGAGACACAGGCAGAGGGAGAAGCAGGCTCCATGTACCGGAAGCCCGATGTGGGATTCGATCCCGGGTCTCCAGGATCGCGCCCTGGGCCAAAGGCAGGCGCCAAACCGCTGCGCCACCCAGGGATCCCCTATTGAGCTCTTATTAAAGAAAAAGTGTTTAAGACATATCAAGATAAAGTCCTTGTCCTGGAAGAACTCACAGTCCAACAATAGAAACAACACTTCTCTAAAAAGAGAAAATATACAAGATAGTATATGCTAAGTACTAATTCAAACCTTTAAAGTGTTCACAGGACTTTTATAAAAGATTTTAAACATCAAGTCCTCCCACTGCTTTCAAATGACTTTCTATAAATTATACCACTTTGCATCCAATTCATTCTTCATTTCCTCATCATATGAAAACTCCATTTCAGCTCAATGATTCTATAATTCTAATAACAGATGAGAAGTGCATAATTATAATGGAAAATAAAATACCAACAGTTATTTCAGAATGTGGCAAATATTTGTGGAAGCATATTACTATCTTGCTTCTATCAGCCAAGAATGACAGAGATAATTATAAGTCTGTTAAAATTAAGATAATCATAAAATTATCTGTTAATAAGTCTGTTAAAATTAAGATAATCATAAAATTAATATTATGGTATGAGACTAAACTAAGCAAACGACAAAATATAGGTTGAGGATCTAAAAATCTGTACAAAGAAATAGTACCAAAAGAAGCTATCTGTACATCTAACTTACCTTTTCATTATCCATATCCCCCAAAGAATCTTTCTGATTTGTTAGGATATCAAACAATATAAGCGAACCTAAAATAGAAGAAAGAAGGGATAATTTCTAAGCACTGGCACTACACAGTTTCATACAAAAAGTATTAAGCCAATTACCCATGTAGTAAAATCTATAAAGCGGGAAGTCTTTCTTTCCAATCCACCACCACCACCCTTCCAACTCCTTCCACTGGTCCTTCATCACAGACCAGTTCTAGACCTCTGAATCTGATACTGATAAAAGACACTGTATTTAAAAAACAGGTGTCCTTAATATGTGATAGTCTTCTCTGGTCACAGAGAATTCATTTGTTACCTAAACTATGACCAGCAATGGATACACCTCCTTTGAAATCAGGGTTCCTCTGCAGAAAAAGTGTATATATTCGGTTCATTTCCGAAGCAACTGTGTCCACAATAGTCTGACAATAGGTGGGGCTATTGTAGAAGAAGACATCTAGAATTGTGTCATTGGTGAAATGCCTTAGGCGGTTAATGCTGGGCAGAGTTATTCGCTGCAGATCTCTGAAAAAAAAGAAAAAAACATATTTTAAGCAAAAAATCTAATACATTCCATAACCTCCTCTAAGTTATTACTCAGCTTAGCCTTCAAGCTTAGACTTATTTAAATTCACAAGAGACAACAATTTATAGGAAATAACAAAGGACTCAGAGACATGTTTAAGCCAAAAAGATGTGATCAGCAAGAGCCAATGAGAATCTCTACAAGACAAATAACCCAGTTTCTTCAATACATAAATTCCAAGGAAATAGAGATGGAAAGGTGATCAAGAGATTAAAGAGAGACTTAAAGACCTATCAATGAACTCCAATTTATGAACCTTACTTGGATCCCAGTTTAAAATGTGTGTGCATATATGATCACAACTGTATTAGACAATTGGAAATTTGAACACTGTATATTTGCCAATATTAAGAATTTTTTTAGAGGTGCCTGGATAACTCCCTGCTCTGTGGGGAGTCTGCTTATCTCCCTCTCCCCCTCTGCTCCCCGCCACTCATGTGCACACTTGCATTCTCTCTAAATAAATACATAAATCATTTTTTAAAAAAGAATTTTTTTTAGGTATGACAATGGTGCTATAGTTAATTTTTTAAGACTTTATTCATTTATTCATAAGAGACAGAGAGAGAGGCAGAGGGAGAAGCAGGCTCCCTGCAGGGAGCCTGATGCAGAACTTGATCCCAGGATCCCAGGATCACGCCCTGAGCCAAAGGCAGACAGACGCTCAACCCACTGAGCCACTCAGGCACCCCTAGTTAATATATTTTTAAAAGTCCTTTCAGATATACAAACATTAATAGATAAAATCATATAATACTTTAAGATTTGGTTCAAAAATAATATGGTAGAGGGATGGGCAGTAGACAGGGGTTGGAAGATAATGGATGGCCAGAACAGAACTGGCCATGTTGTTGAGGCTACCTGGGGCTGGGTAATCATAATCTGTACATGAAGATTCATTATACAAGCTACTTGTGTGTACAAAATTCTCTATAATAAAGGTTTTTTTTTTTTTAAATCAGTTTGTGCTTTATTTTTTTTTTTTAATTTTATTTCTTTATGATAGTCACAGAGAGAGAGAGAGAGAGAGAGAGAGGCAGAGACATAGGCATAGGGAGAAGCAGGCTCCATGCACCGGGAGCCCGACGTGGGATTCGATCCCAGGTCTCCAGGATCGCGCCCTGGGCCAAAGGCAGGCGCCAAACCGCTGCGCCACCCAGGGATCCCAATAAAGGTTTTTTTTAAAGACAGAAAATACAAGATTTTTCTAGAATTCTCAGCATTTTTTAAACCACAAATCAAATGATAAATGGATCCCTTTCTCGATACAGAATTTCTAAAACCCTCGAAAGAATAGGAAACTGTCAAATGCCAAAGCCAAGAGAACTCATATCTTGCAAAGGAAACCATGCTGACATTATCCAAATCAACTTCCAGTTAAAGCTTTCTCAAAATACTGAGAAGGATTCCTCAAAGATTCAACAGCTTCTGTAGTTTAGAGAGGGCAATTTGCCCTTAGGAATCTCTTAGTATCATCTCAAATATGACAAATATAAACTCCATACGTAGTAAAAGCAACACCACAATATCTGGCACGTGGAATATGCTCAAATCATATAGTACTAAGAACTGAGAGACACAGAATCAGAAAAGCCATTTTTCCAAGACTAACACCAAAATAATACCAACTACTTTATCTTCTAGAGAAAAATCTGCCATTCTATCCTAAAACTATATTATGAGTACACTTGTTTCTAGAGAGAAAGAAGTGTTTTGCCCTTAATATAAGGCAACCTTCTCTGACATTACCATAAAATCTACAAACAAAACTACTGAGGTTTTTGACTTAAAACAGCCATCACTTAAAAATTATATGAATTATTCAAGTTTAAATGCTAATAACTTAATGTTTGAGGGATTTCTTTACAAATGTGGACAAATATTACCTAAATATGACCACAAAAGGAACAACAAAACACTTTGTACATCTTGAGGTAAGGTGGCTTGACATCTGAAAATGGAAATGCTTATACACCATGGGAAGAAAGCAACGTTTGGTTTTAATGCTAAAGAAATAATATACCTGTAATAGTAAATAGTAACGAGCTAGTAAGACACACTGCAAGAAGATACACACAGCTCATTACTCTTAACCAGTTTAGTTAAACCAAGGAACTGGTCAGCATTTAATAATGTATCTCTAAAAAAAGACATAGAAATACAAAAAACTTCTTGTTGAACAAATTTTTTTTTTAAGATTTTATTATTTATTCATGAAAGACAGAGAGAGAGAGAGACAGGCAGAGACATAGGCAGAGGAAGAAGCAGGCTCCATGCAGAAGCCCGACGTGGGACTCGATCCCAGGACTCCAGGATCACACCCTGGGCCAAAGGCAGGGGCTAAACCACTGAGCCACCTAGGGATCCCCAACAAATTTTTATATAATCAGCTATTGCTGATTATAACCTCATCCATATCACTGATCAGGAAACGTATTACAATCTTAGTTAACAACTCAAAGATATAAGGTATTACTCACACATCCACACCAGTAGAATGCAAAGGACTGTGCCAGTTGACTGGAAGAAATTCTACCCTCCCAATCTGCTGATTTTCTTGGGCTTTCTTAAAATGTGTTTGTAGCAGGTTCAAGGAAACACTGCGAAAATCATTAACTGGAAAAGAAATTGACTTATGCATCACCAGGGAAGCAATGAATTCACAGAATTAGGATGCAACAGATCATGTAATTATACTCTTATCTCCATTTGCCTAGAACACATATTTACTTGAGTCAAAGACAGCAAGCAAAGTGGTATTCAGGAAATATTATCAGTGCACATAGGAAAAGCTGTTCCTTTAAGACAAAACTTTATTTTACTATACAAAACATTTTACCCAAAGAAAAGCTAACTTTAAAACTTCTGTGTCATGGGGGCAGCCAGGGTGGCTCAGTGGTTTAGTGCCGCTTTCAGCCCAGGGTGTGATCCTGGAGTCCCGGGATCGAGTCCCATGTCGGGCTCCCTTTAACAAACTGTCACTCTATTTATTTCATTGTAAACTATTTATCAATAAAGGCTTTTTTTCCCCTCACAAAAAACAAAACAAAAAAAACCTTCTGTGTCATGGGAACTATTTCAATGTTTTTTAAAAAGGGGGGGAATCACGTGACTGTGTCAACTGGCCTTGAAGTTAGATTCCTATTCTAACTTTCTGGTTCTTATAAAAAACCCTTATCCAATATTTTACATTAAAAAAAAACACTGCTTCTTGTAATTCATTCTATATCAATCTTAACCTTCCAAAAGGTTAATGTTTAGAAGCATTAGCCAGTAGAAGAAGTTCCCAAGTTGGAACAGACTCTGAATATGTACTATTAAGTTTTAGAGGACACTACCTTTCAAAATCAAGTTATATTAATAGCCTAAATACTCCAAATAGAATATCAAGAGCTTTATCACACTACGAATTACAAAAATGACTGAAGGTTCTATTATTCATTTAAACTATATCATCTTTTTGGTTCACTTTAAGTTTGGAATGGTTAGAAAGACGGCCATCACATTCATAATACAATTTTCTACGGATTAAGGGCTTGTTCACTCAAGAATTATTAGTTAAGAGCATAAACTATTAGCCTAAGGAATTTACTATACTTTAGGTCTAGGTTAAGAAGCTTTACCACCTTGCCACCTGTCTTTAGCTCTCCAAATCTTATTATGCAGATAAGACAAAAGACTAAAAACAACACTTTATCTCAGCTCACAGGAGCTCTAATATCACCCTTAAATGATTTAATCTTACATGCTTTGCAAACATACCACACTGTACAATGCTTCGAAAGCGGAGATCACAAGCTGGTCCAATCCCATGGACTACAAAAACCAAGTGATCTATTTGCAAAGGCTCTCCTATAAATGAAATTTAAAAGAATAATTATTTCATATAACTAGCCTTATATTCTAAAGTCAATCATTCACAATGAATAGGTTATAAAGATGGCAAAATATAAGATCATTTTTTAAAGTATTTATTTATTTATTTATTTATTTATTTATTTGAAGGAAGGAAGGAAGGAAGGAAGGTAGGTAGGTAGGTAGGTAGGTAGTTGAGGAGCAGAGGGAGAGGGACAAGCAGACTCTGCACTCAGCAGATGCTGGGTCCCTCAGCCCCAAGATAAGGACCTAAACAGAAATCAAGACTCGGTACCTTAACTGACTGAGCCACTCAGGTGCCCCAAAATAGATTACTTAAAGAACACAAAATAGTTCCATATTTTACTGTAAATATAATGATTTTATTGTGTTTATTTACTTTGACATAAATCTGTAAAAAGAAATTTTCAGGTTTTAAACTTATTTTGAAATAACTGAGATCTTACAGAAAACATGAAAGCATAGTATAGACAACTCCCATGTACTTTTTACAGATTCAAAACTTTAACATTTACATTTGCTTTATTATTCTCTACATGTATGTGTTTACACACACATTTATTTTTCTGAACCATTTGCATATATCATCAGATATGATATGCAAATATAAGCAGGTTGTATATATCATCAGATTGCACACATCATACATCTTTAACTCTTTGAATTCTTTAATATGTATTCACTAAGAATATTTTCCTAAATAATCACAGTACAGTTATCGAATTCAGGCAACATAATATTGGTAGGATACTTTTATTTAATATTCCATTTCTATCAATTATACCAATAATGTCTGGTGTGAATATAAAACCTAAATTTTTAAACTCATCTTTTTTATTTTATTTTTTTTTTTTTATTTAAGTAATCTCTACACCCAATGTAGGGCTCGAACTCACAATCCTGAGATCAACAGTCATATACTTCTCTGAATGAGCCAGCCAGGTACCCCTGAATGTATCTTTTTAAATTACAGTAAGTCTAAGACTTGTAAGTATAGTAAGTCTAAGACAAGCCATCTCAGGGATAAAAGGAATTTTATAATCCAGCTAAGTATATTATAAAACCAACCATAAATGGCTTTAGCTGGATAGCAATGGATAACCATTCAAGTTATACTGAAAAAGTTTTCCTTAGTTCAAAATCTTCAAGGACAGGAGTTACCAAAAATAAATTTTTAACCAAACAGGTTAAATCATACTTCTTAAAATTAGGACTAAATCAGTTCATTTGTACCAAGTGACCTCTTGATTAGTATTGCCAAATTTTACCTATCCCACAATATATACTTAGTAACTTTAAAATAGATTTTTAGGAACACCTGGATGGCTCAGTGGTTAAGCTCTGCTTTCACACTCGGGGTACGATCCTGGGGTTCAGGGACTGAGTCCCACATTGGGCTCCTTAAAGGGAGCCTGCTTCTCCTTCTGCCTATGTCTCTGCCTCTCTCTCTGTCTCTCATGAATAAATAAAATCTTTTAAAAAATAATAAAATAGATTTTTATATCTATTAAGATTTTTAGTGGGTCATGTGGGTGGCACAGTCAGTTAAGCATCCGACTCAGTTCTGGCTCAGGTTGTAAACTCAGGTTGTGAGAAGAAGCCCTGCCTCCTGCTCTGCACTCAGCTCAGAGCCTGCTTGTGATTCTCTCTCCCTCTCCCTCTGCCCCTCCCGCTTGTGTGTGCACACACACTCTCTCTCTAAAATAAATAAATAAATCTTAAAAAAAAGATATTCAGTAAAGTGATGCTAATCTTAACTCAAAATAAGCACATATGACTAAATCATTTTTAAGCCTTGAGATAATCCAAATCCATAGAAAAAGGTCACAATTTAAGTCATAAATAAGCCCATCATGAAAAATAAATGATTAACATTACCACAATGAATGTCAACAGAGATGTTCTCAACTCCTCTCTTCACCGTCCTTGGTCGACCCTGTTCAGTGGGTGTTGAACCCCATTCATCAGACCCTGCAACTGGCTGGTAATGCACCATAAGCTTAAATAGAAAAGGTCAAAAGATCTCAGAGAGAAAAGATCTACATTATAGACGTCTCTATTTATACATTCTGAGAGATAGGAACAGTATCTGTTTTGATGAGTATGAGTTTTGATATGCAACTCTGATGGTTTAAAGTTAGAGCCCTGAAAATACAGGTCAATGTTGTACATATTAAATACCTTATGATTTTGTCAATTATACCTCAATAAAGCCAAAAAAGAAAAAAAACATCAGGCTAAGGAATCTCTCAATAATACCCTATACATGTAAAATATGCCCACATAACATGCCAGTGATATTCTTTACATTCTTATATTCTACAGTAGTGTAATCTTTCCTAAGAAAATTCTTTTGTGGGCAGCCCTGGTGGCGCAGCAGTTTAGTGCCGCCTGCAGCCCGGGGTGTGATCCTGGAGACCCGGGATTGAGTTCCATGTCAGGCTCCCTGAATGGAGCCTGCTTTTCCCTCAGCCTGTGTGTCTGCCTCTCTCTCTCTCTCTCTGAATAAATAAATAAATAAATCTTAAAAAAAAAAAAAGAAAATTCTTTTGTATAAGGTGAATGAAGTAAAAAATGGTGGCAGTGGATACAAGCTTCATAATTGTAAATGCAATGTAAAAATTTCCAAAGGTTTTCCTAAATAGAATCCCTATGAAAAAGAAACCAGTTAAGATCTCCTTAGTAATGCAATTAACCTTTAATCCCACATGAAAGAAAGGCTTAATTCGCTTTACCTTTGGATTGTGTAATATAATAATTTCTCTGTTGGGAGATTCCAGTTTCTTTTTCCACTCATCCAGAGTTACAGCAAGCATGTACGTTTCCTTAAAAGAAAACACATTTCATTAGACTTCCCTAAGAGCCTTTCTATTAAAACTGAACTTTTTTTTTTTTAAAGATTTTATTTATTTATTCATGATAGTCACAGAGAGAGAGAGAGAGAGAGGCAGAGACACAGGCAGAGGGAGAAGCAGGCTCCATGCAGGGAGCCCGACGTGGGATTCGATCCTGGGTCTCCAGGATCGTGCCCCGGGCCAAAGGCAGGCACTAAACTGCTGCGCCACCTAGGGATCCCTGAACTTTTTTTTTTATAAGAATACTGCTAGATAAACAATTTCATAAGAATATCAGACTCCTGTTTACCAAATTATTTGAAAGGTCTTTTAAAATTACAACAGATAATAGTATAGAACAAAAAAATCACTCCTACTTTTATCAAGTAGACTAGATAAAATCATTGTTCACATTTTGATATACTTTCAGTAATATTAATGTCTACTCCAATTTAAAGCAAGAAAATTTCAGACTGTTTTCAGAGCCAGAAAAATAAAAGGCTTAAAAAGACCAATCTGGGCAGCCCCGATGGCCCAGGGTGTGATCCTGGAGACCTGAGATCCAGTCCCATGTTGGGCTCTCTGCATAGAGCCTGCTTCTCCCTCTGCCTGTGTCTCTGCCTCTCTCTCTCTCTCTCTCTCTGTCATGAATAAATAAATAATCTTTTAAATAAATAAACAGATCAATCCTGTGATCATAATTTAAATATTATTAACAATGATCACCACTAGAGAAAAAATTTTAACTTAAAGGCATAACAGTTTCCATGGTATTTTATTTTATTTTTAAATTTTACTTACTTGAGAGAGAAGGGAAAATGAGCATTGAGAGAGAGAGCACGAACAGAGGGAGGGGTACAGGGAGAAGTAGACTCCCCACTAAGCAAGGAGCCTGATGTGAGACTGGATCCAGGACCCTGGGATCATGACCTGAGCTGAAGGCAGACACTTAACTGACTGAACCACCCAGGTACCCTCCATAGGATTTTAAAATCTGAAAATAAAACCACTTTATCTTGAAACTAACCTGAAAAAAAGAAATGCTATAGATATGATTCAGATAGAACCAAATTCTTTCTAGAAATTTCACAAAAATAAGTCACAAGATTATTAAATAAAAGAAAAAAATGAAAATACATGAAAAGGGATCAAGATGTACCTCTAATACTTGGCTGAAGCTCTCTGAGTAGGGAACATACTTATTATCTTTGTCTCCCTTGTAAAACCAGGTACATCGTCTCACTTCTGATGCTAGCTCATCCCAGTATACAGCATACCGCATCCTCTCCCCCAAATGTACATCATATCTGCCCCCATCAGTGGGGACAACTCTCCCATCACAATTTTTTCCTATCACAGATTGGAAAGGGGAAAAGAAGTACATTTATCAAAATAAATCTCCTAAAATACAATTCTGAGTATACTCTAAATAATGTTTATGAGACATAAGAATGAACATTTTCTTCTTGGCTAAACAAACAAAATAGAATTGATATTTTTTTCCACTACTTTACAAACCATCAAAACCATTCTTGGTTTTAATGATACATGAAAAAAAATAATACCCAAACAATGTTTTGTTCTTTTTCTGAGAAGAGACAGTAGTGTCCCATTAAACAAACAAACAAGTATATAAGGCTTTTCTGAGTTTCGGCTTGAGGAGCCAAAGGTAAATTAACAACCGTGACTATCATGATGATAAAATAGTTAATAGCATCATTCTTGTTTCATAAAAGGAAAAACAAGTGATAAATGAAGAATTCATTCTTTGCAATGTGACATGCCCCCACTCTTTATAAACAAAAATGGAAACATATGCTGGAACATAAGACATTATTAGATAACTGTGAAGAAATTACAGTAAGTACTGTTTTCAAATACAGACCAAATTCTTAAATATTATAAACCGACTGGTTAGTAATGCAAAACTTCTACTTCTATATAAAAAGACTATAGGAGAGAGAACTACAAAAATGCTATAGAGAAAACTAGAAAAAAAACTATTATTTTTAATGGCTCTAAATATAGTAACTATTATATTAGACTGAAATAGTCTTTATTAAAAGTCATCATTTTCATCCTACCAGAACCATATGCCTCTTCCAGCTGCTGTGAATCCTCGGAGTTGAAAGGAATCCATGTCTCTTTAGAATCTATTATTTTACAATAAAACCAATGAGGAGAAACTGGTTCATACAAACTGCCAGCATCCATGTCTAGTAGCTCAAAGGAACTACATGAGTTTGGTGACGGGGATGGATCTGACTGGGACAATTGTTCCTGCTGTGATTCCGCTGATGACATTTCGCTCTCTAAAAGACAAGATAAAAGAAACTATCGGGGGGAAAAAAACTTTCCAGTGAAATTGCTCTCTCATACACACACACACACACACACACACACACACACACACACACACACCCCTGGTCATTTTAAGGAACCATTTCTGAAAGAAAGACTAATCTCAAGGGGGCCACACAACTGAATTTAGAAATAACCTATAAATTAACAGCTGGATTTCAGGGGGAACTTTAAAAAAAATGCTTCTTATACTCAAACCACCTTACACGGATTTCCCAACTCTCGGGAAACTGCATGGCTTTAGTCAGACAATAAATTATGAGACAAACCCAGAATCCCAAGAAACACATGGTCAAAAACTTGACTGCAACAAAGCGTCTCATCCCAAATCCAATCTATCACCAAAGGCAAAAAAATTTACTCCAACTGTCTTAGTAACACCTATATTTTAGGCTCCAGGCCTCTATCGCTAAACACTTACATACTGGATTATTGGGATCTTACAATACTGAAAGTTAAACTCTTCACTTAAGAACCTGTCACCTTTGATGGATTCTTGAAGTGTACTCGGGCACGAATTCTGAGAACCTGAACCTGGTCGGAACCCCCGTACGCAAGCGCGCACCCACTGCCACGGCGCCAGGCTCAGGTGAAAAGGAAAGAGTGACCTCAATAGCCTCTTTCCCTCAAAGACGACTCTGCCCTAGGTGGTCCCACCCCTTCACCACTCAGACCCCTCAGCAGGGACACTGCATCCGTCGAGGTGCGTCCCACCTGAGGGAAGTGAGCCGCCTGCTATCTCGGCACCGGGCGCAGAGGGATGGCAAACACCTGCCCTCCCCCGAGCGGACGCTCCCCAGGCTTCCGGCCACTGCATCTTTCTTCCCTAGCACCGATTTACCTCACAGCCACCCTGGCGTGCCCCTGCTCCCCACGACCCCGGGCCTCCTCCTGCAGCCCGGACCAGAGGTCGGAGACCTGCCTCCGCCCGCGTCCAGCCCTGCAGAAAGGAGCGGAGCGGATGGAAACACAGTAATCTCCCGGGGCCTGAGAGCGCAGGCGGCACACACGGAACCCTGGCCGCTCCCCCCGGATCGAGGTCACCCACCCCCGGGTCGGTCCTCCTGGCACCTCCCCTCTCGGCCTTGGGCATCCCGTCCTCCTCCGCCCCCGGCATCCCCAACCCGCAGCCCAGCCGGGCCTCCCTGGGCCCAACCGCCCACCCTGGCCCGCCGCCGCTGGCTCACCTGACAGCCCCGCTGCCTTTCACACGCTCCGGCCCTCGCTGAGGGGGGCACGACATGTCCCCGCGGCAGCCTTTCCCGGGAGCCCAGGCGGGGCGGGGCGCAGCAGGGCGGAGCCTGCGGCCCCGCCAGGCTCGTGCCCAGCACTGGGCTCCACTGCGCTCCCAGCGGGCGAACAGAGGGCCGGGCGACCGAGAGCAAAGGTGATGTGGCTAGGACCGCGGCGAGGAAGCGATGGGTGGGGCCCTCAGAGCGGCCCGAGACTGACAGGAAGTGTCGCGAGAGGTGGGAGGAATCGCGCGAGATGTGGCTCCTTCCTGCGGGCAGGGAGGCGAAGCGCTGGGCGTGTGGGCGGTGCGTGGGGCGTGCCCTTCGCTGGGAGTCCGCGCGCGGAAGCTCAGCGGGAGGTCGGGGGACTTGGAAAGGCGGGGGTGGGGGATGAGGTCTTCCAGGAGTAAGGGAGCGTTTTGAGTTGGACTGGAAGCAAGCTTCTTCGGGGTCAGCCAGCCTCGCCTCCTCACTCGGCAGACTAGACGAGGAAAGAGGCGCGCCGGGCCCGGTACTACCCTGGCTGACCACACTGAAGGGCCGGGAAAGATGCCCGGGTCGCAGGTGCCGCGTCCCTGGGGAGCAGTAGGATGGTAGGGCGCTGGCAGAGGCTTCCCTTCCTGTGTGTAGGGGAAAGTGGACACCCCTGGCATTTGCAAAGAAAAAAGTTACCCCTGCGTCTTTCCCCCCTCCCGCTTCCATTTATTAGGATTTCAAGGCTGCCCAAAAAGATAAGTCTAAAAAATGTAGAGGTGAGCGTCACCGCATTGAAAAGCTGCACCAGAGGTTGGAAACGAGTTAATTTTGTCCAAACAAGATGACGTAATTGAGGTGAAAAGTTTAAATGAATTTCCCACAGTCATGAAGCTCATGGCCCTGCCCTGCTCTCCTGAGTATTTAGTTTTCTGGAAGAGCTCTCAGCTCCTTTGAGTATTCATTAAGATACTTGCCTATTTTCTAACTAGATTAAAGGGCAAGGGTTCAGAAAATGCCTTTCAGTTTTGTTACTACTTCAGAAATCGAGGAAAAAGAATTTTGGTAACACATTCTCTTAACAGGTTCACAGCCACAGACAGCCACAAGTTTACTTTTAACACCTAGAAAGCTTCTGCTCTCCAGGGAGAGGATAAAGAATGCCAGAGCTGTCCCATTCTCTAGGACCTTGTCAGATGACTAGCTAATATCATAGACCCATAACAGGAGCCATCATTTATACTGAGCTCTTACTATGTTTCAGGTAGGGTCGCAAGCTTTCTACAAGTGTGACCCCATTTAGTCCTCGCCACAACTTGATGAAGTACAGACTCTAGCTATCCCTATTTATAGAGGTAAAATGGCTTACCCAAAGTCTTAATTATCAGCAAGTGATGGAGCCAGAAAAATAGTGTCTCCAGAGCCTGCAGGTAAGGGACTTAACCTAAAATCAGTTAAGTGACAAAACCAGACCTTGAATTTAGGTCCTCTGTCTCCAAATCTCTATATCCTCTATACCAGCTGTTCTCAATTTTTTGGTCTTAAGAACTCTTTACACTGTAATTATTGAGGACCCTAAAGAAGTATTGTTTATGTAGGTTATATCTATATTTACTAGAAATTAAAACAGAAATTTAAATATTTACTAATTAATTTAAAATAACATTAAAAACTCATTTCTTGTAAATAAAATTTTTCATGGAAAAATAACTCCCAAAATGAAAAAAATCAGGGGAAAGAATGGCATTTTACATTTTTATAAATTTCTTTAATGTCTAGTTTAATAGGGGCAGCCCGGGTGGCTCAGTGGTTTAGCACTGCGTTCAGCCCAGGGCCTGATCCTGGAGACCCGGGATCGAGTCCCATGTCAGGCTCCCTGCATGGAGCCTGCTTCTCCCTCTGCCTGTGTCTTTGCCTCTCTCTGTCTCTGCCTCTCTCTCTCTGTGTTTCTCAAGGAAATAAAGAAAATCTTTTATAAAAAAAAAATGTCTAGTTTAATAGATAACTGTTGGATACCCCACTTTTTTATTAAAAAAAAAAAGAAAACTGTTGGATTCTCGTATTTACTTCTGCATTCAAACTGTTACTTAGTTTTGGTTGAAGTATATGAAGAAAACCCAGCTTCCCTCAACTATGTAGTTGGAGAAGGAAGAAGTATTTTAATAGCCTCTTCAGATAATTGTGACTATTTTTTTTAAGATTTTATTTATTTATTCATGAGCGACAGAGAGAGAGAAACAGAGACACAGGCAGAGGGAGAAGCAGGCTCCATGTAAGGAGCCCAACATGGGACTCGATCCCAGGACTCCAAGATCACATCCTGGGCCAAAGGCAGGCGCTAAACCACTGAGCCCCCCAGGGATTTCCAATTGTGACTATTTTTAATACTACACTAAAATTCAACAAAAGATGGCTTCTTAAAGGTTAGTTGCAATAGGGAATCTAAAAACCTATCAGTGAATATTTTGTACTTTGATACATTAAAATCCATCAGTCTATCTTGCACTTTGAATGGATCTTTTACCTTTACATGATTTATGACATCAAGCATTAGTGATTTGGAAAATAACAGCTCACTGTATTATTCGGTCTTCCAAATGTTAACACATTGTCACTGATCTCATTAGAAGAGCCTTTAAGCTGTCAAACTCTTAGCAAATAAAAGTTCTCTAAAGTCTGCTTTTTTCTTGAAAGGTCACATTTTATCATTGGCAACAAATACTGTCAGTTTTGTTCCTTGAATGACAAGCTCACTTTGTTTTCAAGAGAAGCTCTGTCAAATAGCTAAATCTGACTAGCCCTAGTTTCTCTGTTGTACTTTTAAATAAAAATGATGTTCCATGAAAAAAAAGTAGGCAGTTCAGTTAGCAATTCAAATAATCTATCAAGTGCTTTTTCCTCAACAGACCAGAGTGCGTGGGTATGCAGGACTGTTTTATGCATGCTATTTTGTCACACAGAATATGAAAAAGGCGTGAACATGAGGTTAAGATTTAATAAAATTAATAATTTTTACTTCAAGAACAGTATTCTTGTGAAGTGGGCACCATTTTTATTATGAATGCATGGCAGTGCATAATACAATGACTGACAATACAATTTATTTCCACTCCTTAATTCCTGCTAAAGCGCCAGTAGTTTCACCTACCATTGCTTTTGCATCAACAGTGCAAATGTCAAAAGCAGCAAAAAAAGCAAATCATGTCGCAGTATTAATAGTTTTGATCTTGTGATCCAGCATGCGTGGACTACAGCAATTAAATGTGCCCACCTTGGCATGAAATACAAAAGTAACGAATAACAATACCTACCCTGAACGAGTTCACAGTCTTAAGAGGCAAGCAGGTAAACAAATATATCTCGAGTGTCATAACAGAGGCAGGAACCAAATACATTGAAAGTTACAAAAGGAGTTACCAAATGTCTAGGTATACCTCCAGAAATGGTCTTTTTGTAGGTCTTTGGTAGGATTCAGGAAATCTGCATTTTAAACAAGCACTCCAGATGATTTAGAGGCAGATAGTATGGTATCTACACTTTGAGATCACTGCCTTAAGCAGTATAAATTTTAGGTTCCCAAGAAGGCTCAGTAAGTAGGTAGGTTCAGAAAAAGAGAATATTTATGGTATATCACTCAAAACCCACTTAATTTCACTAGCTGTTGTTTGCAGTTGTATGTATGAGAAAAAACTTAAAAGGCAAAATCTGACACAAGCTCTACATCTTTCCTTTGAATTCTCTAGTGCAGGAGGCAGCAAACTTTTTGCTGTAAAGGGCCAGATAAATATCTCAGGCTCTGTGGGACATAAGGTTTCTGTCACAACTAATTAGGTCTCCTGTTGTAACACAAAAGCAGCTAGAGACAGTAGGTAAACAGATGAGTGTGGCTGTGTCCCAACAAAACTTGTTTACAAAAGCAGGCAGTGGGTTACATTTGGTCTCTGGTGCTAGGCAGTTGCTGACTCCATGCTCTAATACAAAAGGTAATGCTAATTGCCAGTAAGTTGCCTAAAGAGCAAAAGCAGGAGTTTAAGGGTCATGAGACAACTAGATTTCATATCCAAAGCTGGAAAAATTGTTAGGCATCGATTCTTTCCAAAATAAACTGTATTTCAGTATTCACAATGTACTTGTTGAATGCCTATGAAGGCATTTGGTATGAAGATACATAGTTTTTGGAGGCAGGAGTCCTCAATCCCTGGTGGACAGCTAGGTACCCCAAATTGAGAACACTCCACAGTTGTCTTGGATGCTCTTACTATAAAATAATAAGAACAGGGCTTCAGGCTGTGAGGGTGATCCTCAAACTTGAATGAATGGAAGAATATGCTAAGTAGATTCTTTAAAATGTAGATTTTTAAATCTAACACCCAGAGATTCTGATTAACTAGAAGAGTTTCATCAGGGGCGTGTGGGTGGCTCAGTCGGTTAAGTGTTTGTCTGCCTGCCTGCCTGCCACTTAAGTCATGATCATGGGTTCCTGGGATTGGGCTCCCTGCTTAGCCGAGAGTCTGCTTCTCCTTCTCATTACTCCCTGTGCTCACTTGTTCACTCTCAAATAAATAAAAATCTTTATTTTTTTTTAAAGTTTAATCAGAGAGGTCACGAATCTACATTTTAATCAAGAACATACCGGCTGCTATGAGGCAAGGTACTTAAATCAAGAAAGAGAAGACCTGAGTTACAATTTTGGCTGTACCACTTTGTTTATGAAACAAGAATGTTAGAACTAGAAGAAACCTTAATGATCCCCAGTGTGATGTTCTCTCCAATCCAAAGTTGGTGATTTTTGTTAAGTCCATAAATCATTGATGAAAATCCATTGTATTACTTTATAGCCAGAACTGAATAGTTCCTCTCCTCAGTTTTAATAATCGTACAATGTTTTTACTTTGAAGAAAATGATTTTTACTTCCCTTAGGATATATCTGTCTTCCTGCAATGAGGGCTGTTCTGGAGGCTGATAACCTGAGAACTTCAGTTTAAGCTGTGGGGCAAGCTGTCTCTCCTTTAGCTCTTGGAGGTTTCCATCAAGCCAAGACTTCCTGTTGGCTAGGGTTGTCAGACTGAGCTGTAGGGGCCAAAGGCAGGCGGCCCTATGATAGGCCACATTAGCATATTGAATATTTAAAATAAAAGTTACTTAATGAGGTGGCTCAGTTGGTTGAGCATCTGCCTTTGGTTCAGGTCATGATCCCAGAGTCCTGGGATGGAGCCCCACATC